ATAAGATTTGACTTTATTTGTTCAGAAGATATAAACAGAACTGAAGGTAAACTACCTGCAAGTCTTTGAGCTCGACATTGCCACGGGAAGGCCAATTTGAAGGAGGAACACAGGTCTTTTATCTCCCATGCTGCTTCTGATGGGATGTTTGTAAATTGTTTTATCCTCTCAACTGATACCATCTTATTTTCAACAAAGCAGCTCATATAAATGGGCCAGAACAGCACACCATTCAGGGGCAATCCGTAGGAGAGAGTTAAACCAACATTCTCTGCACCATGAAGGAATAACTGATTTAGCCAAATCTCTGAAATAGACACTCATTTACTAGTACTGCAGCTAATTTATATCAGATACGCTAAGTATTATATACTCAGGCATCCCATATCATAATTGTCCATGATTGTTAAGTGTCGCACTGAAAGAAGAAGAAGGATGCACCTGGCTTTATTATACTGCTTGGCAACAAGAACATGAATACAGTGGAAATGCAGAAAACTAAACTCCCAAGCATCTCCATACGGAAACCAAACCACTCATTGGACCCATTGTTGTGGAAATCCATACGTAAATTAGCTCCCCTTTATTGACATTCAAATTTACGTGTTTCAAATCCTCTTCTTTGCTTTCATCAGCGCAGCTAAATGGGCCATTTTTAACCTCCACAGCAGTTCTACTATCACAGCCCTCGTCTCTCTTCGCCGCATCCTCCACCAATTCCCTACTCATCATATAACGGTCCAACCTCCCAAGAGATATCATAGCTTGAGAAATTGAAATCATAGATTGTGGGAAGGTCCTGATGGGATCCCACAAAATGTTGAAGATGCTTGTGGTTCTGAACAATGTCCCGGGCCGGCATCAATCCGGACACCCAATAAGAGTGCAGTGCCAAATGTGAGAGTTGATATAAGTACTGGGGTGCACAACATAACCACAACACTGGCAGAGATTGAGTACATGAATTTGGTCAGCCAGCTAAACTCCTACTAGCGGAAAGCCTGGATTCTCTTATTAAAGTGCTCCTCCCAAGCCTGGAATTTGATCACATGCATGTAGTTAAGCATGTCATTTGTTGCCTTCATTCTTGAATCCCGACACTTCATCACATTGGATTGGAACCTCTTGTTCCGTCTCGTGCCCAGCACAACAAACACAAGAACACACATGATTCCTACTACAGATGTGATCACTGCTGCACCAAGGCTGTCATACAGAAGGAACATTGCAATGGCAACTTGCACTGGCATCATCCATATAGCATGCAATTAGCATTTTTGACAACGAAAACAAAAGAAAAACTAATGCAGAATCATGCTATCACATTTACCTGAGTTTCTAAGCACGCATGGATTGTCAGTATCTATAAGTAAGTTTTCTGCGTCCAGAATTTCTCCATAACCATATCAAATGATAATTCAGACTACTCATTATGGTTGATGATGATTGAGATAGTATTAGAATAGGAGGTATCGGAAAGAATTTAAATTCTCATTCCCCACTATCACTGGTATTAAAAAAAAAAAAAATTGAGGAAATAACTCTATCCTAATTAGCTAAAGTTGTATTTTAAAATAACATGACCAAATTGTATATTTAAATAGTATCGCCACCGGCTATACTATTTAAATATATTATTTTAACGGTATAGCCGTACGGCTATACACTTAGAATATATTCGAATATTTTAGAGGTATAGATTCGCGGCTATACTATTTAAATATATTATTTTCAAGGTATAGCCGTACGGCTATACGCTTTGAACACATTCGAATATTTTAACGCGGCTATACTCCTTAATTATATTCCAAAACGACGCGAAGCTAGCACTCACAGCCACAAATGCTTCTCTATAAGCGGTTCCAAGCAACAAAGGCTCGGTCTTGACCCTCTCTCTCTCTCAACTCAAGCTTCGATTTTTTTTCTTTCGTTTCAGCTGCTGTGTTGATTGGATTGGATTGGACTCTCTCTACGAAAACCATAAAATGTCATTCAACTATTCAACTCCCTTTTGTCTCATAACATCGATGAAGTCACCGTTACCCTTACTGTCAAGGGGACCCCAAACTCGGAGGCCAAATTCACGGGTTTGTAGTTTCTTCTGGGTTTGCTTCGTATACTATGATTTCAAATTCTTTGATGAGTATGTACACCAAAGCTGGACAGTTTGATGGTCCCTTACTTATCTTTGAGACTATGTGCTATGCTGATTTAGTTTCTTGGAATACTATTCTTTCGGGGTTTCGAACAAGTGAAGGTGCATTGAATTTTGCTCATAGGATGAATTTTAATGGAGTTGTTTTTTATCTAGTGACCTATACTACGATTCTTGCTTTTTGTGCGGATCATGAAGATTTTCTATTTGGATTACAACTGCATTATCATATATTTAAGTCTGGTTTAGATGGTGATATTTTTGTTGGAAATGCACTTATAAGTATGTATTCGAGGTTGAGGCGGTTAATAGAAGCTAGGAGTGTGTTTGATGAAATGGCGAATGAGGATCTGATTTCATGGAATGCAATACTATCAGGTTACTCTCAAGAGGGAAATCATGGCCTTGTGGCGATTTTTGTCTTTATTGAGATGGTGGCAGAAGGGATGGGGTTAGGTCATGTCTCATTTACTAGTGCAGTTTCAACTTGCGGACATGAAATGAATTTAGAACTTGGGAAACAGATACATGGCTTGGCAATTAAATCTGGATATGGAAGTCATGTTTCAGTTTGTAATGTATTGATCTCGACATATTCAAAGTGTGAGGTTACTGAAGATGCAAAATTAGTCTTTCAGTGCATGAATGATCGCAACGTAGTGTCTTGGACAACTATGATTTCAATAGACGAAGAAGATGCATCTCTCTATTTAATGAGATGAGATTGGATGGAGTATATCCAAATGATGTTACATTTGTTGGACTAATCCATGCTGTATCAATTAGGAAGTTGGTGGAGGAAGGCGAAATGATTCATGGGTATTGCATAAAGACTGGCTTTTTATCAAAGCATAATGTTTGCAACAGCTTGATCACCATGTATGCTAAGCTTGAGTCCATGCATGACTCCATCGAAGTTTTTGAGGAGCTAAACATCATGTAAGTTATATCTTTGTTAATTTAATATATGCATGTCCATACTAGGGATTGAAATAACATGAAATAACCTCTAGAGTTATGACTACTATTTGCATGTTAAAATTGATCGAAAAACAATGGCAACTTCAATCAAATCAGTGCGCATGCATGTGTGATAATTTTACGCTCAATATGTAAGTGATAGAGCAAAAAGCCAATAACTTACCGGTAAGTTATAGCGTGAAAAGCCAATATTTAACCATCATGTAAGTGATGGAGTGAAAAGCCTATAACTTACCGGTAAGTTATAGCGTGAAAAGCCAATATTTAATCGTCAGGTAAATGATTGAGCAAAAAGCCTATAACTTACCGGTAAGTTATTGCGTGAAAAGCCGATATTTAATCGACATGTAAATGATGCAGTGAAAAGACTACAACTTACCGGTAAGTTATCGAGTGAAAAGCCAATACTTTACCAAACATCAAAATTAAGACAATTGGTGCGCCTCCACTAACGAGCACGCAGTATCGAAGAAACTCTGGCGTATGCATCCCAACTAGGATTTCAAACTTAAAATAATAATTAAAAGATAAAGCTTGAAAAAACCAAGCTATAACAATACAAATAAAATGACAGGACTCGCCCTGAATTCCTCGGAATCCGTGACGGATCCTGTGGTATTTTCGACATCCAACCGATACCGGGCCCACTTACTGATTTCAAATGTCCTCTTCCCTTAAAACAAAGGAAAAGAGGGCCGAGACTTGTACCGAAATTTCGGCAGAGTCTCCCTTGAAAAACGGACTTAACCAAATTTTTCAACCTGTCAAAAACACAGTTTAAAATTTCCACACTTCAGCATGCACAGTCTACCCTCCAGGCATAGTCATAAGTAGTTGTAAGGACTCAATCCACAATCATTCATCAATCTAAAATAGGTTTCAGCCCCGACACAATCACAAACACATTATAACCACATCCCTTCAGGCTACCGACAAATTCAAAACCGAACTTAACAAATCTAATAAATAGGATTCGATCCAATGACCAAATTAGAGTCCAAAAATATATTTTATCTCGCGGTTGCACCTGGGTGAGACCCGGGTTTTTTAAATTGGGTGGGTCAAGTAGAGGAGGAGAGGAAAAGTTTGCAAGTCGTTTCGTCGAAAACGGTGGCCGAACGAAGCCGGATTCAGCGTCGGAAAATGTTGTTGTGCGACGAGGAGAGAGAGAGAGAGAGAGAGAGAGAGAGAGAGAGAGAGAGAGTCGTGGTAGGAGAAAGAGAGAGAAAAAGAAGCTGACCTGGGTTTTAAAATTCTGACCTTGAAATATTTACAATTGTGCCACTGTGCTTCCGCTGACCGTAACTTCTTCGTTAAAACTGCGATTTGGGCCCACTACGTGTCTATAAACTCATATCGATGAGCTCTACGCAAGGAAAAATATGACTTGTCTCCTTTTAGTTTTTTCCAACCTTCGAATGACTTTGGTTGTTTTAGTCAAACGCCCTTAGTTTTTGTTTCTGCCTTAGTTGTTCTTTTATTATATTTGTCTTTTTTTTTTTTTGTGGCACAGTTTTATGACAAACTGTGGTCTAGCAAACTAAGACAGAACTGTTTAGCAAATTCTTCGTCTATTACAATTATTGTTATAGCAACAACAAGATTGAGAACTTGAAGATAAATGTACATGTCACTATCACTGGTGGTTTGTTGGTTGGGGATGGTAGAGCAAAAGGAGCCTGTAAATACAATTTTTTGTACTAAAACAAAACTGCATTTTCAGCTAGTTGACACACTAACAACTTGGGGCTTAGAGACTGAATCTTTTTGCAGTCATTACAAGAGAATCTGTGGGCATTCTTTTCTTTTCTTACTGTTATAGGGTACTCAAGTCAGCCTCATTACAGAGAGAAACTGCTCCAACTTACAAATGTGGAGGAGAGGCCGTGGGATGTGTACTGAAATGGGAATAGCCAAAACACCTACTGATGGAAAATAAGCCACTTCTAGCAGGCAATGACTCCGGTTTATCCTCAGATTTACTGTGAGGAAAGTGCCTTTGAAAGGCATTCAATGCTCCTATCAACCCATCTTCGTCATCTATGGCCTTGGCAATTTCAACAGCACGCTCTTTAACCTTTCTACCGAAAATAGTTATGTCTTTGTTAATTTAATATATTCATGTCCATACTAGGGATTGAAATAACAAAAAATAACCCCTAGAGTTATGACTAGTATTTGCATGTTAAAATTGATCGAAAAACAATGGCAACTTCAATCAAATCAGTGCGCATGCATGTGTGGTAATTTTACGCTCAATATGTAAGTGATAGAGCAAAAAGCCAATAACTTACCGGTAAGTTATAGCGTGAAAAGCCAATATTTAACCATCATGTAAGTGATGGAGTGAAAAGCCTATAACTTACCGGTAAGTTATGGCGTGAAAAGCCGATATTTAATCGACATGTAAATGATGCAGTGAAAAGACTACAACTTACCGGTAAGTTATCGAGTGAAAAGCCAATACTTTACCAAACATCAAAATTAAGACAATCTGGTGCGCCTCCACTAACGAGCACGCAGTATCGAAGAAACTCTGGCGTATGCATCCCAACTAGGATTTCAAACTTAAAATAATAATTAAAAGATAAAGCTTGAAAAAACCAAGCTATAACAATACATCCAGTCAAACTGGATGCTTATTATATTACACCCAAGGGGAAAAAAGTGAGAACCCGAAATGAGATAGCAGCATTTTTAAAGAAAAAAATCCTATATACGAAGGCATATCCGCTTCAGATTTCGACTTTGCAAGCCTAAAGGTTATGGAAGACACTATCCCTGAGATTGTCGGTAAAAAGGGTTCTGGTAGCAGCTACAAAAAAATGAGACCTCTGAAGGATGAGGAGGAGACGGGCAGTGTATGAGTAGTGTATGTTGAAAGATCACCGGTGAAAATTTTCTTGGGAGGTTTTGCCTTGTGTGGAAATGATGTCCGTTTGTCCGTACTGATATCATGTTGGAATTTTGATGCTCCAGCCGCACTTGTGTTCTTTGTATTTCTATTTGTTCACTTCACTAAAACGAAGACGATTTGAGGAGAGCCGCAATGTCATTCACATAGATTGAACTTGGGTCGATTTCGGAAAAATGATACTTGTAGAGAATTGCATTGGTTGAATTTCCATCGTATTTTTTGTTTTCTTTGGCAATTGGTTTTAAGCATATTTCATTTCACAAACCTTTTGAGTAGGGGAGGGGTGGCAAGGCAACAATATATTCAAATCAAGTCATTACAATAGTGACATGACATGGTTTGTTCAACTGATACATATACATCCAGTCAAACAAAGTAGGGCAAATATTCAGATATGCTCATATTCACTCATATTTTATTCTTCTCCAATATGGAGGTATTTATAAAGAAGTACAACCCTAAATAAAATAGGAAATAAATCCAAATTACAATAGAAACTAAATATAAATTATAATAGGAAATAAATCTCAATTATAATATGACTAGATAAATGGTAAGTAACTAAAATCCTAACATAGTAAGGAATCAAAATCCTAAATAAGTAAGGACTCGCCAACACATCCTGTGTTTTTGAAGGAAAAGGAACAGAAATCTACTGGAAAATATAATATTGCCGTATGGCTTTCCTCCAACTTGTATTGCTGTATGGCTTTACAGTAATCGAACCCGAACATGTTCACTGGTAGTGTAATTAGAAGTAGTAAAAATCAATTATAAAAATACGAGAAATTTCCAGCATTCAATATAATAAGAAGCAGTATCAAAAACACCAAAATCATTTTCTTTTGTCTCCTAGGTTGCATTTTCTGCATGAATACAATCAAACCTAATTAAGGTTTGACATTGAAGAAATAGAGACAATATACAGGCTTAGCTTATCTAAATTACCATAAGAACATAACTGAAGAAAACCCAACAAGGAAATCAGCACCCCAATCCAAATAAATGCATGCTAAATTTTTGAGTTGCAATTAACTAGACCAGCGGGTCAAGTGCAACACATCCACTTGAAATAATCCAGATACTACGATAACATGGTTATAAAAACAAATGAACAAAAGGCATTTTCATTTAAATACCTGTTAGCAGCAGCAGAGGCAACACAAACCTGCCAAGAAATCTCCCCATGAGAGGCCCTTAGAACCAATCCAATCACTTCAAATTCAAAATCCCATCAATGGGTTTTCGATTAACATCAAAAATTCACAATCACAAAAACCCATTTCCCAAAGACTTCGAATTTCCTCAGAAACTCCCAATTCGAATAGGAACAGAAGAAAGCTGGCTGCAATTTAAATTCGTATATATTTAAAGCGTATAGCCGGGCGGCTATACCTGTAAATATAGTATTTTTGGAGTTCAGCCGAACGGCTATACTTTTAAAATATTCAGCGTATAGCCGACCGGCTATACACTTTAAATATAGTATTTCCAGAGTACCGCCGCGCGGCTATACGTTTAAAATATTCGAATATATTCGCACAGTTTACCCACACGGCTATACTCTTTAAATATAATATTTTCAGAGTACAGCCGGGCGGCGTTACTGTTAAAATATTCGAATATATTCGAAACGTATAGCCGATCGGCTATACTCTTTAAATATAATAATTTCAGACTACAGCCGTCCGGCTATACGTTTAAAATATTCGAATATATTCGAAATGTATCGCCGCGCGGCTATACTTTTTAAATATAATATTTTCAGCGTACAGCCGAACGGCTATACATTTAAAATATTCGAATATATTCGAAAGGTATTGCCGCGAGGCGATACTGCTTAAATATAATTTTTTAAATATTCTAGCGGACCCTTCAGTTTGATGAGTTTTTTCTCTCTTGCGCATGAGAGAGATGAGCAATTGATTTCTAAAACCCAACTTCAACTGCGCATGAGAGAGAGAGAGAGAGAGAGAGAGAGAGAGAGAGAATTTTCAATGCTGATTATTGTACATGCAACAAAATCCTCTCGGATGATCCTTTGTGTTACAGCATCTGTCTGTGAATCAATTGAAGCCGTGACCTCGTCCATGAACAAGAGCCGGTTGTGCTTCAACATAACTCGCCCCAAACAGAGAAGCTGTGTTTGCCCCATGCTCCAGTTGTCGCCATCATCAGCCACTTAATTTGATGGAAACAGTCAGTACCTAATCCTTATGCTAGCTAGCAGTTCAGTTCCAGAGAGAGAGTATATAATGGGGAGAGTCACATACCTAACGAATTGAGTTTATCAGGTTTTGCAGCTACCTCATCTTTAAGTTGGCAGCGTTCAAGGCTCTACAAGAAAATTAAGATTTCATGTGAATAAACATACGGCATTTTTTCATCCAAGTGAGTGAATGATGACAAACATATACTGCAGCTAATTTATATCAGATGTGCCAAGATAAGATGCTAATTTATATCAGATACGCTAAGTATTATATACTCAGGCATCCCATATCATAATTGGCCATGAATCAAGTGCTAGATATGACATCTTGTTAAGTGTCGCACCAAAAGAAGAAGAAGGATGTACCTGGCTTTATTATACTGCTTGGCAACAAGAACATGAATACAGTGGAAATGCAGAAAACTAAACTCCCAAGCGTCTCCATACGGAAACCAAACCACTCATTGGACCCATTGTTGTGGAAATCCATACGTAAATTCGCGTTAACCCGTTTAACATTTTCTTGGAGAACATGTTCTGCATTCTGCAAGAGTGGATGGTCATAACTCCGGATATGCTCTCTGAGAAGTGATGGATAACAGGAGCTTTTGTGATTGAATTCAGTCGAGTTAATTCACGAGATGATGCAAGATAGTAACCCTAAAATCCAAACAGTAGCAAAATCTCAGCATATAATTGAGGCAAACAAGAAATTTACTTTTCCAGTCTAGCACATTCATATATCTGCATAGGGGTGCTTCAGTTCAAAACATTTATATTATCTGTCTAACAAGAGTTGGATTGACCAATAGTACTAGTATTCATGACAAAGATCATAGAACTAGATATTTTATTTTCCTGTCTAACACACATTTGTTAAACAAGAAGAACACATTCATTGCAACATTATAGTTCTTACACTGATAAATATCAACAGCATGATAAAAAGAATGACATACCTGGTACCAGATATTAAGCCAAATAAGTGGAATCAGCAAGAATACTGTTGGCCACGAATTTTGGCATACAACGATAAAGATGGCAAGCACAGTGATGTACATGGCAATGGTCATACCCAAAATGAAGAGAAGAAATTGAGATAGTATCTGATCAGTTTGATGCCTGGTGGTGGGTGATAAATTCTCATCAGTTAGCAAAGAAAACAACGTATACAATTTAGATTAAACAAAGAATAGGATCTCTCATCAACTATGACAAAAACAAATGCTTAAACAGAAAAAGAAAAGGTGAGCAATTCTAACTCACAAACTTTGTAAACGTGCAAGCTCACTTTGCCTGTTTCTTTCCCCTCTTCTTTGATGAGAAAAAAGTTGTCATTGGGTTTAGTTCATAATTACGATGCATACATTTTAGAAAGTAAATTCTTACACAAGCAGTTTTATACTATGAAATTCAAGATTCTTTTATCCTCAAAATGTTGGTGGATCCATAATTTTTGTTGTTGTATTTATGGGTTTAACCTGTATTATTTCTTATAAATAAAATCCATTTTTTATTCTTGCCTAATGGACTAATAGCTGGAAATCATTAGAATGGGAGGTATCGGAAAGAATTTAAATTCTCATTCCCCAATATCACTGGTATAAAAAATAAAATAAAAAATTGAAGAAATAACTCTATCCTAATTAGCTAAAGTTCTATTTTAAAATAACATGACAAAATTGTATATTTAAATAGTATCGCCGCGTGGCTATACTATTTAAATATATTATTTAACGGTATAGCCGTACGACTAGTCTTTGAATATACTCGAATATTTTAAAGGTACAAACGTGCGGCTATAGTATTTAAATATATTATTTTCAAGGTATAGCCGTGCGGCTATAAGCTTTGAACATATTCGAATATTTTAATGGTATAGCCGATCGGCTATACTCCTTAAATATATTCCAAAACGAACGCGAAGCTTGCACTCGCAGCCACAGATGCTTCTCTATAGCCGCTTCCAAATTACAAAGGCTCGGTCTTGAGCCTCTCTCTCTCTCTCTCAACTCAAGCTTCGATTTTTTTTCTTTCGTTTCACTGCTGCGTCGATTGGATTGGATTGGACTCTCTGTACGAAAACCATCATATGTCATTCAGCTATTGAAATCTCCACTAAGATAACAACTCTGATGCTATAAGGGAGTTAGGCGGCCTGGGCGGTTCTAGGGGGCGCCAAGGGGGCCAGGGCGGTTCTAGGCGGCCTGGGCGGTTCTAGGCTGCGAGGGTGGGTCTAGGCGGCGCCTAGGCAGCCTGGGTGGGTCTGGCAGCCTCCTTTTTGTTCCAAATGAAGACATATGAAGCTTGCACTCGCAGAGGAATGTGGTGCGCTAGTGAAATGAAGAGACAGAGAAACGAACTTGATGAAGTTACCATTACCCTTAGAGCCCTTGGCATGTTCTGTAAGCAACTTCAACTACCTTTGTCTCATAACATCGATGAAGTTACCCTTACCCTTGCTGTCAAGGGGACCCCAAACCCGGAGGACAAATTCACGGGTTTGTAGTTTCTTCTGGGTTTGCTTCGTATATTACGATTTCAAATTCTTGGATGAGTATGTACACCAAAGCTGGACAGTTTGATGGTCCCTTACTTATCTTTGAGACTATGTGCTATGCTGATTTAGTTTCTTGGAATACTATTCTTTCGGGGTTTCGAACAAGTGAAGGTGCATTGAATTTTGCTCATAGGATGAATTTTAATGGAGTTGTTTTTTATCTAGTGACCTATACTACGATTCTTGCTTTTTGTGCGGATCATGAAGATTTTCTATTTGGATTACAACTGCATTATCTTATATTTAAGTCTGGTTTAGATGGTGATATTTTTGTTGGAAATGCACTTATAAGTATGTATTCGAGGTTGAGGCGGTTAATAGAAGCTAGGAGTGTGTTTGATGAAATGGCGAATGAGGATCTGATTTCATGGAATGCAATACTATCAGGTTACTCTCAAGAGGGAAATCATGGCCTTGTGGCGATTTTTGTCTTTATTGAGATGGTGGCAGAAGGGATGGGGTTAGGTCATGTCTCATTTACTAGTGCAGTTTCAACTTGCGGACATGAAATGAATTTAGAACTTGGGAAACAGATACATGGCTTGGCAATTAAATCTGGATATGGAAGTCATGTTTCAGTTTGTAATGTATTGATCTCGACATATTCAAAGTGTGAGGTTACTGAAGATGCAAAATTAGTCTTTCAGTGCATGAATGATCGCAACGTAGTGTCTTGGACAACTATGATTTCAATAGACGAAGAAGATGCATCTCTCTATTTAATGAGATGAGATTGGATGGAGTATATCCAAATGATGTTACATTTGTTGGACTAATCCATGCTGTATCAATTAGGAAGTTGGTGGAGGAAGGCGAAATGATTCATGGGTATTGCATAAAGACTGGCTTTTTATCAAAGCATAATGTTTGCAACAGCTTGATCACCATGTATGCTAAGCTTGAGTCCATGCATGACTCCATCGAAGTTTTTGAGGAGCTAAACATCATGTAAGTTATATCTTTGTTAATTTAATATATGCATGTCCATACTAGGGATTGAAATAACATGAAATAACCTCTAGAGTTATGACTACTATTTGCATGTTAAAATTGATCGAAAAACAATGGCAACTTCAATCAAATCAGTGCGCATGCATGTGTGATAATTTTACGCTCAATATGTAAGTGATAGAGCAAAAAGCCAATAACTTACCGGTAAGTTATAGCGTGAAAAGCCAATATTTAACCATCATGTAAGTGATGGAGTGAAAAGCCTATAACTTACCGGTAAGTTATAGCGTGAAAAGCCAATATTTAATCGTCAGGTAAATGATTGAGCAAAAAGCCTATAACTTACCGGTAAGTTATTGCGTGAAAAACCGATATTTAATCGACATGTAAATGATGCAGTGAAAAGACTACAACTTACCGGTAAGTTATCGAGTGAAAAGCCAATACTTTACCAAACATCAAAATTAAGACAATTTGGTGCGCCTCCACTAACGAGCACGCAGTATCGAAGAAACTCTGGCGTATGCATCCCAACTAGGATTTCAAACTTAAAATAATAATTAAAAGATAAAGCTTGAAAAAACCAAGCTATAACAATACAAATAAAATGACAGGACTCGCCCCGAATTCCTCGGAATCCGTGACGGATCCTGTGGTATTTTCGACATCCAACCGATACCGGGCCCACTTACTGATTTCAAATGTCCTCTTCCCTTAAAACAAAGGAAAAGGAGGGCCGAGACTTGTACCGAAATTTCGGCAGAGTCTCCCTTGAAAAACGGACTTAACCAAAATTTTCAACCTGTCAAAAACACAGTTTAAAATTTCCACACTTCAGCATGCACATTCTACCCTCCAGGCATAGTCATAAGTAGTTGTAAGGACTCAATCCACAATCATTCATCAATCTAAAATAGGTTTCAGCCCCGACACAATCACAAACACATTATAACCACATCCCTTCAGGCTACCGACAAATTCAAAACCGAACTTAACAAATCTAATAAATAGGATTCGATCCCAATGACCAAATTAGAGTCCAAAAATATATTTTATCTCGCGGTTGCACCTGGGTGAGACCCGGGCGGCTATAAGCTTGGGACATATTCGAATATTTTAACGGTATAGCCGTTCGGCTATACTCCTTAATTATATTCCAAAACGAACGCGAAGCTTGCACTCGCAGCCACAGATGCTTCTCTATAAGCACTTCCAAGCTTCAAAGGCTCGGTCTTGAGCCTCTCTCTCTCTCAACTCAAGCTTCGATTTTTTTTTCTTTCGTTTCAGCTGCTGCGTTGATTGGATTGGATTGGACTCTCTCTACGAAAACCATCATATGTCTTTCAGCTATTGAAATCTCCACTAAGATAACAACTCTGATGCTATAAGGGAGTTAGGCGGCCTGGGCGGTTCTAGGAGGCGCCAAGGGGGCCGGGGCGGTTCTAGGCGGCGCCTATGCGGCCTGGGCGGTTCTAGGCTGCGAGGGTGGGTCTAGGCGGCACCTAGGCAGCCTGGGCGGGTCTGGCCGCCTCCTTTTTGTTCCAAATGAAGACATATGAAGCTTGCACTCGCAGAGGAATGTGGTGCACTAGTGAAATGAAGAGACAGAGAAACGAACTCAATGAAGTTACCGTTACCCTTAGAGCCCTTGACATGTTCTGTAAGCAACTTCAACTACATTTGTCTCATAACATCGATGAAGTTACCATTACCCTTGCTGTCAAAGCCTGTCAAGGGGACCCCAAACCCGGATGCCAGATTCACGGGTTTGCAGTTTCTTCTGGGTTTGCTTCGTATACTACGATTTCAAATTCTTTGATGTGTATGTACACCAAAGCTGGACAGTTTGATGGTCCCTTACTTATCTTTGAGACTATGTGCTATACTGATATAGTTTCTTGGAATACTATTCTTTCGGGGTTTCGAACAAGTGAAGGTGCATTGAATTTTGCTCTTAGGATGAATTTTAATGGAGTTGTTTTATCCAGTGACCTATACTACGATTCTTGCTTTTTGTGCGGATCATGAAGATTTTCTATTTGGATTACAACTGCATTCTCTTATATTTAAGTCTGGTTTAGATGGTGAAGTTTTTGTTGGAAATGCACTTATAAGTATGTATTCGAGGTTGAGGCGGTTAATAGAAGCTAGGAGTGTGTTTGATGAAATGGCGAATGAGGATCTGGTTTCATGGAATGCAAAACTATCAGGTTACTCTCAAGAAGGAAATCATGAGCTTGGGGCGATTTTTGTCTTTATTGAGATGGTGGGAGAAGAGATGGGGTTAGATCATGTCTCATTTACTAGTGCAGTTTCAGCTTGCGGACATGAAATGAATTTAGAACTTGGGAAACAGATACATGGCTTGGCAATTAAATCAGGATATGGAAGTCATGTTTCAGTTTGTAATGTATTGATCTCGACATATTCAAAGTGTGAGGTTACTGAAGATGCAAAATTAGTCTTTCAGTGCATGAATGATCGCAACGTAGTGTCTTGGACAACTATGATTTCAATAGACGAAGAAGATGCCATCTCTCTATTTAATGAGATGAGATTGGATGGAGTATATCCAAATGATGTTACATTTGTTGGACTAATCCATGCTATATCAATTAGGAAGTTGGTGGAGGAAGGCAAAATGATTCATGGGTTTTGCATAAAGACTGGCTTTTTATCAAAGCATAATGTTTGCAACAGCTTGATCACCATGTATGCTAAGCTTGAGTCCATGCATGACTCCATCAAAGTTTTTGAGGAGCTAAACTGCAGAGAAATCATATCGTGGAATGCTTTGATTTCAGGGTATGCTCAGAACGGGCTGTGTCAAGATGCACTAAAAACATTCTTGGTAGCAACTATGGAGCCGAAGCCAAACAATTACACATTTGGTAGTGTGTTGAGTCCAATTGGTGATGCTCAGGATATTTCTCTGAAATATGGCCAATGATGCCACTCTTCCTTGATCAAACTTGGATTAGTGACTGGCCCAATTATCGCAGGTGCTCTTCTTGACATGTATGCAAAACGAGGAAGCATTTGTGAGTCCAAAAGAGTTTTCAGTGAGACGCCTCGTAAAAGTCAGTTAGCTTGGACTGCAATAATATCTGCATTTGCTGGGCATGGAGACTATGACTTAGTGATAGAATTGTTCAAGGAGATGGAGAGAGAAGGGGTAAGACCTGATTCAGTCACATTTCTTTCTATACTAGCAGAATGCAGCAGAAATGGAATGGTGGAGATGGGCCGTCACCTCTTTCATTCAATGGTGAAAGACTATCATATTGAACCATCTCCTCAACATTATTCAAGTATGGTGGACATGTTGGGACGTGCAGGGAAATTGGAGGAAGCAGAGAAATTGATGAGTCAGATCCCGGGACAGCCAGGGTTTTCGTTGTTGCAAAGCCTACTTGGGGCTTGCCGGATCCATGGGAATGGGGAGATGGCGGAGAGAGTAAATCATTACACTTTCCAGCCTGTACTATCATTCCATCTCTCATGACCTGATATAATTTGGAGGTAATAAGTTTAAATAAATATATAAGTAGGAAGGATACATGTACAAACTGCAATTATAATCTTACCAAAATAAGATCAACATTATGCAAGAAGTCAACATTATGCACTGAAAACGTCATCGAGAAGATATATGTCACAATTTTGATATACAACCCTAACAAGTTGTATCCTCTGTTTCTGGCCACCACTTAGGTTGATGCCACGCTCTCCTATCTCAGTTTGATCTCCAAACTCCATCATTTCCAAGTCCTTCTCCAAGCAGAAACCCTGACCACTTCCTGGTATCTATCTCTGTCCATTGGCAAACCAAATAATGTATTTTCTTCAGTAGTCCCATTTTGAATCCATGATGTTTGAGCAACATAGGCAGTTGTTCCACAAACTCGTACCTGTTATTCAAAAAGTTTATTAATTCAACAAGTACTTGATTAAACTGAAGCTTTTTGAGTGAGTTATGACCTGGTTATAAACTTATGGTTCAGTGGAGGGATTTTATGTCATAAGAGACATCTAGAAAAGGGTTTAATGGTATCAAATCATTCCTTTAAGGATAACTTGTGCATCTCACCAAGAATTAAGGCTAGAAGGGAAGACTTTCCAGATCCCACTGTCCCTACAATAGCCGTTAGCTCCCCTTTATTGACATTCAAATTTATGTGTTTCAAATCCTCTTCTTTGCTTTCATCATCGCAGCTAAATGGGCCATTTTTAACCTCCACAGCAGTTCTACTATCACAACCCTCGTCTCTCTTCGCCGCATCCTCCACCAATTCCCTACTCATCATATAACGGTCCAACCTCCCAAGAGATATCATAGCTTGAGAAATTGAAATCATAAATTGTGGGAAGGTCCTGATGGGATCCCACAAAATGTTGAAGATGCTTGTGGTTCTGAACAATGTCCTGGGCCGGCATCAAGCCGGACACCCAATAAGAGTGCAGTGCCAAATGTGAAAGTTGATATAAGTACTGGGGTACACAACATAACCACAACATTGGCAGAGATTGAGTACATGAACTTGGTCAGCCAGCTAAACTCCGACTTGTGGAAAGCCTGGATTCTCTTATTAAAGTGCTCCTCCCAAGCCTGGAATTTGATCACACGCATGTAGTTACTGTCATTTGTTGCCTTCATTCTTGAATCCCGACACTTCATCACATTAGATTGGAACCTGTTGTTCCATCTTGTGCCCAGCACAACAAACACAAGAACACACTCGATTCCTACTACGGATGTGATCACTGCTGCACCAAGGCTGTCATACAGAATGAACATTGCAATGGCAAGTTGCACTGGCATCATCCATATAGCATGCACTTAGCATTTTTGACAACGAAAACAAAAGAAAAACTAATGCAGAATCATGCTATCACATTTACCTGAGTTACTAAGCAAAACAAAAGAAAAACAAAAGGATGACACACGCATTTAATAATTAACATAAGATTCTCTGTTGCACATAATCCAAATCTGCATGATCAACTTGCAGAACCTACACTGTAGAGATGCTGAAGCCACTGGTTTTCAAGTATCCTGCTACATAAACTGTGTTGGATTTGTAGATGTCATAAAAGATAGACGTACCATGATGTAGAAAAGTAAAAGAGAGAAGCCCGAACAAACTTCAGTCCAATCCGAATGAAAAGTTATCTTGAATAGACCAATGAAATTAGCTATCCATTGTAACATATCCATTCTAAGTTCTTTCCTTGCTTTCAGGTTCATATATGAGGACTGGTTCATGCCTCGCACTGCAGCAAAATTAAAGTTCCTACTACTGGGATGAAGAGTGCCTTGAAGTCGAACCTCTGCCGAAGGACAAGCTATGATATCTGAGAAACATTGCATTGTAGAGTATCTAGTCTCATTATCTTTTGAGAGAATGGACAAGGTTGTAGACTTAAGTTTTCCGATGCACATGCTAAATTGGCACTTTTGGTCACAATATCAGAGCTTGTTTTTGCTTGAGCAGTGGAGAACGTGATAAATTACTGGATTTCTAATTGTAGCAATTATTCTCACAGGTTATTCAATGTACATTTCTAAGCCCAAACCGTTTTTACAAGCAGTAATACAATTTTAAATTTTTGTTTGGTTTTACAAGCACTAATACAATTCTCGGAGGTTTTGCAATTTGCAAAATGCCAAGTCAAACGTTTTAGACATCAACATAACTCTTCTGTTCACTGGTTCTCCAAAAATACGTTTGATTGTGTAAAATATGAAGATAAAAGAAAAGGATTAAGGACGAACAACTCTCTTGTAACAGAATTCACAAGTGGACACAGTCATCACTTTTTTTTTGTCATGCTTCGCCTTACAGACTCCTTCTCTGCAACCAAAACATAGAACTCTGAACCGAGCATTTCATGTATAGCAACATTTATAGAAGTGCTCAAATCCACCGTCTCCGTGATTACTTCTACAGTAATATTGAAGCCTAAAGTAGACAATACGCGGATAGCATTTGCAGCCCTGCATATGTTCCCTCTTGTCTCTTGCCGAGTGTAGTTTTTCTCTTGATCTTCGGGACTAATGGAATTTTCATCAGGTTTGGCATCATCTTGTTCAGACTTGTTCACTTGATCCACTACCATATCGTCTGTCACGTGAACATGTTCCCCAACCCAGATGAATCCATTACAGCCAATTATCAGGTCAATACCATAATTTTCTAAATGATGGAAGTGCTGCTTGCGTCTTTTCACCAGATAAGGAGGGACTGTCAGCAATTGACCCCTTCCAAGCTGCAATGGAGGTTATAATCATAATGAAAACCAATAACAAAACAACAGATAATCATAAGACCACATCGGATGGATGCAATGAAAGCAATGCAAATTAAAATTGATTGAGGGAAGCAAAAATGACGACGAAAATATCCCATAACAGCCAAATAGAATGCAAGATAAGCAAGCTCAAGTAAGATAATGATCAGAAGCATCCTTCTAACAGTCAATACATAAAAAGTAGACAAACCTTTCCATACTTCTGACTTCTTGCTTGGAGATGTAAACCATCATGTTGAAAACCACGAACTTCAGCCTGGAAAAGGGCAAGTATTTGCAACACTGGATCAGTTCTTAACTTATTCCTTTCTTTTTTCATGATTCGATTAGGCCAGTAATATATGTTAGAGGACTTACACAAATGACATCATTCTCCTCAAAAATGCTGCGCATGTTGAGTTCATCCAGAGCAGTTCGTCGCCTCTAGCAATGAAAGAGTAAAACTTAAACGAGGGAATAGCAAGGGAAAATGGATCAATTTTCCCTACATTTTATATTAGAATTAATACCAGAGTTGCTCAAATGTGTTTTCCCTTGAAAATGCCAAAAGATGCTCTCTAACTATATTCATGTAATACTAATACTCAATACATCTTTTCCCAGTTGGTGGAATATCCACTAGTTATCTAAAGAAACAGACTTTAGCGGATCAAAAGGAAAGAACTTCCATTCCATACTTCCAACTCACAATTTGCGTCAGCTTTCAGATTGATAAACAAAAGTTCAAACAAAGAAACCAGACCATCTAACAGATTTACATGAATTCTACAGAACAGAACTCCGTGCCTTGTGTCAATATCTTCAATATCACCATTACTAGTTAGCTTGCTTCTCTGGTAAAGGAAATTTATCACTACTGATGCATGTTATATTCGGGCTAACAGTTATACCTGGATGCCGTCAGGTAAGTTCATTGAAGAAAGCATCAACACTGCATCATGGCTATAGTTTATCTCCACTCTCCAACGCTTTGGAGCAACCTGAACAACAAACAATTATCAGATTATAACAAGACCCATAAAACTAAACATATCTCAACAAAGAAAACAAAGCATCAATAATCAAATTTTAAACAAAATTAACTAAAAGAGGGTTAAGCATTCCTTTTTTTTACCTCAATAACACGCCCCACTATGATATCTCCAACCTCTGGCTTGTACCTACCATCATTTTTGTTTTTTGATAATTCCATAAGCACCAAGGAGCAAAGTTTCCATAAAAATTATCGGGGGGAAAAAAAAAGTAACACAGAGAATTAGTGAGTACCTGGCCCTTAGAGCACGCACATAGACCAGCTTATTGACGCGCTCGACGATACCGCAAACGGTGGCAACAACTTCACCATTGAATTCAGCGGTCCCATGTCCCCTGAATTTACAAGAAAACTGAGTTTCCCAGAAACGGTTTTACGGAGAAAAATCAAAATTGACAGAAAACCCAAGTTCAAATTCATGCCAAGCATTTTAAAGACAGAGAGAAGAGAGGTACTTGAGAAGGCCGTCTTCGTAGTTAACAGGGATTGAATCGGCGACAGTAACAGAAGCATTGGAATTGGCCTTTGAAGACAAAGACTCAAGCTTTTCGAGAGCTCTCTGTAGCCGAACCTTCTGGGTTTGGTTCAACGAAAGCTGTAGCTCTCTCATCTTTCTCACAGTGGAAGAGGGAGACGAAAACCCCTAACTGAACCCTAGCCTGAGTTTTTAGATCATTGCATGGACCCAAGGCTCTCCACATTTTTAGACCCAATAAACAAATGACGAAAAGAAGCCCACATTGGAATGGACGGCGGGGCCTTGCTAAGTTCAGACACAGTAGAACTTCAAGCCCCCAATATTGGTTGCATTTTTCTATTATCTTTTTTAAAAGGTTTAAGGTTTACATTTTTTGTACTGATATATTATGTTGCTTATTACAGACTACAGTTACTATTATGCTTTAGAGCTTAAAGTACGTTTGGAACTGCTTGTATAGGAAGTACTTCTGCTATTTGTTGTAACCGGAAAAGGATATAAAAAATTTGGCTTGCGCTTAGGAATTAAGCATGTATCCGTGTTAAGTAAAACTTGTCTTGCACATAAGAAAGGTGCCTGACACTATGATCTTTGTTCAGAGAACAAAGAGGGCAAGAAGAAGAAAAAAAACCCAAAAGTTCCATTATGAATGTCAAAAACTTTGATTATTGTTTGACTAGAGAATATCTTTGTGAAAGTCCAAGTACGAAAGATGTTATTATGAGTAAAAATTTGGCTTTCTTGCCCTCTTAAGGATAAGGAGGCAGAAAAATATGGAAGGTAGATATCAAACGGACTAAAAAATTCAAATCAAGAAATAAAATTAATTACTTAACATTAATAATTTTGGGTAATGAGGCCTAGCTATGTGCATGATTTCGTGACATGGGGTGGTACCTTAACCTTATTACAAAAGCCTCCGAGGAATCTTCTCTTCCTCACAATCCCACCGAATATTTGTATAACAATCATTAGTTTCTAACCTCTCCCCCTAAACTTTCTCTCAACCAGCCTAGTAATGGCTACCACTCTCCCTGGTCCTCCTCTTCATCCTTGACCCCCCCAACCACTTTTGTTACCATTAAGGGCAGGATGGCCTCTGCGAAAACTCGTGGCCTCCTGTCTCTCCTCCTCATCCTCCCCCTCATCACCCTCGCTTCCGCCACCACAGGTATCCGCCTTGGCATCATCCGGAAACCCTCCCTGGATGTTGCCATCTTCCGAGAAGCCCCTGCTTTTCGAAATGGGGATGCCTGCCAGCCTGCAGAGAAAATCCACATTGCCATGACACTGGACTCTAACTACCTAAGAGGCACCATGGCCGCTGTGCTTTCGATTTTGCAACATTCAACATGCCCCGAATTCATTGAGTTCCACTTTCTCTGGGCCAGGTTCGAGCCTGAGGTACTCTCCAACATCAAATCCGCCTTCCCATACCTAAAGTTCAATGTCTACCGCTTTGATTCCAATAGGGTTCGTGGGAAAATATCAAAGTCTATACGCCAAGCCTTGGACCAACCCTTAAACTACGCACGCATATACCTAGCTGACATGATCCCAGCTGATGTGAAAAGGGTTCTATACCTAGACTCAGACCTTGTGGTTGTGGATGATGTAGCAAAGTTATGGAAGGTTGACTTGCAAGGCAAGGTACTGGCTGCACCAGAATATTGTCACGCAAACTTCTCCAAATATTTCACAGAATCGTTCTGGTCAGACCAAATGTTTTCCAAGACATTTGAAGGCAGAAAGCCTTGCTATTTTAACACAGGGGTTATGGTGGTGGATGTGGAAAAATGGAGACAAGGAGAGTACACAAAGCAAATGGAGGAGTGGATGGTAGTGCAAAAGCAAAAGAGGATATACCATTTGGGGTCTTTGCCACCTTTTTTGCTGGTTTTGGCTGGGGATATTAGGGCAGTGGATCATAGGTGGAACCAACATGGGCTTGGTGGGGACAATCTTGAAGGTAAGTGTAGGAGTTTGCATCCTGGGCCAATAAGCCTGTTGCATTGGAGTGGGAAAGGGAAGCCCTGGTTGAGGTTAGATTCAAGAAAGCCCTGCACCGTTGATCATCTTTGGGCCCCATATGATCTTTACCGTTCATCAGCTCATTACTTGGAAGAATGAGATGAAAGTGAAAAGATATATGCAATGAGTAATGAGGTGGAGCTTTGGCTCAATTGGCTCAATTGGATCAATTTGGGGCAATATGGGGATAAGGGAGTTTAATTAATTAGAAGAGAAAGAAGGTGGTTAATGGGTAAGTGCTATACCTTTTTTCTTTTTTTTTTAAATTTATCTTAGACCAATTAAGGAAAAAAAAAGTTCAAGAAAAATTATAGAAGGAAAGTAAGACTTGTGAAGTAACTTAATTTGGGGTTGAAGCTGGTTAATTACAGAAGGAGAAGAACCTTATATTTGTTTATAATGGTTATGGCCATTCATACTTGGAGGAGAGGATTTCATGGAGGAAGACTGCAAATTATTTGAGTTTTTCTTTTTCTTCTTCTGTTGAGAATGTTATCGGCATGGTATGATAGCTTTCGATCACCAGAAGATCCTCTTACCAGAGTTTCTATGCGGCCCTCTGAACATTATTTCTATATATATGGAGTGTATATTATTAAGTTCATTTAGCCTAACATTGTGTTGGTACGTAGTTTTTGTTTTTTTTTGTTTTTTTTTAAAATTTTGATAGTCTTTTTTGTACCTTCTTGTAGCGTCTTACAGTTTGATGAGATGATGAGCCACTGAGCCTCCAAAATTAATTCAAAAGCTTAAGTCTTTATACCACCAAGATTAGGTTGCTTACTATATTGGCGACATTTTGATGGGAGCCACTCGATAATTTCAATTAGAAAATATCCAGTCTCGGATATTCTGCATATCAATTTTCTGATTTCTGTCATTGTGTTATAGTTCTTTTTCCTAGCAGTTTCGATAGTGAATGCTGATATGAATTGGTTTTTCAGACCCCGAAAAGGCAAAAGGGTTTTGAAAGATAAACTTTGTGTATTATCTTTGAGCATGTCATATATAAAACTACAAGAAAACGAAGAAAACAAAATATATTAGAATGCCCACTTTGTCGTCCTTATATATTTGTTTCCGGATAGAGAGAAAAAGTTAAGCAGATCTTAGCTAGAAAACTTAGAATCCGAATCCTTTCTAAGAAAACCTTCAATATAATGTATCTTTATATAAAATTCAATGAACATTATTACTTTAATCTTTTTATTCTGATACATATACTATAGCATAACCTTTTCACCATAGTTGCTCGCAACCTAATCATCGTGACAGCCTTACCCAATGGATGCACAACCCCGGCCGCGAGCCACCGCGCCAACCGCCACATGTAGCCAAGAAGACTATATCCTTGGCTCAGGGCCATAGTTCCTCCTCATAGCTTCCTTTCTACTCCGAATAAACGCATCTGATTTTTCATTTATGTTTGGTGCAACATGAAAGAGTGGCCTTACACGCCTCAACCCAAGCCTTGAAATCTCATCTTCAGCCTCCATTGCTAGCGTCAACTTTTCACCACTAATCACACCCTTTCCTTTCTTCTTATTGTTCTTCTCTTTCTCTTTCTCTAACTCTCCCTCATCTTCAATGCTCAACCTCTTCTTTGGCTCCTTTGCTTGGGATGTGGCTGTGGAAATGAGCTTCACCTCTCGTGGACCCTTGTCTTGAATCTCTGCCTCCTCTGTTCTCTCTATTGGACCCAACTTGTCAACTTGGGTCCATGATTCTTCAAAGTCATCATCGGTTTGCTTGTAGTGAATTTGAATCTCAAAAACTGATTCGTTTTCCGGTGTCTGGAGGGCCTGAAGGTACATAGTCTGACCAGCTCCATTAGGGTTGGCTGCTGGGATCATAGGCTGTAGGTCTTGAGGAATTGGATGGCCTAAGGTCACACGCTTGACAAGGCTTCTAGCAATGTGGCTGTTCATGATGAAGGTGATGAGCCGGTGGCAGATGCCAATGGGCTGGGAAGGGTTGCCTTTCTCCTGCATTGTTGCTTGGTTTTCAAAGGAGAAAACGCTAGAGAAGAAGAGCTCCTAGCTAGAGGCTAAAAATGGTGAGATGGGGATTTCTATGTATTGAACAAACTAAAAAGTGATGGGATGATTTGATGTGTGATTCCATGCTTGGAAACATGGTAACCAAAAGTAAAGAATAATGTTACTTTGATGGAAGAATGAATGCTTTTGTCTTTTAATCCAAACCGAAGGGAAGAATGTTATTTTCACATACTTCCTTAAACCTTGAGACTTGAGATGCTTTGTTATAGCTTGTCAATTGGAATATGGTCTAGACTACAAGACCTATGAAAGATTTCAAACAACTCTCACCATTTTCGGGAAGCTTCTATATTGGCGAGGCTATGTTGAGGGAGCGTGTTGAGGAGTTCAATCCAACCGTCCAATAATAATAAAATTATTAAATTTAAACATTTTTTGTTCATTGGATGGCTATTATTAAGGATCCTCACATTATAGCCTCGCTTCATTTGGGGTATTTTATTGCAAGTACAATGGGCCTACAAACGATAGACCCATGGTCCTACAATCCATAACCTTATGGGCTTTCAATCCATAGGCCCATAGACATAGATGGGCCTGCCATCCAGAACCAATCAATTTGCTATTTGCATGCTGAGATGAGCCCATATATCAGCCTGAAATCCACCCTCACTGATGCGCACTGCGCACCAAAGCGCACCGTTCAGGCATTTTTTCTAAATTTCCATTTCGATAACCTCAGTCCTACTCCAACCCCTCTCTCTCTCATTTTCTGGTAATTCTCAATCTCTCTGCTTCCCCAAAAAGTCCATGAATTTCTTCAAGTCCGTATTCTCTGATGAACCAGATCCTCCAAATCCGGATTCCGAATCTGAATCTGAACCCGGGTCTCGTAAGAACCCAGAACAAGAAGACGCAGATTCGAAATCCCCACCAAGCCAACCCGATCCAAACCCAAGTGGCAATAGTGGTGGGTGGATGTTTGGCGATCTTATCAAAACCCTAGCGACCAAATCCGAGTCGGTGATCGAGACCTACCGTCGCGACCTCCAGGAATTCGGGTCGGGTCTGAAGAAAGAGATCGAGGTGGCTCAGGGGTCGTTGGAGACAGTTGGGAGCGTCATTGATGAGTTTGGCAACACCGTCTTGAAAGGGACGGCCCAGATCATCTCTCAAGGTACGGACGCGATCCTCGCCCCTGATCACGAATCAGATTCCTCCGATCCCAACAGTCAGAGCTTTAGCTCTCAGCAGGGCTTGAATTCGAAACGGTACAGTAGGTTTGACGTTCAGGTCCGTGCGATTCAAGGTGACGCCGGAACTTACTGTGAGGAACCTGAGGATTTGGATGAATTTAACAAATGGAAATCAGGGTTTGTTTTGGAAGACAAAAGTGAAGAAATTGAGGGGCTGTTTGAAGAAAATGGAGCTATGGAGAGCATTTACAAAAGGGTCGTTCCAAGTAGTGTTGATCATGAAACGTTTTGGTGTAGGTACTTTTACAAGGTTTATAAGCTCAGGCAAGCTGAGGATGTTAGAGCCAATCTTGTTAAGCGGGCAATTTCGATTGAAGAAGATGAGGAATTGAGTTGGGATGTTGATGATGAAGAGTATGATGAAAGTGTGAGCAATTTGGTGTCGAAAGCGAATTCAGCGAAAAATACTGAAGGGGCTGCTTCTGGTAAAGTTGAGAAAATTGAGGACTTGAAGGTTGATAGTGAGGTTGGTGATAAGAGTTCCTCTAATGTGGGAGAGGTGAGCAGTGTGGGTGAAGAGGCTAATGTGGGGTCGAAGAAGGGTTATTTAGCGGCAAATAGGGAGTTGGTCAGCAAAGATTCTGAGCAAATGAATGTCAAGGAAGAGAGCAGCTCTGTTGAGGAATCTCAAGTTGCTGGGACTTCTTCCAGTGTTCTTGATGAGAAGGGAGGGATGAGCCCTGAAATGGATAAAGAGAAGAAGGATAGTGCTGTGAATTTGAGTGGTGATAAGGAGACTGAAAAGAAAGTTATTGTAGAAGGGGACTCTGGGAAGAAAGATTTGCCATCGAAGTCTGAGGAGAAAGTGGCTTTGGAGGGGAAGAATGAGGCTCTTGAATCTGGCGATGATTTGGTTGTTTCAAACCGGTCCTCAGCGCCCGAGGAAGAAGACCTTGGCTGGGATGAGATTGAGGATCTTAGCAGCATTGATGAAAAGAAGGTGACCCATGTTGGAAGTGGAAGTTCTACTAAAGCTGACCTGCGGAAGCGGCTCAGCACTGCTGAAGAAGAAGAAGAAGAAGACTTGAGCTGGGATATCGAGGATGAAGATGATGAACCGGCTAAACCTTGATTGGCAATTGAATTTAAAGTTGTTGCAATTTAAATTTAGTGCACTAAATTCTGTATTCTCCCCCAAATCTATTCCTGTAAGTGTGATATAATGTACAGGGGGAATTCTTTTTTCTTTTCTTTTCTATCAGTTGGTTCAAAATGCAAATATGTTCCTTTGCATCTGAATTTGTCAAGTCGAAGTCTTGAACCCAGCCTTGTCTATAAAAGCATTACTTTTCATTGATTTGTGAATTGTGACCATTACTTGGCAAAAAAAAATTAGACACATTGGTTGCCTTCTGTTATGCATTTTCTTATTTTTGGAAATATTCTGGTATGTGTATGGATTAAAACTGTATTGTGTGAGTTTATAATGTCCAACTCCCAGTTCCAAGTATGAAGTGTTTCTTCTATGGCATTTAACACTACTAAACAAAAGATGCCCAGGGCAACAAACAATTGAATCCTGACTTCTCACCGTCAACATAAAAGTCTGGTGCATGATTATAACCAAATCCCTTGTCCTTGACTCCTTGGTGCGGCATTGATATTGAGTGTCATGTGGAAAACATGCATATTTGCCCCACTGGTGGAGGATGTTGATGCCTCTCTAGTCATTTTTGTTTCAACTCTCTGGTTTTTTATGGTGTGGTTTTCATGTTCTGCTTTCTTTCGATTTTTTAAATTAAAAAAAAATTGTAATTTGTTTGTTTTTGGTTTGATGTAATGGCTCTTTCTGAATTTCAATTATAGCTCCGAATATCCCTCTGTTCTGAGGAACCTGAAAAAAATAATACAGCATTGGTTTCCAAATGGCAATTGAGATTGAGATTAGAAGTAGAACTTCTCAAAAGTAAATTGATCAAACATTCAGATGCTAATTCACAAACCTGGACATTAGTAAGAAAATAGGATTCTGTAAAGAAAATAATATATAACCTGTCTATGAAATCCTTTAGCATTAACTTAATACAAAATTCAGCTCCTTACTTGAGCTAATTCACACTCCACAAACTTGATGCTCAACTACCTCCGAAGCCCTAACATGATCGGCATCCCAGAAAAGTACTGTAACCATCGCGCTAGCACCCTAATCTTACTGAGGAAAATAAGGGGGAAAGCAAATTGAAAAAAGAAAAACATACTCCTCTAACAGCACCTAGGCTCTGTTTGTACAACAAGAAAAATCCTGCAGAACAAGGATGTGAACATGAATGCTAACTTTTCTGATTCATATCGTTGGACCCAGGGCTGCCTCTGACTAACTTCATACCGATGCTCTTCCATTACACACTGATGCCTGGCTCAGAAGTGGACTCACCCGCATGTGTTTCTGGCGGGGACGGGAGCGCCATAAGCCGTCCTTTCTGGGCACGAGGTGGGAGATGCTTTGCTGGTTTTCTTGATCCCACAGTCCAGGGCAAGAAAACCCCAGTACCACTTGGAGGAACTTTTCGAGGACTCAATACCATAGGCCGAACTGGGGCCAGCATGACCACTGGAGCCCGAAGGACACCCCATTTGGGCATTACATCCATTCCCTCATAGCCATTGAGAGCTCCATCTTGCACTGCATATGGACTCACAACGCCAGGTTGCCATAGAGTCATGGCACCATTCTGTGTTGGACTTGGCGGTGACTGGAATTGGTTGGAGTCTACTCTAACTCTGAAGAATGTGATGCTCACCCTTCTATTTGGAGACGGACACATGACGTGTCTTGCCATGTCGGCACTGTTTCCCCTCATAACTAAAAGAGACCTGCAGAAGTTACATTCAATGTTTGTGCTTTCCATCACCATGAGTTGATCAATCCCAATCACAGCCACAGTTAATAGATATGTAATTGAAATTCAAAAGAATTAAGAATACATACCCTTCTTTCAGTGAGAGCATCAGCGGCCCCTTGTAGTTCCCATCATTATCACTTAGAAGGGTGCGCCCAAAAGCCATCGTTGATTCAGAGAGGAGAAGAGTGGCGATGGGCTGGTCCAAATGGGGTGGTTTCAGGAATGGCTGTGAATATTCTCCCTACACGAGAAATAATTGTGATTTCATTTGTTTATCTCTTAAAATTGAACCAAAAGTACATAAACCAAGACTCACAACACAAACCAATCGTGTGAAGCGCCCTCTTTGCAGCTATGTTCTAGTAAGCAATAACAGAGGAGGTAACATGATAATGCAGCAAAACATAGAATACCTCCTCAAAGAAGTTGATGATGCAACCATTTGGTCTTTTATACTCTGGAATTAATTGCCACAGTACAAAGTGATCAACCACATCTTGGAGAAGAGCTGGAATTGGCCCTATATTGCCTACAAAGACAAATGTCAAATTAAAGTTAGCTTTGGAATTTAGTATTCACTGCATAGACTGCATCATTGATAAGAACCAAACCAAAATTTTGACAAATTGAACCAAATTTATTAGATAGTTGTAGTATGTATTACTAGTATCGATTATTACTTGTAGTTTCCTCCTTGATCTGTCCAAAAATTGGAACACCAAACTGAATCAGCTCTCTCCTGTTTCCCTTAATCTGCTTGTTGAATAAGATAAAGGTCTCACCTGTATTCAATCAGCAAGATAGAATTAGATTTTTGTATGACTACCAACAATGTATAAAATTACCGGTTACTCTAATTAGTATTATTAAGTAGAAATGATTTAGTGCTTAAAACTTTGAAAGATTTTTTTTATAAAAATGGTGACACATCTGATCGCATTGGGATGGTGTATGTTAGAAAAACCTATAACAGAGCAATACACGACCAGATTCAACAAAACAAAAACTAAAATAAAAATGATCAACTATACAGGTTCACTACATGGCTTACCAAATCTTGATATCAAAACAGCATTAATTACAACGTGCATAAAGTCAGTTGAGTAACAAGAATGAGGTTCAAATGAAAGGGGATGTGTTTACCTGAGAGCTCTCCATTCAGTCCAGCTGCATGGAGTTCATTTACAAAGTCAGTCAATTTAAAGAGCTCTGAATCAGTGAATATGTCCTCATATAGCTTTAAACCTTTCACAACATTCACCTGCCAGTTTCAATCATCCGTCAGTCAGTAATAGCTACCTGGTCTTCCCTTACCAGAATATACCACAGAAAGAACTCCTTGACATCCATCTTCTGTAGTGATCTTAGATTACATAAATGACTCACCATATGCCCTTTGACCGACTCCTTTGCAGAGAAACCTTTTGTCAACTTGATCTCAGTACGACGGGCCTCACATTCTTCATGATTAGAGCATATCTCCACGTTTACTGAATTGAGCTGTGCTTCTTGAGACCCTGCAGTAAAAACAGTAGATAATCAAATGAATTTACAAACGCGAAAACCTGTGTTCATTTGCAGCATAACGGATAAACAATAGCTTGTCAGGGTAAAATAAATAACTATTGAAACAGGCAACTGATCCAAAAACCAGTTGGTATAATTAAGTATGAAAACAAGCATTTATCCAAGTCTGTTGAAACAGCTATTATTCAGAAATGATGCAAGTTTATATCAAACCTGAGTCTATAAAACATCACAATAGCATTAAGTAACCACTACACATATATTGTACACAAAGCTTTGAAACAGAACACATTCCGGTGACTCCCATCCACATAACTTATAGTTCATTTTTTAAAATGGGATCTTTGCCAAATGCATACCCATAACTTATTTTTAAATGATTTCCAAGACTAGACCTTTCAAGACTGATAAAATAATTCCACATCTTTGTCAGATGGTGCATTTGTGCATTCTATCACTTCAACGTTCAATGAATGGATGAATATGGCTATATGACACGGTTGGCACCACCCTATACCCTATAACAAAAGTTATTTGCAAAACCATATCAATGCTCGCTTAAATCCAAACATGCCGTTCATTGGTACTTTTACAACAAAGCAAGCAAAAAGCTATCACTCATTCACTGCTCACCACGCGCACCAACAAGCTCGACCAAAGAGGCAGGACACAATAACAAACAAAAAAACACTAAAAAGTTACCCAACAACACCACTCAACATATCCGAATCTCGAATAGCTTGTTCGGCTGCCCAAACATAATGACCCCTGAGTTGACCCGGCAAGGCAACTCGGTAAATATCAAGCGAGTCCGGCCCACAACCAGACTAAAGAAAAAACATTTGAATGTTGGAATGACCACCCAAACTTGTCAAAGCCCACCTACCCACCCTCTGATTAAATCAATGAAACGAACCCGTGACGTCAACTGTGTATTAAGACACGGCTCTGATCGAGCGCCGCCTACAATTAAATCAAACGGCACGCATCTCGAGGTCATGACATTAACTTGATAGTTGAAAGGCGATTCGCCAACCCCGAAACTAACTGTGACATCGAGTGCAACCAAACCTTTCCCTCACCTCGAGAATCTCAAACCCCCCTAAAACCTCGGGAAAATACCAGCCACAAAAAGACCATATAAAATGTATTTATTTATTTTTGTTCTTTTTTCCGGTTGAGAATTTAGTAAAACAGAGAGATTAAGCTTTAAAATCAGAGGGATCGAAACGTCAAAAAGAAATCTATCACAGTCTATAACGGAACGTTGAATTCAAAGCCAAAGCCAAAGCCAAACCCAGAGGAAATGGAAAACGGGCTTTGAATCTCGGATCTGATGGAGAAAAACATGTTTTCATTTGCCTCCTAAAATAATGGACAGAAAAGGAAGCTTGACTTTTTTATATTTATTAAAATAATAATATATGTTTGTAATCAGAGAAAATGATCTAACAAAATCTTTTTTTTTCTCGGAGACCAAACAGGGGAAAGTTTTCCAGATTCCAAACAGAGCTTCATTTCTTCTCCTTACGTTTTCTCACCAACCAAACGGGCCTAACTTCAGAAAACCGGAAAATCAGTACTTTCTCAGCTACAGCTACGTAGCTTCACGTTTTTGAAGAATCGGAAATTCAAACACACCTGTAGACAGATATCTGATCAACTAAAAATCGAATAAACAAACAAACAAAATCAAAGCTTTAGAGCCATGCTGCTAATCTCCCTCAGTACTCAGTCAAACAAACACAATATTTCATCATAAATTCACAAAAATCGATTGTAATCAAACATAAAAACCATACCATTTCGTATCAAAATTCAGAATTATGCTATAAAAATCCTATCTTTAGAGAAAAGGAATCAGATTACTTACCTGAATCAGTAATCTCGCTATCTGGAGAAGCCTCCTCTTCGATAGCCTCATCGGCAGCGTCATTTCCATTACTTTCTTCCACTTTCTCATTTTCCTTCTCTTTCTCCTCGTCCAAACACGACTTAGCCTCCTCGCTCTTACAATTTTCAACAGTTCCTGATACCTCACCGTTTTCTTCACTCTCCTTCTCCGCCTTTTTTGCTCCGACGTTTCGGAGCTCCACCATCACATCGGCGATTGAGTGATACTTCTGCATCTGGAGTACCGGGATCCAATTGATCCTCCTCCGGTGTATCGCTGCGAAAACGGCGCCGTATTCCGCCCCTCCGCCGCTGAGCTGGGTCAGGTGGCCGCAGAGCGAGTCGATGATCGCGTTCGCGGCCGCAAACTCGCCTCGGTACCACCCGATAATAGCGTCCTTCGCCATGGCGTCCGAGACCATCGCCACCGGCGCCGGCGCCGGCATCTGCATCTGCATATGCATCATTGCGGGTCCCAGCACCGGAGCGGCTCCATCAGTCGGCGACGCAGCTGGCCCAACCGCCATCGCCATCTATGTCACACTGAGCCCGAAATAAACTGTGTTCTTTTCGTATTCCGAAACCGAAATATCTCGTTTTTATTATGCACCGGTGTTCCTCTCAGTTATTAACTCGGTCGAGATTTCGGTGAAAAATAAATCACGCAGAGAGAAACAGAGAGAGAGGCGGAGGGAGATTTCACACGGAGGGGTTTTGAGGGTGGGGACTATATATATACTCAGAGGAGGAGCGAGTGTGGCATGTCCGTGTAGGTGGGGACCACTGTTGACGTGGCAAGTTCGAGGTCGATTGACGTGGCACAATGGAAGCGAAGGTTGGGTTGGTTGGCTAGGGCACTGTAGCTAGCTGTAGAAGGTGGGTTGGGAAGGTAAGTAGAGCGAAATGACCGAAATAGCCTTTCCCCAAATGTGTTAGGTCTATCTGGCACGTGCAATATTTGGCTGGCGGGGATTTTCATGCACCGGTGAGACTAATATAGGAAACAATATGGCCTTTTAATTTTCAATTTATGGACCGTCGGATCTGATCTGACCTGGCATTGCGGTAAAAGCGGTTAGTCCCCCCCATATTTATATTTCCATATATATAAATCTCCATTTTAGTTTCTTTTTCCTTTAATTTCAAATTTTACTATTTGAGAACGCGTAATTCTTTAAATTGTAGCTGTTTTGTTACTATCAGGAGTGTCTGCGGTAAAATTTACAACTCCTAATTTGGTCATTTGCCGAACTCTTCACTATTCGGGTGGATTTTCCAATTACTCACTCAACATGTATTGCAGATGCATGTATAGTTTATGATTTGGTTTAAAGGATCCAATAATGTTTATACGATATTTGTGGTCGAATGTGAACATAGCGTAATGATCGTTAAGTGAGAGATGCTTCGAATTTAGGATCTCGTTTTAATTTTAGATACTACTAAACCATAAGCATTGGTAAGAATTTTAAGGGATTTAAACGAAAGGTGAGGAAAGGAAAGATATCATAAACGAAGAAGAGAATGATTGTAAATTATACTTTAAATCACGTAGCTAATATTAAATATTATCTTAACCCATCTTAATACGATGAGAGTAACTAAAGAACTAGGGTTCCACATTAATAGTTACTACTAACTTGTCCATATAATTAAGTGTCAATCATACAATCAACGGTCATAACGATCATAACTAATTAACTACTTGTATACAACGGTCACAAACGATCATAACTAATTAACTACTTGTGTACAACGGTTGACACAACGGTCATAACCAATTGGATGCAAAAAAACTATTAATGAGCTCTTCTATCTAAGACTCGAGAGCTCAAGTGAGTTATGTCATAATGAGTATCCATTTTGATCATACAAATTGTATATATTATTTAGTTAGATCATTTAATCCATTTACTTGCCGAAAATAACAGACATAACTAATTTTGCATTTAATTTAGGCATTAATGAGTTCTTTCACCTAAAGGTTGGTTATGTACTCAGCTTAAGGATAAAAGAAGATAGGCATCGAAGTGAAGGAGAAAAGGTTTCATAATTTTTAAAAAAAGTGAGTTGATATCATAAATCTACAAAACAAAATAAATAGTAGAATTATATATAAGAGGTGGTTTTGGCTATTGACATCACTAGGTAGCGCAGAACAAAATCAATGACAAGAGACGACCAAAAAAATGCCAGGTGTGGTGGTTGGTGGGGCAGCAACCCCATGACCAGCAAGGTTCGTTTGGGTGGGTAGGGTCCATTGAGATGGCTCTATTGTTGGCTTGTAGACGAGGAAGGAAAGTTGCGTGGTCCCAAGGGGAAGGGAAGGGAAGGGAGTGCCCTAAACTAAAGGCAAAAAGGGCTGAGGCCCCATCAGAAAAACTTATCTCTGCCCATTTCATTGTTTCTCTCCTATCTCTCTCCATCCTTGTGCCACTTATGGGATGAGAGAGATAGAGAAATAGAGAACAATGGAATGGGAATATGAAAGTATTTATGCCTGATACGACATGGAAGACATGGACAGATTATATATGGAGTGGTGCACGATGGCTTCTCAGCAGTTGCTACCACCATAAAAGACACTGCCAACGAAAGCCGGCTATTTATATATTGAAGCAAGCAAGCCACTTGACATGCCATTCGGCTTGGCCTCAAGTGCTTTTCCTTTTTCCCCTTCTCTTTTGTGCAAGAACCTTTCTTATTCGCACTAAAGGTTTGCTGTCTAATTTCTCTGTTTTTGCATGAAAACAAAACAAGCAGCTTCTTTCATAAGCTTGACGTTTACCTGTCATCCATGTGATGTGAGTTTAGATCCTTATGCTTAAAAGAGATACGAAACTAATAATGCACAATAAGAGAAAAGAAAACAAACACAATACAACTTCTGATTGACGTTATAGTCGCATGATGATGAGAAAGATATTCAAATTCTAAAATGTGGTCACTAAGATTCTAATTTTCGATCGTAATTAGAATGTCATATGAGATAGACCTTAATGTCTGTATTGTATATATCAATATTCTTGATACAAGGTCATTGCTACACAGTCGTTGTATTCCAATATCATACAATAATTGGTCCACTTATGAACTAATTTGATCCAAAATATGTGTTTTAATGAATTACAATATAAACGTATGATATTGATTAAAACACATTAAAACTTTTAAACCCTTTGATAAGAAAATGTTTATCATTTGAGTATCTTATCTCCAACCTGTTAAAAAGAAAATTATATATCTTCAACCTAGGTATGAAATCTTTTTAGCAAGAACATTTTTAGGTGTGTCACCTACACACTTTAACATATTTTTTTTTTATGAAGTTTCTTTATTAAAGAAGGGTTAGATAATTCCATTTGGTATAAATATCCACCTGTCACTTTACGTCTTTTCAGAGAAAAACGATAGTATTTATTGAGAAATAGAAGAGTAACTTTATTGAGAAATAAAAGAGTAACTATTACAAAAATCGGGTTAATATTGGCGGCGACGATAGTGTTTTATTGAGGAATAAAATTTTACACTTTTAATTTCTCCAATTAGGATATAAAGTAGTTGTTGCTAAAAGGATGACAAAGCCATCATCTTTAAGTGAAGTAAGAGTTAAATATATTAACTTTAAAGGATTCAACCTTTATCAGATTCTATATGGAGATGGGCATAATTGTAATAAGATGAAAATAACTCTGGGTGGCCAAGTTTGCAGGCAAGCCAAAGCTTAAGCTGACCTGAATAGTGGGGAAAAAGGGCCATGATTCGATTTAACCTTTTCAGCCAAAAAATCGAGGGTGCACATGAGAATTGGGCGGTCCACGTAAAAAGTAGAGTCCAAAAAAGGGCGCCATTTGGATGGAGACCATCCCATGACTCATGCTCGCAAGACCCACACAAGAAGCACTTTGTAGAAAAGTCCAATTCAGTTTCAAGTTTCACGCAATTTATAATCTTGAAACTTTATGCCAATGGAAACTCTACATGTATTGCTCATGCACGAACATCAAGTCTGTATCAATATTTTAGCATATACTTGTTAGAGCTAGATAAACCAATAGGTTTTTTATGCTCTTGATATAATGCCAAAAATCCATAAAGCTAGGTCATATTTGTAGTTACGTATTTCACTATGCATGCCTACTTTTCGGGTTCCATTTAGGATGTGACATTTCAAGTATAAAAACTTTAGCTAATGCTCTATTATTCTTGCTTTCAAGTTGGGGGTGAAAATAGGATATCGTTTGCGTACTTCCATTGAAAAACTAGAAGGAAATACTCTTACTTTCTACAAATCACAATTTGACATATGTGTAAAAAAATATAGAAGGAAAAATTTGTACATACATACATGTCAAACTGTCATTGACATGAATATAGGAATTCTTACTTACACGAGACTGAGGAAAGTATTTTCCGTGAAAATATTAACAATAGAGATACATTTTTAAATTAAGAAAACAAGACATATACTTTGGTTAAATTTTCAGGGTGGGAAGATCAAAGATCTTACCCATAACAACACGGATCTTACCCAATATTCTTGTAACACCAAAGAAGATAAGAAGTTCCTTTATATTCATCCAAAGAATGAGACCACCGGTCTACTTTGAACGTGCTTGTGAAGTTGTGCTTGTGACAAGCATCACTTTTTGTTGAATTTGGACGGTGCAGGATAATGTACACAGCTGAGGCATATATATGTAAACCTGGACCATCTAAACTAAGCACAAGTTGTTGTCTATTAAAAATGGTCGAGCAATGGCATGTGGATTCTTCACGGCCGTGAGCTTGGGAAGGATATAAAGAAGAAATTGGATTCCTTTTCATGATCTGTAAAATATCTGTGATGGACGCTAACCCAATTAAGAAGGTGCTCGAAAGAAAAAGCCACGACTTCATTTTAGTAAGTATTTCATAATCCATCTCCCCCTTCCCCTTCTTCTCTCTCCCAATCCCTCTCAAGATATTTTTAGCAATTATATACTTCTTAAGTAAGATTTTGTGGACAGAAATGCAAAGTCGTAGCATAACCAAGGGTTTTAAATCTTAATATATATATATGGCTAGCAATGGCTGCTCCAACAGTAGTCCCTTTCTGCCTTGAATTTCATATGTGTTTAACACACAAATTATTAATCTAATCCATGAGGAAAGAGATTCGACTTTGAGTGCCAGAAAATGAGCTCACTACCTTGGTCAACTGGCCTAACCCACCTCTGCAACAAACAGCCAAGTTATAAAACCTTATAATTTTTTTTTTTAAGTCGATAAAAAATATGTCACCATCAATATATAATTATATGTGTGTTTTTTTAATGGTCTACAAAAAATTGAAGTTTGACTTTCTCTAAATCATACAATGTGGTGTGTGTGCGCAAGTGTTTGGGTGTATGTGGGGCTTCCTAAACATGCATGATTTAGGGGTTGGCATTATACACACACCCACACATCATATTCATATTTTCATGCCTCCCTTCTATAATTTGTGTCCCAAATTGAATTTTGAAACCATTTATATTAAATGCAAGCAAAGCAAAGCAAAGAAAACAATATAAGTGTGAAAGCATGCGTGAACATGATACATATGCAATTCAATATTTATTTATTTTTCCCTGAAAATGACATATTTCTCATTCGAATATGTTGTTAACAGCTTGTTATGCTGCTGCTGCTTCCCTCACTCTCAATCTCAAACACAGCTTTCCACAGCCTCTTATAATATTATATATCTTCAGGTAAACCAAGTAAATAAAGCATTAATTTATGATTAATATTAATTTAGTTGAATTAAAATAATAATAAAAACAATAGTTGGTCGTTTTTATAAACAAATATATAAATTTAGTTTGCTCATTGAGACCCCCGAAGGTCGTTTTTTATCATCAGAGAGATGTGTTTACGTCAATAAAACAAAATTACAAAAAGGACGGTGATTTCATGTTTAAATTTAGAATTATATAGTTTTTGAGAGGCATTATTATTAGTTCTCACATGCATGTTTGAGTTTGACTTGGCTCAGTTTGGTCACAAGTATTTCAGATTTATTAAAACCTGGGTGATGAAGTTTTCACTTGAAGCAAACAAGGCCTTTTTCCCCTTTTCCACCCGGCAATACTTTTTCACTTTCAAATTTGAACAAATGATTCATCATTAACATTAAACAACATTATTAAGCTCAAAAGTACAATGTTGTTTAGCCACAAAAGGTGACTACCAAGGGTGGAGTTAGAATTGTAAAGTTGGGGAAGCCGAAGTAGAAAACACAAGTATATAAAATACATAAGTATTCAATAATTACATGTTTAGAGCTAAATATTTCTAATTGAGTCATGTCTAATTTGTTTTAGAGGAAATTTTAGTTAAATTATAAGTTGTTTGTTACAAATTCGCTATGTTATATAATCCTTTTTTTTGGGGGGGGAGGAGGGGGTCCGGGCTAGGCTTTGGAGTGACTCCGTCACTAATGGCCACCTAGAAAAGCTCCATATAAGCTATGGGGGGGAGGAGGGGGTCCGGGCTAGGCTTTGGAGTGACTCCGTCACTAATGGCCACCTAGAAAAGCTCCATATAAGCTATGGGGGGGGGGCGCTTGATGGCCACCTAGAAAAGCTCCATATAAACTATGGATACATCCATGGGCGTCAGGTCAGTGTTACCACACTAGCTAGCTAGCATTACCATACACTATCGCAGTCAAAATGGTTTATTGTTCGGGTGATTAAAAGTGTTTTATTCCTACATTCGAGATCTCGTGTTCAATTTCCATCCTTTAATATTGCTTGTATAAAAAAGTATAAAAAATGAATCATAAGTAAATGAAGTGACATCATAGTATGAGAGTTTCATAGAGAAATATGGCATATACTAATATGCGCATGCTGAGCCCCAGAAAACGAGAACTTTTCCAAGGCAGCTACAAGAGTCAACGAAATGGTTCAACTTCAAAATTTGGCAGCAAAAATGAGAAGATTATGAATAGAAAATTAGAGAAATAAAGAAATTAGTCAATTCATTAATTAATGGGTGATTAGAATTTTATAGGTGTAGTTGGAGTGGAGGAGAGATGTCGTCCAGGAATAAAAAAAATGCAGAGGAAGTTGAAGAAGAAAACGTGGTCATGGTGCGATGGGCTGTCACGCAAGGAATTGAATTAGAAGCATGACAGATGACCAATCCACGGGCCTAGTATTTTTATTGCTTTTTCTCAATTCTCACTTCCATTCAAATCAACTAACCATAAAGTTGGGTGGGCTCCACTGGCCCTGCCCTGTGGACCATAGACGGTTATGGCAACTTCATGAATTAAAGAACAAGATAGGGTCCAGTATTTTATTATGATGTAACAAACGGAGTGGGCCAAATAGAAAATATCTGATCATGTGTCATAAATTTAAAATCATTGTTAAGGCCCATAAGAGCCCGATCATAGGGCTTGCCTTATGATTGTCCCAACATACCCAGCCCATGTCGACATTTTATTTTTATCTTTTTATAAAAACAATATTGGACGAGGAGGGGATGAGAGAGGATCTGAACACAAGACCTCTGATGCATGAATAATTGCTCTTAACCACTTGAGTTACAAATCATCTTTTGCGGCATTTACAGTTTTACCAAGCAAATGGAAAATTTGTGATATTTATTTAGAATTTATCTATCTAATTGCTACTTATGTCAGTTCATAGTATGCTTCGTTTTAGGCGATGCTTTATCAATCCCCGCCATTTTGGTTCACATGGGCTTGTGCCACGTCGCCCTATGACTTTACAGCCCATCTTTGCTCTATTCAGCTGACCCAATTGTTTGTTTGGCCAATCTTGGATTGGACTTGGATATTGTAGATATTAGGAATCTCCCCTTCTAGTAATTTGCAATGTCAATTCATATTTAACCAGATTTACAGAGCAAAGAGAGAAGAAAACAATGCTTAAACAGAGTAAGCTTATTATGCATTAGACACTAATAGCATGCACACACAACACAAATTACAATTAGGAAGATCAAGGATTTTCTCCCAACAATCACCAACACCACCATTATTTACTTAGCACAACCCATAAACCAAAAGTTGAAATAAATAATCTCCTTCTTACTCTCTCTTAAAAGAAGCATTCTTTCCAGCACCAAGACTTGAGGGTGTAGATTTGAACTTGTTCTTTGCACGATGAATATAATCAGAGAAATGGTCTTTGACACTTTCTTTTTTCTTTGCATCATCATCTGATTCTGATATGTTGTTCGACGACATGGTTCTGATCTTAATCTTTGCCTGCTTGATATATTCAGAAAATGTGTCATTAATATCCGGCCCTCCTGGTTTCTTACCTTCATTCTTAACTTGTGGTGCCTCTGCCTCATGAACTTTAACGGCAGCATTATGATTGTGCTGCGCTTCCCCAACAGCTCCTTTTAATGGAGACTCAGAGTGCTTAGGCTTCTGCTTCTCCTGCTCCTCAGCTTTTGAATAAGTAGCCTTGTGTGGCTGAGCCTCAGAATAATTGGGCTTCTGTTTCTCCTCCTCAGCTTTTGGATAAGTAGCTTTCTGTGGCTGAGTCGACAGCTCTGCCTTGTGCTTGGGGCTTCCTTGGTCATGATGTCCTTGGCAAACCTTTGCCACTTTGGTCATCCTTTGAGCATGCGCAGTTAGAGCAGCAGCAGCAGCAGCAGGAGGCAGGACTGTTTTCTCAGAAGTGATTGGAATTTGAACCACCTTCGGAGCTTCAGCTGACTTCTTGGGTTGTGGAGGACTGATTTGAGCATCAACAATCCTCACAGCATTAACATGACTATTGGCTGGCAGATTTAGAGGATCTGATCTTGCAGGGGAGACAGACGTGATTCGGCAGATCTTTCGAAAAGCAGGAGTTACTGTGATGACGCTAAAGATTTTCTCACAAACCCCTGTTGAGTCTGAGGCAGCAGAACCATTGCCATTGTTTCCCATCAAGTATATATATATTTGATGAAGTTGTGAGAAACCAGAGTGGCTTGCTAACTACAAGAGAAGGTGGTATTTATAGGCATTCTAAATTAATGCCAAATGTGGCCAAAACATATAAATTAAAACAAGGCAAGTTGTGGTGTGCAGAAACGAAGGGGGTTTGTTGGGTAAGAATCCCTCATAGCTACTCACTTGTCACAGAAAAGAAAAGTAGTTGGTCTAATTTCAGGGACATTATGTTTGGGATCATATTCTCATAGACTTTATGTGACTATTTTCTACGGATATTATCAGATTCTCAAAAGTACCACTAGGAAAGCTGGTTTCCACAAGTGCTTTTTTTGACAACAGAGTTTTCGAGAAGGAAATGAGGCACACTGCAGGGAAGATTGAGTACTTGTGGATGGATGAGCATCTGTATATATATTATATGGGAATAATGGAATCTCTCCGAGTGTGGAAAACTTAACCCCCTTGTAATTACAAGAATCTCTTATGGTTGTGATCCCACCAATTACACTTGAAAAAAAGAAAAAAAGAAAAAAAAAGCTTGAAAGAATCATGCTTTTGCTGCCTCGTGAGTCATGAATCGTGACAAACCAGTTCACATTAGAAACTTAGACTAGCTTTTGACTAATTGAATGAGTTCTCTCTTTTTTTAAAGAAAGAACCTCATGTGAACGAGGAAAACTAGCATATAAAAAAATCGCAATTCCTACATTGTAATGCAAAACCTTCAAATTTTTTATATGCTTTATGCATTTCGACATCTTTTTTTTTCTTCCCAAAGTTAGGAATGGATGGGGAGGGGGAAAACTCACACACACAGGTACTGTAGGAATTTGAACCCATAACCACTTTGGAGCACTTCAAAAGTGTGAGCCAATCCAACTAACACCCCATTGGTGCATTTCAGCACTTAATTGGAAAAGTACTCTATTGAGAAGAAGAAATCACAAAGTTTTGTAGCTTCGTTGATGTAAACGAACATTCTCTTCACATTTCACGTGTTTTACGGGGAAATTTTGAATGGGAAGCTAGGGTTATATTCCTTCCCTTTGTTTTCCATTCAGATGTAAGAATCAAATTATACGAAGTTAAGAAGATTATTTCCTTTTCTTCTCCTTTCCCCATAGGTTAACTTTGCTTTAAGATCTCTTCTCATTTGTGGTAAAGTGTATCTTTATGCTGTAATTGGTGGTCAAGCGATGCCTTAGTGAAGACTAACATTTCAACCCACAACGAAAATCATTCTTCCACCAAAAATAAAAGCATTATCAGCCAACAAATGAAAAAGCCACAGTTAAACCAAACAAGAAAAGAGCCACAGTTTCTATAGATCACATCAATATACAAGGATACAAGGATGTTCGCCCGTTAATCATTTACAAATTTTCAACAGCAACGAGAGAAAGCACCATGTCAGGAATATTTCCGGATATAGAAGCATATAACATTGCGAGTTTACTCATAAGCAAAAGTTCCACCGCCCGGGGGTGGGGGGAACTGGCACAGTTACACCGCATAACAAGGTCTTTGTTAAACTCCCAGTATGAGGAACAACTCAGGCATTCAACAGTCAAGATTTCTTCACAGCTAAAAAATCCTAATGGCGGAAAGTCTTCACTGCCTGATCAATTCTTCGTCGGCAGAGAGGACAACTGGTCAGGTGCAAGGAGCATGTTGTACAACAGCACATATGACCACACCTGATGATAAAAATAAATGAATAAGCCATGTTATAAATTTAAGAAGTAATAAATTAGACTGCCTATTGTATCAAATACTGAAAAGGCAGTTCTTACGGCACAAAAACCGCATTATACTCATGCTCAAGGCATATCACACATAAATCTGGCATCAGCCTCTTGCTCCCATCTGACACATTATCATCTTTTTCATTCGAACCTGGGAGAAAAAAAGTTCAGCCTTTCATTTCAGTACATTTTCGGGCATAAATTGCATACAACATTGTAACGAGGACACTCATCAATATACCTTCATTATCTTCCCCAGATCTTTTAGCAGCTGCAGCAAGAACCCTGCACGGACAGGAATTTCATTATCTATTTGTCTCAGACAGACAGAAGAAACAATGGAAGAAACAGAGTTGAATAAATTGGGCTTTTACCCAAAACAATAAACCTCTTTGGAACAGGCGGCCTATTTTTATGAGTGCCAAAATCAATACATGCTGTTTTCCTTTACAATACTACATATGCAGCGACTTCCACGAGCAATCAATTTCCAAATAAACAGACAAACTTAGGCGAAACTTACCTTCTCTGCAATTCCCAACGGCGCCTTCTTTCCAAGATGTATTGGACAGAATGCTTAGCAACCAAATAAACACCAAACACGGTCAAACCCAAAGATGCGTATTTGTACCACCTGGTAAAAAGATCTATATTAATTAGACCACAGAAAAAGCACACCATTAAGAGGCACATGAGTGACATGTCAATACACATTCAGGCTTTCATATAAACAACCTTGCCCATTTCCCAAGGTTTGCAATAAGCTGATCAATGGTTTTGGGAGAGACATAAAATGGCCCTTTGTGAGGTCGTTGAATCCGGATGGTACCAATGTCATCTTTGACAGCCTGATATAAATTTGAAACAATAAGTGAGTATACAAATGAGTACACCGACATCATAACATTTCAATGCACACAATCAAAGAACTGGCTGCAAATACAAGGGCGATTTGTTTATTAAACAACAGGTTAAAGCTGTTTTACACGAGTGCAAGTTCTTATAAGACACAAGGCTCAGTCTCGGAAGACATCAAGGTGTTTGGATTACATACATGCATAACTTAAGTACATTTTGGTACCATACTAAACTAAAAACGCTTGTAGAAGCAGTAAATCTATAATGTAAACTGATGTCTATTATCTGAATATCAATTGTAATTTGTTGGCTTTAAGTTATTTCTATATGAAAGGATACAGTATCATATTAAACTACAACATACCTCACCAACAACACTCAAAGACGTGCCTGTTGGAAGTACTCTCTCAATTCGTTTGACACCAAGCATCTGAGACAAAATAACTATCATATTAGTTGAACCCACTTAGTTTTGCCAGATATAATTACTAAACAAGACAAACCTTGAGGCCCTGAAGATAATCTAATGTCCCACGTACGAGGGACCGCCCTGACTCTTCAAATACCTCACTTGCGACCGGCAATACAAAGCCTGTGGCACCTCGAGCTCCCACCACATGCACACGACCAGTTCCATCATCCTGATAAAAAGAACAAGGAACCACGATCATATCCTAATACTCAACTTTCAACTCCAAGTGAACTGAAAATAATATTTACTCAATCAAACACAAGAACGGACATGTGGAAGTCTCAGAAGACCACACCACGAATACGCCATTGTTGCATACTCTCATTTGAAAGAGAGAGAGAGAGCACAAATACTCACCAAGTACCAGGGGACTTCTTTACTCATTGAAAGCATCAAAGCAGAATCCTGTATCCATGAACCAGCATCATTGTGTTTCAAAAAATGTTGTTCTGCCTGAAGAAGATCAACAAGATAGTTAATTACCAATTACGAAATAAAACAAAAACATGACTGATGAAAGCATATATTGTTTAGAGTTATGACTTGCGTACCGTTTCCTCCACAACTACACCTCGTAAACCAGTGAACTCACAGGTGATGGGGGTTTCAGAGCTAACTCTCCCCGAAATTGCAACCACCAATGGTAATATGCACTCGGAATCCAACAATTTTGCTGAAAAGTGAGAGAAGACAAAAATTCTTACTTAGGAAACAAAGCCAAGCAGACTAACGGCATCGATCACTAGCAGATAAATCTTTTCCCAGGCAGATGTTCGACATGAAAATGCATTTAAAAGGCAATGGCTTTCAAAAAAGGCGCCAAAAAAGAAAATAAAAAACAAAAACCGGTCTTTAATTTCAGAAAAAGGGGCATACCCAATTCCTTCAACTGATTAATCCGAGTGGCCGATTTAAGAATATCCGCATCCCTGTGAAATCACACAACACCAAAGAAGTTACCCTCAACAAATATAATCTCTCCAAGAACTTATAAATACAAAAGACAAGGTTCTTCATAACTTCAAAGCGTGTAATTAATGGTCACTAAGCTCTTATTAAAACAAAGCTGATCCAATTTTAAAAATGGAGCATACACTGACCTGCCACTGCTCCTGCCAAGAAGGTAAAGAGCAGCTGCACTCAAACAACAACTTAATCCACCCCAAGGCAGCATCTTTTACAACCCTCAACAAGTAAAACCCTAATTCCAAACCATCGAGCTATTTCTCTCCGTCATAGTTATGTAATACTGGTGGGATCAAAGTTTACAATAAACGGATTCATAAAGAAAGAAAATGATACGCGAAAAATTGATGCTTTATGAAAAAGCTGAAGAAGAAAAATAGAGAAGGACGCCGGAATTAGGGATTTCGGGATTGGGAGGGGAAAACGAAAAGAGAAATTCTAGGGAAATAGGAAACCGCGAAGAAAGGGTTCTCGAATCTTTCTGTTCGTTTCCCGGGAAACTTAAAAAGGAAAAGTTGGGAAGGGAAATTAGGGAGAGGGAATTAGATACGAGAAGTGTTGGCAAGGGCGGAGGGAGGTGAAGGGACGAGAGAGAGAGAGAGACATAGAGCGACAGAGCTTTCGGTTTGGGCGTTTGCTAAGATCCTACCCATCACTCACGTGGATTGGGGTTGGGGATAGAAATGGTGTCAATGCAAAGATGGGAATTGTTTTTAGAGATTTTCTATTTAAACCCCGTACTTCTCTTTATTCACCTCAATACTTAAATCATTAAGCTGTAAGTTATTTTATTTTGTAAAAAGACAAAAAAGGTCATCCAACTTAATAATTAACCCTAGTACATTTATACACACACTCCATACACCCCACCACTCTTCATATTAAGTTTTAGAAACCTCATTCCAACTTCCTGTTTACAATCTCTCTCTCTCTCTCGCTCAAGTTCTCAACAAGACCGAAGTGTTAGAATTTCAGTTACAGTTCTTTGAGAAAGGTAAACTTGTTCTCTTTCTCTAGAAAGTATTAAATTTCGGATTTGTGGTTGATTTGTTTGTGTTTTTTTTGTCTGGGAATAAAGAAAATTGCGGGGTTTAAATAAAAAATCTCTTTTAGTTCTTATTTTTTCAGTTTGGGGTGTATTTAAGGATAGTTTAGGACGATAATGGGGTTTTCTTAGAAATTGTGAAAATTTAAATTAAAAGTTGGGGTGAACTAAGAGAAGTGTGGGGTTTAAATAGAAAATCTCTTGTTTTTATTTAATTTTTTTTTCCGACAGAAAAAAAAGGAAAATTTTTTTAAATGTTGACGTATTTTCATTGCAATCGAATGAAATAAAAAAGGGATATAGTATAGCCGAGCGGCTATACTATTAAGTAATAAAATTTAAAAGGGGCAGACTATAGCCGGGCGGCTATACTATTAATAAAATTAAAATATAGCCGCCGGCTAGACTATCAATAAATGGTATAGCCGCCCGGCGATACCATTTAATAAATAAATTTAAAATATCTGCAGAGTACAGCCGATCGGCTATACTATTTATTTAAATGGTTCAGACGTGTGCTGACTTAACAAAGGAATAGATGAGACGCTTTATTGTAACAAATGCGGGAAAGGCAGTTCTTACGGGAGAAAAACAACACTATACTCCTGCTCAAGGCATATCACACATGAATTGGTACCATTTGATGCATCAACAGCCCCTTCGTCTGAACCTAGGAGACAAAAAGTTCAAGACTCTTAGTACATTTAGGAAAATATAGTATATGGAAAATAACAGTGTGGTTGGGACGCTCCGCAATATACCTTCATCATCTTCCCCAGGTCTTACAGAAGCTGCAGCAACAGCCCTGCATAGGCAGTAATTTCATTTTCTATTGGTCTCAACAGACAGAAGAAAAGACAATGGAAAAAACACACATCTAGAGTTAAATAAATTGGGCTTCTATCCAAAAAATACACCTCTATGGAACAGGTGTGGCATATTTTCATGAGAAACAACATCAACATATAATGTTTGTCCTTTGCAGATCATATAAGCAGCATTTTTACTCGCAGTCAGTTTCTCAATAAACGTAACTTGGGCTAAAAACTTACCTGGTCAGGCTTCTCTGCAATTCAAAGCGGCGCTGTCTTTCCATGATGTATTCATTAAATTCCATGGCAATCAAAGTTCCATGGCAATCAAAGTAAGACCGATGAAAGCCAAACCAAAAGATGCATATTTGAGAAACCTGGTAAAGAAATCTATATTAATTAGACTTTAGATAAAGCACACATAAAAAAGCACATGAGCAGTGCAGAGGTATAAACACACACACGCACACAACACTAGCACACACATTTCTATATGCATTCAGAAATTCATATTAACAACCTTCCCCAGTTCCTATGGCTTGCAATGAGCTCGTCAATGGATTTGGGAGAGACATAAAATGGCCCATCGTGGGCATCGTGGGGTTTTTGAATTCGAATGGTACCAACGGCATCTTTGACAACCTGAACATGAACTTGAAAGATTGAAGGATTAGTATATAATTAAGTAGACTAACATCATAACATTTAAATGTGCAAAAAAATCTCCATCAGTGAACTTCCTACTAATAAATGGGGCATGTCTATGAAACTATAAGTTAAAGCTGTTTATTGTGTATACTATGAAACTACAAGTTAAAGCCTTTTATTGTGTATACAATACCAAGTTCTTCTAAGCAAAAAAGGCTCATCCTTGGAAAACATTAATGTGGTTGGAGTACATACATGCGCATCATCCACAACATCCATCCAACTTAATTATGTAAAGTTTGGTAGCATATTAAACTGATATGCTGTAATTCGATAATTTAAAGTCATATATATATATATATATAAATATATACACACACATGCACATTGAATTATCTGAATACTAGTAGTTGATTATTAGCTTCATAGCGTAGTTGTATGAAATGAAGGTGCTTCAAAACCTTGGGATATGAATTACTTGCAGCATCACATTGAATTACAACATACCTCGCCAACAACACTCAAAGAAGTACCAACTGGAAGTACCCACTCAGTTTGTTTGACTCCAAGTACCTAAGACAAAATAGTGAAAAATTTAGTTGAACCGATAAGTTTTGTCAGATATATAGATTACTAAACAAGGCAAACCTTGAGGCCTGGGCGGTAATCTATTGTCTCACATTTGAGGCATCTCCTTGACTGTTCAAATGCCCCACTTGAAGCCCGGAAGGTTAAAGCCTGAGGCACCTTGAGCTCCCACCGCATTCACACGACCAGTCCCATCATCCTGGTATAAAAAACCAAGGAACCACCATCATATCACGTTAGTCAACGTTCAACCAAGTGCACCCAAAACTAATATTTACTTAATCAAGCACAACAATGAACATGCGGAATTCTCTAAGAAGACCACACCCCAAATACACCATGGTTGCGTACTGATACTCTCATGAGACACAGAGAAAGAGAGCACAACCACTCACCAAATACCAGGGGACTTCTTTGCACGTTGAAAGCATAAAATCAGAACCCGATCTCCAATCACCATCCACGTTGCGTTTCAAAAACTTTTGTTCTGCCTAAAGAATATATAAAGAAGATTGCAATTAGAAAAAATAAAAATAAAAATAACCTCAAAAGAAAGAATCCCATATTATATATGGCATCTAGAGTTGTGATTTGTACGCATTGCTCCACAATTACACCTCGTAAACCACCAAACTCACAGTTTATGGGGGTTTCAGAGCAAACTCTCACTGAAATTCCAACCACCAAGGGCACATGCTCAGCATCCAACAATTTTGCTGAAACATGAAAGAAGACATTGTTATTTTGGAAACAAATCCAAGCAGATTAACAGCATCACTAGCAAATAAATCTTTTCCCAGCAGATGTTTCATATGAAAATGCGTTTAAAAGGCAAAGCAGTGCGCTGCCAGGACTAAAAACTTGACTCTCTAACATTTGTGATGAGTTCCATGTATACTCACAACCGTTTCAATCTCATTATCACATTGCTTCTTTTCTCATACACGTTTATCAAAATTACAAATTGTAAATCGAACTCAAATGGAACTTTAAGAACAACTAAGAATTTCTATACGTTTATGGAAAAGACAGGAATTCTCCAACAGTCTTTCAGAAAAGGCGCCAAACTAGAAAAATCGATAAAAACTTTTCAAGAAAGGCACATACCCAATTCGCTCAACTGGTCAATCCGAGGCACCGCTTTAAGAATATCTGCATCCCTGTAAAATCACAAAAACACCAAACAAGTTTAATTTCTTTCTACAATAACTTCAAATTAATCGTTAATAATGGAGCATGAACAGACCTGCTGTGGCTCCATCCAAGAAGGAAAATAGCAACTGCACCCAGGCAACACAATAACCAGTTCCAATCTCGCATCTTCAACTCTCTGCCTCTCCGAAGAAGAAAACAATTTCTTTTTTTCTTTTTTTCTTTTGTTATTCAACTAAATTCCTTTCATAACAAGAAGTCTAGTTATGTAGAAGACCTTTCCACTTAAGAAGTAAGAAAGCTTACGAATGAAGGAAACCAAAATTAATACGAGGCCAAAAAAATCCTTATTTAAAATAATTTAAATTCCTAAAATCCTCATTCCCAACGGACACGTGTATTTTTAAAGTTATGTGCGACGTCATCAGTTCTAATCGGAATTTTATCGAACACCTTGCGGGCAGTAGAAATTCTTCTGCACGGCACGTGTTTGTTTTCTACTGCACGGCACGTGTTTGTAGGGCAAGAAGTGACGTTGAATTTTCTGCATCAATCCTTTTCTTGAACGCCAGGTTTGAACATTTTTATCTTACATTTTAAAAATTGATAAACGTTAATTATACTATAAAATAAATCAGTGAGAGAAAGAGGAATTTACATCAATCCTTTCAACCTCAAAACGAATGGTGCCGTTACACTAAAAAGTTATAGAAGTTGCAAATTTACATTCATAAGCAAAAAGTTGAGGGCCATTGGCACAGTTGCACCACATAGCAGAGTCAGATTGAGAGTACAAAAAAGAACAATTAAAGGCCTTCAAATTCTCAAAACTAAGATCCAATCATCGACATTCTCTGCAATTTCTCTCAACGGGGCTTTGTTTCCATGATGAATCAGATAGAATGCTTAGCAGTCTGGACAGCACCATACACAGTCAAACCGAAAGCTGCAAAGTAGCAGAAGCTGGCAATGAAAGACATCTAAGTTAGTTTGGAGTTTAGAGAAAGCACACATGGAGGAAGAGATGCACATGACACGAGCAGCAGCAAACGAAAAAACGTCGCAAACATACACACACACGCTACAACATGTTTGTAAGCATTCAGGGATTCATACAACCAACCTTGCCCAAATCCTACTGTCTCCAGTGAGCTGATCAATGGTATGGGGAGAGACATAAAATGGTCCTCCGTCCGGTGCCCGAATCGAAATGGTACCATTGCCATCTTTGACAGCCTGAACAAGAATCATAAAATGGGGGCATTTCAATGTCATAAACATCATAACATTTCAATATCAACAAAAGCTCCATCTAAGAACTTGGTGCAAATAAAATGGGGGAATTCTATGAAACTACAACCTAGTAAAGCAGTTTATAGTTTCATACTAGGTTTATCCAAGGATCACCAACAACACTTAAAGAAGTACCAACTGGAAGTACACGCTCAATTCGTTTGACTCCAAGGACCTAAGGCAAAATATCCAAGCCATCATATTACTTGAAGAACCAATGAAGTTTTGTATGTATATAAAGATCACTAATAAAGTAAGCCAAATCTTGCGGTCTTTCTACCCTTTTGTTATGGAAGGAAGGTTTTCGAGATCAGCTACTGTCTCAATTCCAGGCCAGCTTTTCTTTGATCCTTTAAATACTGCATTTTCAGCTGGGCAGTAAAAGCCGCTGGCACTTTGAGCTCCCACCAAATGAACACACCATGGTTGAGAGAGAGAGAGAGAGAGAGAGAGAGAGTAAATTCTCACCAAATACCGTGGGACTTCTTGTGTGGTAGAATTCAAGAGTTTATGAGTCTTCATCCATATATCATCCCTGTCCTTATCCTCGTCCTTATCCATGTTCTTGATGCGTTCCAGGAAATACAGCTAGAATCTTTTCAAAGGAGACGATCAACATACCTGTCTGTCATTGTAACAGCCAAGAAGGAAAAGAGCACCTCCGCCCAAGCACCACAGTACTCCATCCTGAACCATCTTGTGCTGCTCTATCTATGAAGAAGAAATAAAATCTGAAGCATCCTGAAGCATCTTCTGCATTTGGGTGAAGTTCCAACCTGCGCGGCTATACTATCCTGAAGCATCTTCTACACCATAAAAATGAAAACATTAAAACAAAACATTTTCATACTCTAAGCACGAAGCCAAAAAGCCGAATGCTTAACCCTGAACCCCAAAGCGAAGCCATTTTAGACCTAAACATGATATCACCACCGCTACAAAATAGAAAAGAAATGCTGGATATATCATAATCATTGCTAGCTTACAAAGAAACAGAGCACAAAAAGAGCCTACAAGAAGAAATCAACTGCTTCTAGACTTGAATTTTTTTCAAATTAACATTGGAATTTGGAAGAAGAGAGAAAAATATACCAATACCTCTCTTTTTTTGTTACAAAGGGGAGACGAGATTACAATACAACTGTGTAGTAGTTAATATATAGAACTCAGAGTTCTAAGATCACAAGCAACCTGTGAATCCATGCATGTTTAGCATTTTGAGCCCTGGACACATGAAACCAGAAGCAGCTGAGAAAGCATAGACTGCAAAAGAAGCCAAAGGACGCTGAAAGAGGCCATTGTTGTTTCAGACTTTCATTCAATCGCAGTGTTCAAAAAATGGGCCTAGGCAGGCGGCTAGGTGGCTAGGCGGTCGCTAGAAGGGCTCAAGGCAGTTAGGATGTCGCTAGGAAGGCGCGAGGCTGTCGCTAGGAATGCGCGAGGCTGCTAGGCGGTTGCTAGGCGGTTTCTAGGCTGGCGCGAGGCGGCTAGGCGGTCGCTAGGCGGGTGCGAGGATGCTAGGCGGTCGCTAGGCGGCTAGGCGGTAGCTAGGCGGGCGCCTAGGGGGGTTGGGTCTTTTTTCGTTTCCGAACCCGGAGGAAGAAGCCGCCGAAACCAAAGAAAACAAATCGAAGCTTGAGTTGATAGAGAAGAGAAATGGCTTGACTGCGAGTGAAGTTCCGTACTCTGCAAGTGCAAGCTCCGTGTTCGTCTGGAATATATTTAATGAGTCTAGCCGCGCGGCTATACTTTTTAAATAAAAATATATTTAAAGCGTACAGCCGCTGATATTCAAATCGTATAGCCGCTCGGCTAGACTATATATATATATATGTATATATTTCCACCGCCACCTCCAGAGCTCAACAGCTCCGTCAGCGAACAAAAGAAGAAAAAAACCCCAAGAAAAACGAGTGAACATAGGTAATTGAAAACAAAAGGCTTGCCCAGTATTGTACAAGTAGTGCAAATGAAGACAAATAGTGAACAAAGAAAGAAAATAAGAGAGGAGGGAGAGGGAGAGGAGAGAGAGAGAGAGAAGCAAAAGAACAAGTAAAAAATACTTCAAGTGATTTTGGTTATGCTTCAAAAATAAAAATGATAATCGAAAGGAAAAGAAGGAAAAAATACTTCATGTAATGTATGATTTATACATTCATTATACATGATCAAGTGCTTGCCTCGTTCTGTTCTTGAAACTTGACACAAAGGGAGGGGTGTTAATGTAGAACAGAACCCAAGTGCTTGCCTAAATATGAATATATATATATATTTCTTGGTCATCAAGTTTACTGTTTTATTCCTTTCTTTACCTTGTTTCAACTTTATTTCTTTCATGAGTTTTTTTTTAATTTTTTAAAATTCCACTATAAAATGACTTCTTGTTATGTAAAAGAGCATCAGTTGAATAATAGAAAAGAACGAATTTGTTTCTCTTCATAGAGAGTACAAGATGCCTAAGCATGGAATACTAAGTTGTTTGGGCGGAGGTGCTCTCTACCTTCTTGGCTGGTTCTGTGACAGGTCCGTTTACACTTCATCTTTTGAAACTAAATCTAGCTCTATGTTAATCGTCTTGTTTCAAAAGATTCTAGCTTTATGTTAAGCAGAGCTCAGTAACAATTAAGTACACATTTTGAAGTTCTGAAGCACCTTTTTTTTCTTCTTCTTTTGTTTGGTACATTTAAGTTCTAAAGTGTGATTAAATTTCTTGGTGAGTAACACTTTTTGCGTTTTGGGTTATCAAAGTGATGCAGATAATCTTCAATCAGCCCGTCGGATTTGGAAGTTGAAGGATTTGGGTAGGCTGCAGTGTTTCTTGAAGTATGTGAAATTCCTACATAAGAATTTTTATCTCATCATTTCATTTTTCAGAGAGATTTTTGAGATATGAAAATAGATTGGTGGTCGCAATTCGGGGAAAAGTTTTCTCGGAAACTCCCATCAACTGTGAAATTAGTGGTTTACAAGGTGTAGTTGTGGAGCAAAGGGTATACAAATCATAACTCTAAACAACTTATACAAATTTGGATGCTTTCTTTAGTGGTTGGTACTTCTTTGAGTGTTGTTGGTGAGGTGGTAGTTTCATGAAAATGTCCCATTTTATTTGCACCAAAGTTCTTGTTCAGGCTGTGAAAGATGGCAATGGTACCATTTCGATTCGGGATCCATACAGAAGACCATTTTATGTCTCTCCCAAAACCATTGATCCTATGAATCCTTGAATGCATACAAACATGTGTCACTTGTGTGTGCATTCTCTAAAGTCTAAACTAATTGATGTCTTTATAACCAGGTTGTTTTATGTTGCATCTTTTGGTTTCACTGTGAATGGTGGTGTCCAGATTGGAAAGCATTCTATCTGATTCATCATGGAAACATAGCTCCATTGAGAAATTGCAGAGAAAAAGAAAATGTCGATGATTGGATGATATTTTTAAGAATTTGAAGGCCTCCTCAACTTTTGCTTATGAACGTAAATTTGCAATTTCTATATATTGTACGGATTACTTCTCCAAATTTGTAACGATTACGGGGTGAAACTTTGTATAAGATATACCATGTGGCGATACTAGCATAGTGTAATGGCTCTTCCCAATTTTTGTGTAACATGTAATGTATGATTTTTTTTATAAAAAAAATAAAAATTGTAAACGAGCCAAGCTGAGCCGAATCTTGGGCTATAAGGCAAGCCAACCTTTTGGGCTCAAAACTTTTTGTAGGGCTTGCAATATGATTTTAACGTTTTAGCCCACCCCAATCAGGGCTGCCTCTGAAACTTGCCTGAATTTGTATATTTCTTGGTCATTAAGTTTGTTACAAATTTGTTACCCTTTTCAACTTGCCAATTGGTTTCTACTGTATGCTGAGGATTCTGATCATAATTGCCAATTGGTCACAGAAAGTGGTAAGAAGTTCTCCGTGAGACTTCCGGAGCTGGACGGAACAACTTGCCTTGCATCGAACCAAGGATGGCTTCTTTTGTTCAAGAAACAAGGTCTTGAAGGTGAAGCTGTTGGTAATTGTGGTGGCTCTTCATCACTGTTCTTCTTTCGGCCCTTCTCCAAAACAAAAATAGACCTTCCGGGATGCCCTTTCTTGGAGCTCTCTGATCATGTTGCAGCATTTTCGTGTGTTCCAACTTCCCGGGATTGCACAGTTTCTGTCATAAACCGCGTCAATGATTATGAACCGAAGCTACATTTACTTCGCCGCGGAGCCAAGGAATGGTTCCAATATGACATTCCTTGTTCAGGTTTCAGTACAATCAATTGCGCTGTTTACCACACTCAAAAACAAGAATTGTACTTTTTCGACCGTAGAGACTGTGTGCTCATTATCGTATCTACTATTTCATAACCCACTAACCGCCTTGAGCCCTTCTAGCGACCGCCTAGCCACCTAGCCGCCTGCCTAGGCCCATTTTTTGAACACTGCGATTGAATGAAAGTCTGAAACAACAATGGCCTCTTTCTGCGTCCTTTGGCTTCTTTTGCAGTCTATGCTTTCTCAGCTGCTTCTGGTTTCATGTGTCCAGGGCTCAAAATGCTAAACATGCATGGATTCACTGGTTGTTTGTGATCTTAGAACTTTGAGTTCTATATATTAACTACTACACAGTTGTATAGTAATCTCTTCTCCCCTTTGTAACAAAAAAAGAGAGGTATTGGTATATTTTCTCTCTTCTTCCAAATTCCAATGTTAATTTGAAAAAAATTCAAGTCTAGAAGCAGTTGATTTCTTCTTGTAGGCTCTTTTTGTGCTCTGTTTCTTTGGAAGCTAGCAATGATTATGATATATCCAGCATTTCTTTTCTGTTTTGTAGCGGTGGTGATATCATGTTTAGGTCTAAAATGGCTTCGCTTTGGTGTTTCAGGGTTAAGCATTCGGCTTTTGGGCTTCGTGCTTAGAATATGAAAATGTTTTGTTTTAATGTTTTCATTTTTATGGTGTAGGTTTTTTGGAATCAATAAAACACTGGTGAACTTGAAGAAGTTGTTTGGCGTGTAGGTAGTTTGTAATTCTCGTTATAAGGTACCTTGAATTTGATATTCTTAATCCATTTGAAGTATTTCTTACTCTCTGTTTTTTTTTAAATTGATCCAATGATAGAAATAGCAGACCAAACCCAACATATTAAGAAAATTGCAGACCTCACAGATTGTTGCCTTCTTTTACAAGTTAACAACTTGGTTATATATTCACTGCTAGTTGCTAGCCTTCACTTATTGGTTCATAAACCCTAATTCTTTTCCATGTTAGTTCCTTCGATTTTAACATATATATATATATATATATATGTATGTCTCTGCATGGATGTATGATGTGGATGGAGCAGCTAAGAAAGTAAATTACAATATGGGCCAGTGCTTTTGCAAAATGTCTATTGGAGACCAAATGCAAATGCAAATAAAACAATGGCCTCCATGGTCTGATCTTCCTTCTGACCTTGCGTCAAACATAGCAGAGCGTCTAGGCCCCATCGAGCTTCTGAGTTTCCAGAGCGTCTGCAAAGCTTGGAACTCTGCTTCTTCCACTGCCTCAGCTAAAATTGAATCCACACCAGACTTTGAACCCTGGTTTCTACTGTATGCTGAGGATTCTGATCATAATTGCCAATTGGTCACAGAAAGTGGTAAGAAGTTCTCCGTGAGACTTCCGGAACTGGATGGAACAACTTGCCTTGCATCGAACCAAGGATGGCTTCTTTTGTTCAAGAAACGAGGTCTTGAAGGTGAAGCTGTTGGTAATTGTTGTGGCGCTTCATCACTGTTCTTCTTTCGGCCCTTCTCCGAAACAAAAATAGACCTTCCGGGATGCCCTTTCTTGGAGCTCTCTGATCATGTTGCAGCATTTTCGTGTGTTCCAACTTCCCGGGATTGCACAGTTTCTGTCATAAACCGCGTCAATGATTATGAACCGAAGCTACATTTACTTCGCCGCGGAGCCAAGGAATGGTTCCAATATGACATTCCTTGTTCAGGTTTCGGTACAATCAATTGCGCTGTTTACCACACTCAAAAACAAGAATTGTACTTTTTCGACCGTAGAGACTGTGTGCTCATTATCGTATCTACTATTTCATAACCCACTAAGCTGGAGGTTTTCCAGATGGTCTTCTGAGTATTCTGTGGGACCCAAATCAGATTTCATTGCTTACGCTAGTTATTTCAAGAACACTGACATGAAGAAGAAGCTGGGGTCGCCAGATGAATAGCGCCAAGGAATACATGTATTATATAGGAATTTCCCCGAAATGCAACCATCAATCTATTGTCAGATTTCAACAATGGCTCTGAACAGTAAAACGATATTTAAAAAATATATATGATATAGGAATTTCAAGAGTTTCTACTGGAAAAAAGAAACAGTGCATACCCGAACCCTTGAACTCTGTAAACAGTGCATACTGAGCTCTGCTGAACAAAGCGCTTGAATCTTTTGAAGGGAGACGATTAACATAAAGCTGGAGCATAAACTGACCTGTCACAGAAGCACCTCCCAACAAACAAAATAGTATACCTGCAAACATCTTCTTCTACTCTCTGTCAAAGAAATCAAATTTGACCCTCTACATAAAGCATCTTCTTTTATGGAGGAGTTTTAGTAAATAAGAAAAACCCAGGAAAGAAATCAAGTTGAAAAAGGTCACAAATTTGTAAGCTGTAACGAACTTGATGACCAAGAAATATTCTTATTTAGGGAAGCCCTCGTGTCAAGTTTCGGAGGCTTATTAGCTAACCGTAAAATTGAAAAAAAAATAAAAAAATCTATACCTATATTCTTGTGTCAGTTGATAGTTCCACAAAATAGAGGCAAAAATGATAATGGTCAGTGCCATTTATTTTATTTTTTTTGTACAAGCGATAGTTTAAACTAGAGAGAATGGGGATTTCTCACACACAAATGATGTCATGCTGACCCTAATATCTGTTTAGGTTTAGGTTTATCCAACAAAAGATAAAAAGAGAGCCTTTGTGAAACAGGTTCATGGATTAGCACTCAAGGCATCTCCCATCTTTGCGGTAGCCGGAATATTGGTTAGTAACTCATTAGCCTTTCTCAAAGCATACTCTCCATGCAGATCAGTTTCTTTTAAAATCGACTTTTCGTGTCTTTTCTCTTTTCATTCTCTAGTTAACAATTCATTTCTGCATTCAGATCTTTGTAGGATCCTTTTCAATAGGAATGATAAAGAACAACTAAAGTTTTTTTCTTTTCCCTCTCTCTCTTCTGTGCATCTGTGTGCAGTATTCAATGTTTGGCTCCATTTTGACATTTGGTGCAATGTTTGGCCTCTCTCCCTTTTTGGTCGAAAAGGGGTACGATTTGAGAAACTATGTTGAATATATAGGGCACACCTTACTTATGTTCATTGATATTCGGTCTCTAACAGTATCTAAACTGTAAACTGTATGCAGGCCTTGAGAATGTCCCGTGTTTTTTGTGTTGCAGGTTGGCTTCCAATTTTACTCTTGAAATTTCTCTGTGCTTTCACCTACCAAGCAAATATTCTCCTCAGATATGTAACCTTATTCATGTTCTACATCATGTTCTACTGAAGGGGGCTTTCTCTCTGGACATTGGGAGACTGGCAACCGGGTACGGTAGTGGAGCCTTTTCATACGTTGTGAGTTATTATCCTCCTCTATCATTTGACTATTTCAAGTTTCAACATATGTTATTAACCAAGTTTGATGCAATATTGACAATAATAATAATTCGATGGCATGCAAATATGAAGTCAGCTGGAGGAGCTCAAAGGTAGGAGAAGAAAGAGGGGTGTGAAGGTAAAAAAGAACCATCTTTTCTTGAAGAAATTAAGTATGTTCAGGGTTAAGCTTCCCTTCTTTTCCTTTCGATTATCATTTGATTTTTGAAGCATAGCCAAAAATTACTTGAAGTCTTTTTCCTTGTTCTTTTGCTTCTCTCTCTCTCTCTCTCTCTCTCTCTCTCTCTCTCTCTCTCTCTCTCCTCTTATTTTCTTTCTTTGTTCATTATTTGTCTTCATTTGCACTACTTGTGCAATACTGGGCAAGCCTTTTGTTTTCAATTACCTGTGTTCACTCGTTTTTCTTGGGGTTTTTTCTTCTTTTGTTCGCTGACGGAGCTGTTGAGCTCTGGAGGTGGCGGTAGAAATGTATATATTTAATATATATAAAGAGGCTAGCCACCCGGCTATACGCTTTAAATATATTTTTTATTAAGTCGTATAGCCGAGCGGCTATACGCTATAAATATAATTTTAATTTAAGAAGTATAGCCGCGCGGCTATACGCATGAATTATATTCCAGACGAACTCGAAGCTTGCACTCGCAGTAAAGCCATTTCTCTTCTCTATCAACTCAAGCTTCGATTTGTTTTCTTTGGTTTCGGCGGCTTCGTCCTCCGGGTTCAGAAACGAAAAAAGACCCAACCCGCCTAGGCGGCCGCCTAGCTATAGCCTAGCCGCCTAGCGACCGCCTAGCATCCTCGCACCCGCCTAGCGACCGCCTAGTCGCCTCGCGCCCGCCTAGCAACTGCCTAGCAACCGCCTAGTAGCCTCGCGCCTTCCTAGCGACATCCTAGCCGCCTCGAGCCTTTCTAGCGACTTCCTAGCCACCTAGCCGCCCGCCTAGGCCGATTTTTTGAACACTACGATTGACTGAAAGTCTAAAACAACAATGGCCTCTTTCAGCGTCCTTTGGCTTCTTTTGCAGTCTATGCTTTCTCAGCTGCTTCTGGTTTCATGTGTCCAGGGCTCAAAATGCTAAACATGCATGGATTCACAGGTTGTTTGTGATCTTAGAACTCTGAGTTCTATATATTAACTACTACATGCTGCCGTCCGTTTAAAATGTTTCTGAACCAAACAAAAACATACACAGCAAGCACATTGACAATAATAATAATTCGAGGCATGCAAAGATGAAGTCAGCTGGGGAAGCTCAAAGGTAGGAGAAGAAAGAGGGGTGTGAAGGTAAAAAGAACCATCTTTTCTTGAAGAAATTAAGTCTTTTTTCCTTCTTTTCCTTTCGATTATCATTTTTATTTTTGAAGCATAGCCAAAAATCACTTGAAGTCTTTTTTACTTGTTCTTTTGCTTCTCTCTCTCTCTCCTCTCTTATTTTCTTTCTTTGTTCATTATTTGTCTTCATTTGCACTACTTGTACAATACTGGGCAAGCCTTTTGTTTTCAATTACCTATGTTCACTCGTTTTTCTTGGGGTTTTTTTCTTCTTTTGTTCGCTGACGGAGGTGGCGGTGGAAATATATACATATATATATATATAAATAGTCTAGCCGAGCGGCTATACGATTTGAATATCAGCGGCTGTACGCTTTAAATATATTTTTATTTAAAAAGTATAGCCGCGCGGCTAGACTATTAAATATATTCCAGACGAACACGGAGCTTGCACTTGCAGAGTACGGAACTTCACTCGCAGTCAAGCCATTTCTCTTCTCTATCAACTCAAGCTTCGATTTGTTTTCTTTGGTTTCGGCGGCTTCTTCCTCCGGGTTCGGAAACGAAAAAAGACCCAACCCCCCTAGGCGCCCGCCTAGCTACCGCCTAGCCGCCTAGCGACCGCCTAGCATCCTCGCACCCGCCTAGCGACCGCCTAGCCGCCTCGCGCCAGCCTAGAAACCGCCTAGCAGCCTCGCGCATTCCTAGCGACAGCCTAACCGCCTTGAGCCCTTCTAGCGACCGCCTAGCCACCTAGCCGCCTGCCTAGGCCCATTTTTTGAACACTGCGATTGAATGAAAGTCTGAAACAACAATGGCCTCTTTCTGCGTCCTTTGGCTTCTTTTGCAGTCTATGCTTTCTCAGCTGCTTCTGGTTTCATGTGTCCAGGGCTCAAAATGCTAAACATGCATGGATTCACTGGTTGTTTGTGATCTTAGAACTTTGAGTTCTATATATTAACTACTACACAGTTGTATAGTAATCTCTTCTCCCCTTTGTAACAAAAAAAGAGAGGTATTGGTATATTTTTCTCTCTTCTTCCAAATTCCAATGTTAATTTGAAAAAAATTCAAGTCTAGAAGCAGTTGATTTCTTCTTGTAGGCTCTTTTTGTGCTCTGTTTCTTTGGAAGCTAGCAATGATTATGATATATCCAGCATTTCTTTTCTGTTTTGTAGCGGTGGTGATATCATGTTTAGGTCTAAAATGGCTTCGCTTTGGTGTTTCAGGGTTAAGCATTCGGCTTTTGGGCTTCGTGCTTAGAATATGAAAATGTTTTGTTTTAATGTTTTCATTTTTATGGTGTAGGTTTTTTGGAATCAATAAAACACTGGTGAACTTGAAGAAGTTGTTTGGCGTGTAGGTAGTTTGTAATTCTCGTTATAAGGTACCTTGAATTTGATATTCTTAATCCATTTGAAGTATTTCTTACTCTCTGTTTTTTTTTAAATTGATCCAATGATAGAAATAGCAGACCAAACCCAACATATTAAGAAAATTGCAGACCTCACAGATTGTTGCCTTCTTTTACAAGTTAACAACTTGGTTATATATTCACTGCTAGTTGCTAGCCTTCACTTATTGGTTCATAAACCCTAATTCTTTTCCATGTTAGTTCCTTCGATTTTAACATATATATATATATATATATATGTATGTCTCTGCATGGATGTATGATGTGGATGGAGCAGCTAAGAAAGTAAATTACAATATGGGCCAGTGCTTTTGCAAAATGTCTATTGGAGACCAAATGCAAATGCAAATAAAACAATGGCCTCCATGGTCTGATCTTCCTTCTGACCTTGCGTCAAACATAGCAGAGCGTCTAGGCCCCATCGAGCTTCTGAGTTTCCAGAGCGTCTGCAAAGCTTGGAACTCTGCTTCTTCCACTGCCTCAGCTAAAATTGAATCCACACCAGACTTTGAACCCTGGTTTCTACTGTATGCTGAGGATTCTGATCATAATTGCCAATTGGTCACAGAAAGTGGTAAGAAGTTCTCCGTGAGACTTCCGGAACTGGATGGAACAACTTGCCTTGCATCGAACCAAGGATGGCTTCTTTTGTTCAAGAAACGAGGTCTTGAAGGTGAAGCTGTTGGTAATTGTTGTGGCGCTTCATCACTGTTCTTCTTTCGGCCCTTCTCCGAAACAAAAATAGACCTTCCGGGATGCCCTTTCTTGGAGCTCTCTGATCATGTTGCAGCATTTTCGTGTGTTCCAACTTCCCGGGATTGCCAGTTTCTGTCATAAACCGCGTCAATGATTATGAACCGAAGCTACATTTACTTCGCCGCGGAGCCAAGGAATGGTTCCAATATGACATTCCTTGTTCAGGTTTCGGTACAATCAATTGCGCTGTTTACCACACTCAAAAACAAGAATTCTACTTTTTCGACCGTAGAGACTGTGTGCTCATTATCGTATCTACTATTTCATAACCCACTAAGCTGGAGGTTTTCCAGATGGTCTTCTGAGTATTCTGTGGGACCCAAATCAGATTTCATTGCTTACGCTAGTTATTTCAAGAACACTGACATGAAGAAGAAGCTGGGGTTGCCAGATGAATAGCGCCAAGGAATACATGTATTATATAGGAATTTCCCCGAAATGCAACCATCAATCTATTGTCAGATTTCAACAATGGCTCTGAACAGTAAAACGATATTTAAAAAATATATATGATATAGGAATTTCAAGAGTTTCTACTGGAAAAAAGAAACAGTGCATACCCGAACCCTTGAACTCTGTAAACAGTGCATACTGAGCTCTGCTGAACAAAGCGCTTGAATCTTTTGAAGGGAGACGATTAACATAAAGCTGGAGCATAAACTGACCTGTCACAGAAGCACCTCCCAACAAACAAAATAGTATACCTCCAAACATCTTCTTCTACTCTCTGTGAAAGAAATCAAATTTGACCCTCTACATAAAGCATCTTCTTTTATGGAGGAGTTTTAGTAAATACGAAAAACCCAGGAAAGAAATCAAGTTGAAAAAGGTCACAAATTTGTAAGTTGTAACGAACTTGATGACCAAGAAATATTCTTATTTAGGGAAGCCCTCGTGTCAAGTTTCGGAGGCTTATTAGCTAACCGTAAAATTGAAAAAAAAATAAAAAAAAATCTATACGTATATTCTTGTGTCAGTTGATAGTTCCACAAAATAGAGGCAAAAATGATAATGGTTAGTGCATTTTTTTTTTTTTTTTTTTTTTTTTTTTTTTGTACGATAGCGATAGTTAAACTAGAGAGAATGGGGATTTCTCACACACACACACAAATGATGTCATGGGAGTTCTAATATGAGACCTCTTATCTACAAGTTAAGGCCCTTTTACAATGAGTTAAACCCCATTAGCAATTGGTGCCACTTTTGTTTTAAGTAATAGATGAACTTTGGTATCTTGTTTTAATTGGTAAATGGTCATACATGAATTATGCAGAATATAATACCATAATAATATTCATAATTTTACACAAATTTTCCATCAAGTGACCATTTCCAATATTGAGAAGACCCATTAAGGTATAGAGACAGTTTTTATTATTATTTAAACACAAGCAATAGTTTAAATTACAACGCGATGGAGGTTTCTCACACACACTACTCAAGTGTCATTGGAGTTCAAACCTAAAACCACTTATTTACAAGTCAATGTATTTTTCCACTCGGCTAGACCACATTGGTATAGAGACATGAGTTTTAGAAAATGGAAAATGTAGTTTGCCGTTGCTGACTTCAGAGACTTGCTACATTGTTTTTCAGTTTTACTAATACAACTGTCAAGTGTGTGTGTTTGTGTGTGAGCAAAGTCAAATTGAGAATATAAAGAGACAATTTAAGGCCTTCAAATTCTTTTAAAAGTATAATCCATTACAATCATCGACATATATTCCTCTTCTCTGCAATTTCTCAACGAGGCGGTGTTTACAAAAAATGCAAACCAATATCGGCAACACCAAGCAAAGTGAGAACGACAGATCCACCATAGAAATACCTGGTAATTAAAGACACGTATATTATTAGTTTAGCCTTCAGAGAAAGCACACATGAAGAAAGACACATGTTTGTAAATTGTATGCATTAACCTTGCATCGCCCCTCTGCCTTTCAGTGAGCTGATCAATGGTGGTTCTTGGAGAGACATAAAATGGTCCTCCTCCGTCTGGTCTCTGAATGCAAATAGTACCATTGCCATCTTTGACAGCCTGAACAAGAATTGTACAATGGGGGCATTTCCATGTCAACAAAAGCTCCATCAGAAAACTTTTTGCAGATAAAATGGGGTATTTCAGAGAAATTACAACTTTTTTCTGTTAGCAAGCGATATTGAGGGACGAGGATTTTAACATGGGGCCTCAACTACAAATTAATAAAGCCGTTTATAGTTCCACACTAGATTCTTCCAAGGATCAAGGTAATTTTTAGGTTTAAAGTCTCTATTTGTATGTCAAAGGGTATGAAGTACTTGCAGCATCATATTAAACAACATACCTCACCAATAACACTCAAAGAAGTACCAATTGGAAGCACCCGCTCAATTCGTTTGACTCCAAGGACCTAAGACAAAATAGAGCCAAGCCATCATATTACTTGAACCCAATGGAGTTTTGTATGCATATAAAGATTACTTTTGTTATGTACGGAAGGTTTTCGAGATCATCTAATGTCTCAATTCCATGCCAGGTCCTTGATGGTTCAAAAACTGCATATCGATCTGTGCAGTAAAGCCTTCTGCACTTCGAGCTCCCACCACATTCACACGAAAAGTCCCATCATCCTAGTATAACAAAATCAAGGAACCACCAACATGTCCTGTTAAGTCAAATTTCAACTCCAAAAGAACCAAATTTAAAATTTCCTTAATCAAGCAGGCACAAAACAAACACGGCAAATACAGTACGAGAGAGAGAGAGAGAGAGCAAATTCTCACCAAATACAAACACGGCAAATACTATATTTTTAAAAAATTTAAAAACTCTAGTATAGCCGCCCGGCTATACGGTTACGAAAACACAAGAGGATCCTCCCAGTGATTAGGTGCCAGCATATCACATAAGTATACTATTTGTAAGAAATATTAATAAAACCTCGTATAGCCGCTCGGCTATACTATTTTTAAAAAAAATTTAGGGTTTAGCTCGGCTATACTATTTTTTAAAAAATTAGGCAAACAAGTATAGCCGAGCTAAAAAATTAGGGGAAAACGAGTATATATTCATATTTAGGCAAGCACTTGGTTCTGTTCTACATTAACACCCAGGTGAAAGAAAATATAAACTAATGATAAAAGAGGCCCCAACGTAGGGGTGGAAACTGGCTTGAAATTTCCCCCTCATATAATCATTTAAAACCACCGCCAAACGATTTTAAATAGGCCCCTACTTCTCCATATAATCATTTTAAAAATAACTTAAAATAATTATATAGAAAAGTAATTCTCCCCATTGTGTCAATTTTCAAGAACGGAATGAGGCAAGCACTTGATCATGTATAAATCATACATTACAGGTCACACAAATTTTCATTTCATCAATAAGTGACGAGGGAATTAAACTTGGACGAGTTTCAATATTAAAAAGATAAATATTCGTTACACCACGAATTATTTCGTCATGCCTCCTCACACATTAATTCATCCCATTAAGCTAACCAGAGCCCATGGACATATAGAGACAGAGTTTCAGAACATGGAAAACGTAGCCTGCCATTGCTGACTTTTGAGACTTGTTTTATTGTTTCTGAGAAAATTTGCATTCAATATTGGAAGATGTCAAGTGTCTCTGAGAAATTTCCAGTCAATATCTGGGTTGACACATACTGATTTGCAGCTCGAGTATAATGGCTGCCGTCCCAATTCACATATTCTTCTGGATTATTGCATGGTGTTGCAGCGACCGAAGTCCCATTGAGATTCTTGGTTTCTCCACAGTTAATCCGATTATCAAAATTTAATGGCAGACCACCATATCCACAGCAAGCTGCTATGCCTTGTTTGAATCCTGAAAGCCAATAATTAACGTTCTTGGATAATATTAATCTTGAGATCCATTTAAATTAATTAGGAAAGCTAGCTTACCATATTGAGAATAGTTTGTGATGAGGTCCAACTTTATTTTGTAGATGTTGATGTAAGTAACATTGGCTTCTGGGAATTTTCTCTGAAACTTGAAACAAAGATCATGCAGTTGTGCATTGAAAGCAGTAGCAGCACGGTTGTGGGAGGCAACGCATCCAAATTGGTCAAGCTGTGATGGGTTTTTCCCAAATGTTGCAATAATTCTTGGTAGGCATCCCAGTGGACCTGTGTTGTGAATCCAAAAATTCCTAGCCCCCTGATTGTATAGTTTCTGCAAAAGAAAACAAAAGTTAATATTTGTCTCAAATTAAGATTCTGAAGTATGAAAAATGACAGACAGAACCTGAATTCCGGTCTCGAATTCGGTCATAATAGATGGGATTAAAGCAACTACTTGGTCTTCTGATTTTAAAGAAAATGCACCATCAAGATCATTCTGTCCCACATCGAATGTGTAAAGGCCCTGCTTGAAATAATCTTCGAAAGGGAGGACATTTTGAAGCTTCTTGTCTAACTCCCACACCAGTCACCAAAACTCTCATCAGTAAATTCCACAAGATCAACAAGCCAATTCTTACCACATTATATAATCAGTACCTTTAGATAGTAACTCAAGAGCTTTTGCCTTGAATCTGCCAAATTGAGCAACCTGAATTCCAAAGGAGAAGGGGCTTATTGAGGCTGCATTGGCTGGAAGAACAGTAGACCCTCCAGTTGCAAAATTACATCCTGTTTGGAAGCTTGGTGCACCAACAGAATCCAAGTATGGATTCAGAAATGGTAGGTCCATTTCATTCACTGCAGCATATATTAAGGCAAATAAAGTAAAATTGTAACATGTCAAACATGTCTATGTAAACCAAATCTATATACATGTACATGTAAGAACAAAGATATATATACTTATGTAATCAATGATCAAATAGCCATTGCAGAAACGTTTAATAGGAAAAGCAATTCCTGCATTGAGGCCTCCGGTGTCTGAATTCGAATCGCCGAAGTTAAACACAGCCGGATAACTGAGATTGGCGGGGCTGGTTGTAGGCAAGAATGCAGCCAATGAGGCTAGCAATTGAAGGGCAAGGACTTTCAGAGCCATGGTTAAAAAGGATGATTTTTATTGAAGATGGATGGTTAAGGTCATAGAGGTGACACAATCTTTAATATATATAGGTGCTTAAGGTTAAGGTGGCAGGCCGGAACTTGAAAACTAAAGTTTGGTAAGATATAGGTGTCTTGTAAGCTGAAATAGCCACGTAGGGATGCAAATGCGATGAAGTGCCTTAAGTACGAATGCAAAGGTCTGAAAAATATACAGGGCAAATTGTGGGTAACTTGTCTTGCTTTCTGACACTTAGCCCTCCACTACAAGCCTCAACTTTGAGATGATCCAATCATCTAAGCATTCTGCTCTGTTAATTCAAGAAAGCAATTTGCTTACACACCGACCTCTAAGTTACAACTGGACCATGACCTTATCTGATTAGAGAAGCGACAAAATATAGAACTAATTCAAGCAATTAATAGAAATTTTACATACAAATGTGTATACAACGTTCCTCTCACAATAACTGATCACGTGACCAGCACATGAGAGATAAACGTGAGAGGACACAAAATTACCCTCAAATGTGCAATGAGTCTATACAAAGACATTACACACTTTTTCATTAGACTAGACTTATAGATATAGGTGTCTTGACCAATTATTGGAAAATGAACTCAGTAAGAATTGTTTACTTGTAATTAAGGTGAAAGCATCCCCTTGTACGACAAGTCGTTGGATGGCTTGATTCTTCAGCGTCATCCGTCATGTCGTCGTCGTCGTGCGATTACATAAAAGACGGGCCGGGTTCGATTGATACGGGTGGTTTTTTTGTTACCAAAAGCCCGTCAGCAAAACCCTCGAGAAATCCCAAAAGCCCTAAACGGCCTAAAGCCTAAAACCCCACAAACCACACACACTCCAAGTCTCCGCCACACTCTGAGTGAAGGCTGAAGCAAATCCTTCTCTCTGCTTCTTCGTCCTCATTTCCAATGGCTGCGGTCGCTCTCAGAAACCCTAGCTCCAGGCGCATCCTCCCCTACTCCTCGCAAATCTATTGGTGTACCCGAGGATCAGTTGGTTCTTCAATCTCTGAATCCAGTTTCGGAAATGACCGATCTTCTAGCCCCAATCCTTGGTGGAGATCCATGGCCACCTTCACACGCACGTTAGTATTCATCCGTTGTGTGTGTTTGTTACTTTGAGTTGGAATTTTTCATAATAAAAAATGGGACTTTTAGAAGAGAGAGATTTGTACGCTTGAGTTTTGTATTGTTTAATTTGTCCCACTTTATCATTTTAGTCTGAATTGGATTTATCACCATTCTTTTCTTGTTTACTCTTTTGAACTTGAATATCATGGGATAGGAATTTTTCTGGTTTTTAACTATAATCACATTCTTTATACATATGATGCTGTTTGGCCAACAGAAAACCTCATGTGAATGTTGGAACAATTGGACATGTCGATCATGGAAAAACCACTCTGACTGCCGCAATTACAAAGGTTGGTCATTGATGCAGTGATTGCTTTTCTATGCATGTTTCTGGACTGTATGTTTATCTGTATTTCCTTCTTAAGTAAGAACCTGAAAAGAATTTGCTAAAGAGAGCAGCTTTTCCAACCTTTAATACATCTCCTTCTCATGAAATGAGGCCCGGTACATATGAAAGAGTTGTCAACAAAAAAAGAAAGAATTTTCCATAATCGTAATGTTTTATATTTTCCTCAGGTACTATCTGAAGAAGGAAAAGCTAAGGCTATAGCCTTTGATGAAATTGATAAGGCCCCTGAAGAGAAAAAGAGAGGAATTACAATTGCAACGGTTAGTATGTTTTTCTTAATTATCATCTTGGCATTTTGGTATTTGTGGAATAGTGTAAGCTTCAATTGGGTTATTGCCTCATCTTCTCAAAGTATTATTCCAACCTAACTTGGGTTTGCCTTGATTTTGAAGGCTCATGTAGAGTATGAGACTGTCAAGCGACACTATGCACATGTGGACTGCCCAGGACACGCAGATTATGTCAAAGTAAGCTTTGAATTGAAGGGAACAATATTTGCATACATGAATTCTTCTAATAAGTATGATTAACACACAGAACATGATTACTGGAGCTGCCCAAATGGATGGGGGCATTTTGGTTGTATCTGCTCCTGATGGGCCTATGCCACAAACCAAGGAACACATTCTGCTGGCTCGACAGGTGGGTATTTTTGGGGTCACCAGATTGCAAAGAAAATCAAACTTATGTGCTTTTTCTCGTGTATTTGTGTGCACATTGATGTATATGTATACTTTTTTGTTGGGTGTATTGCGCAGGTCGGTGTGCCATCACTTGTGTGTTTTCTCAATAAAGTCGATGCTGTTGATGATCCAGAGTTGTTGGAGCTTGTGGAAATGGAGCTCCGTGGTTCGTAGATTTAGGAGATCACTTTATTAGCAGACGGCTTTATATTCAATTGAAGTTTTTTAATTTGTCTTATGTTTCTGGCAGAGCTTCTTAGCTTCTACAAGTTCCCTGGGGATGAAATCCCTATCGTCCGGGGTTCAGCTCTGTCGGCTTTACAAGGCACAAATGAAGAGATTGGCAAAAAGGCAATTCTAAAACTTATGGATTCTGTGGATGAATACATTCCTGACCCTGTACGCCAACTTGACAAACCTTTCCTGATGCCAATTGAAGATGTTTTCTCAATCCAGGTAAGTTGGGCATGCATTTAGCCATACTCGTGTAGACATTCCTAAATATTAATCCCTTTAGGGCATTGACATTTGTTAGAAGGATTGTCTTAAAGTTGGCCTTTAATTTTGTTCATAACATCTGGGTACGTTGCTTTCGTAATATCATTGCTGCTGCTTTTACTATTACTACTGTTTTGATCATGAAACTATTATTTTTATTATAAACTATTACTATTATAAAATTGATGTGATTTATTTGAATTGCCCATATTCTTGTGTTTCACATTTCTAATGCCTTACACTGTTCTGATCCTTATTTTTATTTGATTTTCTTTTTCTTTTGTGCGTGGTTTTTTGTAGTAGGTAGTTTCATTTTTAGCGGTCACTTCACATTATCAATTTCTTTTGTGTTTTGAAGGGTCGTGGAACTGTTGCCACTGGTCGTGTTGAGCAAGGGACCATTAAAGTTGGCGAGGAAGTTGAGATTCTGGGGTTGCATCAGGTCTGTCTAACACAAGTTTTTATATTGTTTGGTGCTGCAAAGCTTTCTTGTGCATTTATTTCCCTTTTATTTCTTTAGCAAATGTTTTGCTATGCAACTCATTCTATGATTTGGCATTGGCCTAAGGTGGACCTTTAATTTAGGTGGCATTGATCTTTGAATTAGTTTTGATAGCTTGAGGATAAAATACCACTCTAAGAAGGGCTAATCCTTAGTTTGTGTTCTTTGTCAGGGTGCTCCTTTGAAAACAGTGGTGACTGGTGTTGAGATGTTCAAGAAAATCTTGGATCATGGAGAAGTAAGTGACTGATTCTAAACACACTTCAATATATTAAGGCTTTTTGACCACACAAAATATATCTCATTGATGGGTTTATGCACTCGACTAGGCTGGTGATAATGTTGGTCTTCTTCTTCGAGGTCTAAAGAGGGAGGACATCCAACGAGGACAGGTGTGTGGTTTCAATTGCAGCAGAAAAATTACGTGTGGAAATTATTTTAAGAAAAGATATTGAACTTGTGGATATTACCTAGTGAGTGTATACCTTGTGAAAATGATTCTTTTATTGGTTATTTTTAATTTGATGCGCTAAGTTTCTTTCAATTGTTTGGGCAACTAAACTCTGTTTCAGCACTGACCGTTTGTAAATGTTGGATGGCTCTGCTGTACTTGTTTGTTCCTATTGCATAGGTAATTGCTAAGCCAGGAACAGTGAAGACACACAAGAGGTTTGAAGCAGAGATATATGTCCTCACAAAGGATGAAGGTGGACGCCATACTGCCTTTTTCTCAAACTACAGGCCTCAGTTTTATATGAGGACTGCAGATATCACTGGAAAGGTAGAATTGCCTGAAGATGTTAAGATGGTTATGCCTGGGGACAATGTTACTGCAGTTTTTGAGCTGATTCAACCGGTTCCTCTTGAAGCAGGTTTGTACACATCATCTCTGCTGCTGAAAGCTAAATAATCTGCTTGTCTGTGTGTTAATTTGACGTGGTTGTTATTTCCAGAGTTTCACTGTTTCTGTTTCCTTATTCCTTTTAATTGAAGTTTTGAAAGCTAAAACTTCCCTACGTTCATGTGGCAGGACAAAGATTTGCCTTGAGGGAAGGAGGTAGAACGGTTGGTGCAGGAGTTGTTTCTAAAGTACTCTGAGATGAGATTTTCCGGCTCGATCCTTGAATCTCTTTCTGTATGCACATTAGTGGAAAAAGGGGTGGGGAACCAAAAGAACTCTTCACTTAGAAAAAACTGACGTGTGGTAATTGGTTACATAATCCGCGTTGCATGAGTTTGTTTTAGGTATTTTCGATGAGATCATCTGTGTTAGGAAAAGAACAGAGTAAATTAAGAAGGAAATTTGGCACGTTTTCATCCCATAGTTTTTACCAAGGCTGTCAATAATGTGATCAGTGTCAGTTCGTTCAAGTAATTTATATTCTTTACCATGTACAATGTGACATTATTTTTTATCTTCCGGTGGCCGTCATTGCTAATCTGTTTCACTTGTTGAAAGCCTAATTGCTCCTTGTATGTTCTCTTTGTTCGTTTTTTAGTTTGCATGCTTGCTAGTTGCGAAAAAAGGTAATAGTAAAAATAAAAGATTTTGCCCTTTACCCAAAAAAAGTGTCCAAACAGAAAATAATCAAACAAAGATAACATAAAGAGCCAATTGACCTGGCAGAAAAGAGGGAAAAATGGAAAGCACGATTCCAACGGTATTTGAGTTCCAATAACAGCTATTATTAAAACATTTATTCTATAAACAATGAAAAAGTTATTTGAACAGCCATCGAGATTATAAGAACATAGAGGGGAAGAGAAAGACAGTTTCATGCGCAAAATTGTTTAGTACTACAGACTACCACCAAGTCACCCTTCTATCAATTCACATTCTACATGACTACTACTACTACCAGCTGACTGGTCATTATCCAGAGCTCGGATGACGAGAGCTCTGGTTCACGGCAACTGAAATCAGATTTCCAACTTTTCTTTCAAAGATGGGTTCTTCACCTCATGTCCAACAAGCTTCACCTCTCTGCCGATCACCCAACTTGGTCACCATATGTACAGATATTCTCTTGTTCATCGCTCTAGTCAAATGTTCCTCAAACCATCTGTGTATCTTCTTCTCATTTCATGCTCAAGCAAGCCTCAACACGGCCACTGCCATCAGTGTTGCAGCTCTAAAGTAAATCTCTTTCACACTTCCCTCTACCCTTTCCATTATTTCCTCTTCTTTTAGATCCAACTTCTTTGAATTCTTGCTGATATGAATAATTGTGTCCCTCAGCTTGTTCACTGCCCAAGAGAGCCAAACTAACCCAATTGCAACTCCAGTATTCAAGAGTTTGGACGCACAAAAGGGCCCCCTCCCACAACTTACTTTACAGAGGACAGAGAATAGGAGAGCTAAGCCGGTTCCAGCAATACTAGCAGAAAACTGGGTGAGGAGCTCTGGAACCTCAGGGCCAGATCTTTGAAGTGAGAGAATTGCTGATTTCCCATGCCGCCTTCTGTTAATCATTAAAGATAGAAGGCTCTCACAGGCGTGGAAATAGTTCCTCTTGTAGAGATCTCTATCTTTGCCTACTCTTTTCCCACTCTTCTGCTTTTGTGTTGCCCTTTTTTTGACTTTTTCCGGACTGTTAAGTAGATAACAGACAAAAAGTTAATACGAAGCATGCTTTGATCCAAGATTTGGTGGAAGAACAGGCATACCAGTGTGACACCAATAACATCAATTACAGCAAAACAATTTAGTTTAATCTTGATACTGATATCCCTTAAACAGGTACAAAGATATGGAAAGAGAAAGGGTAAAAGGGAAAAAGAATAATAAAAACATGTTCATGTCAATACCTCTTTAAAGGAGCAAGGGTAGTCACTTGCATCTTCAAAAAAGTTCCATCAATATTAGCTCCTGCTTCCCTGCTCTCCACCCTGATTCATAAAGTTATTGTCAGGTCATGTTTTATAGGAATGGAGAACATTTAAAATATAGACAGTTGGAAAGTATAAAGAATATTCATCAAAATGAAAGGTATTTTTCTAAGAAAGGATTATTAAGGAAATATTCATTCTAAACTCAGTTTTTCTTTCGACCGAAAAAAAAAACTCGGTCCACAAGATCTACTGATTCCATACTGTTGAAAGAAATATATTCATGCATGTGTATTCAAACATAGTTAGAAAATATTCATTCTGAGGACTATGATAAGTATTTGATCCTGTAAAAAAAAGGTATAATCTTCCATGCATACCTATTGAAGTGCGGAACCAGCAGAGACTGCTTTTTCCAACAAACTGAGTTTCTCAATGAGTAAAACTCAGCAACAACTGAAAGGAGATGCTCCATCTCAGTCCCTGTACCTGTGAATAAGACTCGACCATCTGGCTGAACTGCAATTTTGGAACTCCAGGCAAGACCTCCCACAAAGTCCAAGAGAGGCTTCTGGGTATTAAACTCACTACTTGGGTAGATAAGAGAAGGAATGAATGCTTGTTGGCTCATTTCATGTAGCCCCATCAAGTTATATAGTACGGTTATATCTAGTCCGCCTTTCTCTGCTTCAGTTTCTCCAGACTTGAGGAACTGCAACATTTTTTCACGTCTTATGAAGTGTTCAGCAATTCCAATACTGAACAGCACTGAGTCTGGATGAACATCTGTAATCAGCAGGAAAAAGAGATAATTCAACATATTGCAAAGAAATTACATTTCATTATAACATATGCGATAAGGATATAACCGCATAAATCTGATATGTCATTATTGCCAAGTTAAGTTGTTCTAATTTATTTTAGGATGCATGAGATAATCATTTATAGAAAGTTATGCTGGAAATGGAGAAGAATAAATCTAATTTATTGTAGTACCACTCAGCCCGTCTAAATCTAATTTTATCTGTAACCACAAAAGAGCAAGATAGACAAAATTTAAATAAATTCTTTGGGACAAACGGCAATGAAATCAATATTGAGGTGCATACTTTGCATCTCAGTGAGTACAGGCCTTTCGGTCTTGGCAAACCAGTTGGCCTCTGGCAATCCATTGGCGAGTTTCCATGGCTCCTCACATTGCTGCGGCATCAATTTCAAAGATCCCAGTTTTGTGATTTCCTGCTTTGCTCCATAACTCGGCAGAAGGGGTTGAAAATCCTGCTTTAATCAAAGGAAAATATACAATCTTTTCAGCAACAGCTTTAAAAGAAAAAGGAAAATATATCGGCTAGAACTTCAATTCCATTCAGAACAATAAATCAAAACAAGAAAAACTGAAGCCCCAGATAGAGCTAAACATGCAAGACAAACTCAAGGAAACGAATTTGATTCATATGAAAGCAACCCAAATAACAATCAGGCATGAAAATTAAACCCAAATGAATCAAATTCGAATGCAAATACAAAAATCTCATCTGCAAACCAAATACCAAACCAATGAAAACAAATAAGCTAAGCTAGAAAAACCTTTGCTTTACCTTGACTATTCCCTGCTCTTGCTGTAAAACAAGGCCGTGAGGGTAGCCATGAGAAGCCATCAAACAAAGCTTATCTGCCATGGCCTAGAGATACCCAGTTTCAGAAACCAAATTTCTCTCCTTTTTGGTGCGTCGTGCCTCTTCTTCACACCACCATAAACTGATCCATCCCTGGACCTCAAAATCCAAGATTTTTCAGAGTTTGGTCTTTTTCATTTTGAGCTGCAGCCACACATAATAAAAATCGGAAATAACAAAGTCGGATTTTATGTCATCCAGTTGTTTGATCGACAAATTTCTGATCTGAGAATCCAGGTTGGATTTCTCACGTCAGACAAAAAGTGTCTGTTTTCTACCACCTTGGACTCTCCTGAATATTGGGTTTTCTGCCCGTGTAACTTTGTGCACCATACATTATATTTCTTTTAGTTTCTGGTTGTGGCTTCTTGGCCGTCGATTTTGCATACCATTGAGATTGTGGGCCCTTGTTGATCTACGTTTATATTGTTTGATTTGGCTAGGGTGTGATGAGTCCGTACTGAAACAGAATTGAGGGGAAAAAATCTTTGCATGGAAATTGACTCCACAATGGAAACATCTAGATTTATTTGAGGGTTTGGATTGTGACATACCAAAAATGAAAATAAAAATCCGACAGATGTTATCGGAAAAATAAAATTCATCTTCCAGCTTGCATAGTTCGAAATTTACTTTAAATTCATTCTCATTTTGAGGGTGCTTTAATTATTGTGAAATGCGTTGGTTTTAATTTCAGTTTTATTCAACGAATTGTGTTTATTGCACTTTTTTTTTGGGTGATCAAATAATTTTCGATTTGAATAATGTTTTGTATGAATGACCCGACTTAAAATAAAAATAGTATACAAAAGACTTACTTTTAGAGTAATTGTTCATTTAAACAAGATCATAAGTTCGAGTTCTAACATCTGTTTCGATTGTTGAATTAAATTATGAAAATAGTCTATAAAAAAAAGGTGTACATTTTCTTTTTAAAATAAGAAGAAGTCATTATCATGGTGCCAAACTTCATGCTTCATTTGGCACACCTGAATGTTTTTCCAGTCTCTTGACAAAGTGCAACATGTGAGTATTAAATCCAAATATTGGCATTGATTATCTTCTTAAATACAGATCAATCACTTAAGCATTCAAGAACTCAACCACAACACCAAAATGATAAAAATATTTGGTCATACTAGTCGTGTTTGCTGCCTTTAAAGCAAGGCAAACCCTTATTCGGTTCTCTTTATTTTAATAATGAGAGCTAGCTGGCTGGCTGGTTTTTTATTTTCTTGTTTGTTTTTGTGGGTCTCCCATCTATGCTGGAAAAGTATATAAAATAAAAAGATAAATAAATATTCTTTTAAAATTAGAGAAATAAATATGACCACCAAACAGAGCAAGCTACCATAAAACCTATCATCATTTTGGTCAAAATGCTTATAACTGAGATTAAATGGGCTGCAACAACTCTGTGTCACATGCAGGTATTTTATTACATTTATAAATGCACCATCTACTTGTTCTTCCTTCTTTGGTCAATAGTCGTATCAATGTCATGTAGTGAATGATTCATATATTTCACAAGTAATGTTCAAAAGGAGGAGAATACAAAATATATAGAAATATCCGTTGTTTTAGAAGCTTTTCTTTGAAAGGATGTTACGATCAATCACCTGCTTATGTAGACTGATTTTGGTCATTGTTACGTTTGAAACTTTACATGCATCAACGACAAGAATCATAATGTGCGGGCCAGCGTGCAACCGATCTTAATATTGTTTTTTGTTTAAAAAAAAATAATATTGTAATTTATATTTTTTTTATTTGGAAGATGATAATAGGAAATCTATCAGGTTCACCATTTGTTGACACCTGGCATTACTCACAAGTAAGTAGTGTGGTCGTCCGTGTAGACTAATTATCCCCGCAGCAGGTGGTCAGCTCATCACCCGTGCAAGTTGGCTCGCGCACATCGCCAATTGGCGCGTCTCATCTCGCACAACTTGAGCAGCAAGCCAACGGCTATTTAAACCTATGTTTTGTTGACTTTTCCCCTGAAAAGCAAATTACAGATTTTTATATGCATAAATAAAAGCAAAATATAGATGTAAAATAAGTTTTGCGACTTCTCCCAATTTTTTTGTTTCTTTAAAATAATAAATTAGAAAAGAAAATATATGACAACTACTATATTTTATACAAAAACACTTGAGGAGTCTAACCCAAGAAAAAACCATCCACTATTTACTTTTTTTAAAAAAAAAAAAAAAAAAAAAATTCTTATTGTGTTATTATTATACAACATGATGCATTTCAAAATATATATTTTTTAATGTAAGCGGTAGTTTAAACTATAAGGGTTGGAAGTTTCTCTCACTCATACACACTAACAAGGTGTTATGAGGGTGATAATCTAAGACTACTAGTTTTCAAGTCAATGTCATTTTCTACTATGTTAGACCCTATTGACGATATTTTATATAGTATTGACCTTGAATGAATTATTTTCTTTATATATTGTAAAATTATCATTAGTTTATATGTGAAAACCTCTATTTAAATTGACCAAAAAAATAGGAACTATTTTAATGTATTTCTTTCCCAAACTGGGTAACAAATTTGAACATGGGTTTATCTTATTTATCAATCTCACTCCCAATTAATATGGATACTAAATATGGAACATTTCTAAATAGAGAAGTAATCTGCGCGAGGATTAAATTGCGTATCCGAATGACTAGAATCTCCTTGTGTCTCTATAGAGGCGGATGCATACGTGGCCCAATGGGAGAGCGAGTTGGTCGAGTTTTAAAGGTCGGCAAGTGCGCTTCTGCTTCATCACCAATAATTTAACTGTCGGGAAAAAACAACTATAAAAGCACAATCACAAGTCGTCGTTTTACCATCTTTCTCTCTCTCCTCTCTTCTCTCTTCTTTCTCTGATTGTGAGAACACGAAGCTCTGGAAACTCACCTTCGAGAACAACATAACTTTCCCGAAGGAAACCCTAGATTCTCTCGCAATACAGTCACTTTCCGAGAAAATATTCAGGAAAAGAAGAATCTTGTTTCGCAAGTCCAAGGTTCTTCATTTCGCATCCAATTTTAGCCAAATTCCACATTTCCGATTAAACCCTAGATCCCAAATTCAATCCCAGAAAAATTAAAGCCCCAATTAATTCAATTTTGTCGCCGGGTATGGGTAAGGTTTTCAGAGAAACCTCCAGGCCCTCGTCTTCTTCATCTTGCCCGGCCTCTTCGTCGCCCCCGACAACCACATCGACGTCGATCACCGAGACCGTCAACGGGACCCACCATTTTAAGATCACGGGTTATTCTTTGTCCAAAGGGATTGGGATTGGGAAGTACATAGCGTCCGATACGTTTAATGTGGGCGGGTATTCGTGGGCCATCTATTTTTACCCAGACGGCAAGAGCGTCGAGGACAATGCCGCGTACGTCTCGCTCTTCATCGCGCTCGCGAGCGAAGGAACCGATGTGAGAGCTCTCTTCGAATTGACCCTTTTGGATCAGAGTGGGAATGAGAGGCACAAAGTGCATAGCCATTTCGGGAGGACCTTGGATAGCGGTCCCTACACGCTCAAGTATCGCGGTAGCATGTGGTGGGTTGGCGAATTTCCAGTTCTTGATTTTGTCTTTGTGGAAATCTTGGTTTTCTTGCCTTCTGTTTTAATGAAAGTTTATAAGTTTGTAAACGTTGGTAATCTGGGTTTTCCATTTTCAAAAAGAAGCATGCTTTTATTTTTTGATCTGTTTTTGTTTAGATGCAATGTTTACATATAACAGATACAGAAGAAGGGTTTTAAAGTTAGGTTTAAAAAATGTTGAAACTCTGTTAATATAATTAGGAAATGTGAAGCGGGATTGAAAATTTTCTGCAATTTGGTAAGGTTTTGATTGCTAGTTGTTTTTGGCTTTTTCACTAATCTTGCAACCTGCAAAACTTTAAATCTCTACGCTGAACCTGATTTCGAACTTGTGTATGATATTTATATAAATGTAACGGCTTTTCTATGTGGGTACAAGTAGGAAAGTAAAAGGCAATATGTAACATCGGGCAGTGAGAGAATAAATTCATTGTTGATCTTGTTAACCTGTCAATGTTCCATTTGATGTTTTAAAAGTGTCTGCCAGGGGGTTTAGTTGACTACTTCTTTTGATGCATGCCTTGGATTGATTATATAGAAATTTCATGTCATTTGAATATGACTAGGCATCGATGTTTTCTATGCAGTCCAATATTCTCCATCATGTTGTGTGATTTTCTTGGGGTCTAGCTTGGTTTCAGCCTTGTATCCTGTACATATCCATTGTTGTCACTAGTTTGCATATAGGAAGAGTTTAATGGATTCTTGGGATGCTGCAGGGGTTACAAGCGTTTTTTCAAAAGAACTTCTCTGGAGACGTCAGACTACCTTAAAGATGACTGCTTGTCAGTGAACTGTATGGTTGGTGTCGTGAAGTCACACACGGAGGGGCCAAAAATATACTCCATACCAGTACCACCATCCAGCATGGGCCATCAGTTTGGGCGGCTACTGGAAAGTGGAAAGGGAACTGATGTAAATTTTGAAATTGACGGTGAAATTTTTGCTGGTCACAAGTTGGTACTAGCAGCTCGATCACCTGTATTCAGGGCCCAACTATTTGGTCCTATGAAGGATCAGAACACTCGGTGCATAAAAGTTGAGGACATCGAGGCTCCAGTCTTTAAGGTTTGATGCATTTCTTCTTTTTCCTTGGTTGGTTATGTTATACATTTGTTTAACTAATGCTGATCAATCTTTGTACTTTAGATAGTAAATTGGTTACCATATTTATTTGCAATTGTATCAGTTTTTCAGACATGTTGCATAGACATTGTCATCCAGGAGTATGATCTCATGCTTTTTGTGCTTTAGCTGCAAATCCTGCCAGATGTTAGTGATCAAATATGCATTCTAGGATGATTTTTTATTTTTATTTTTATTTTTGCTTTGTTGCTTGTGTAGAGTGGTTATAAGTGGTAAAACATGGCCTAGTGTGAAGTAATAAGTTTCAGTTTTCATGGAGAACTCCCAATTTGGGTTGTATTATTATGCTTTCTGCATAATGCTTATTCTCTTTCATTATAAATGTAAGCTAGGTTGGCTATGCGGTTTCTGCTCTAATTATTTTGTTTCTTGTGCTATCGTGTGAACTGTAGAATTGTTAATTATAACCATCCACCTTGGGAATTGTTTCCATGGATATTATTGGCTTTGTTCTCACTTTTCAACTGTTTTTCCACTCATTCATTTTGTCCTTGTGCAGGCTTTGCTTCATTTCATGTACTGGGACTCTCTGCCTGACATAGAAGAGCTTACTGGAATTAACTCCAACGGGTCTTCCACTTTGATGGCACAGCATCTGCTTGCAGCAGCAGATCGGTATGGCTTAGATAGACTTCGGTTGTTATGCGAGGCAAATCTATGCAAAGATGTTGCGATAAACACTGTGGCAACGACATTAGCATTGGCAGAACAACATCACTGCTTCCAGCTGAAAACTGTGTGTCTCAGATTCGTTGCAACACCTGGAAATCTATCAGGTGACTCTTTGCTCTATCAAGCTTTGTTTTACAATGTATTGTAATTTGAAAAAGAAAACTGTCATCATGTAGGCCCCAAATGAGATTGTTGATGATGATTTGGTTATATGTGGATGACTCTAAAAACTGTGGTAGAATCGTAATCAAGATTGGAGAAATTAATGACTACAATGATCTATGTATTGACTTGTCTTTCTTATTCCATTGAAGTTTTTAATTTGTATTCAGCTGTAATATGTGTCCTTTTTTCAATTGACGGTTATATGAATTAATATGTTTCATGTTAGTCCAGATGGTTAGTTTAAACTATAGCCCTCAAGGTCTAAGGATCCATGTTTCATAACCTGTCATGTTAGGCTTTACCTATCATGAGAGTAGTACTTCCTCTTGGCCCTTTGGAAGGTCATTTGGTGCTTGATTATACTTCCATCATTGGCCATTTTACTTATGGATACATAAGCCTTTGAAAAGGGTTGTCAAAATTGGCTGAGATAGCAACAAAACAACCCACTCTGTATAGTGATATGTGGTTTGCAATTGAAAACAACTAGGGTATTTTGGATCTTGTTTTTTACTTGGGACTTGGTGTTATTACTGGCCACATGAATTCTCATCTTCCATTCTTCTATGTTATGTACAGTGTCTCTTGTTAATTTTTTTTTTCTAGACCTTTTTGTTTTGCTTCTTCTGATGCATTGGTCTTTGTTTGATTTGTGATTCCTGAATATAAATAAATGCAAATGTTATGTAAGTAATTCTTAATTCTTTTATTTTTGTTTGCAGGTGTGATGCAAACAGATGGTTACAAACACTTGAAGGAAAGCTGCCCGTCTGTTCTGACTGAACTCTTGGAATATGTAGCTAGAGTTAGTGAACATTCTGTATCTCTATGCAGGCATGGGAATGAAGCTATTCTTGATGGTAGTGACATCAATGGCAGGCGGGTGAAGCAAAGGCTATAGTGAACTGAGCTTTTCAAACATCTTCCATGTAGAAAAACAAAATGGAAAGAAAGAGAGAAAAGTGAGAGGAGAGATTATTTCTAGGTTTAGAAATAACTACTAGTTTTTTAGGCTTGTTATTCGAAAGGATGTTGATGTCTCTGTTGGCTTGTAATTGAACGTTGTAGTACTTACTGTTTTGATTGAGAAAAAGAAAAATTCAATTCCATGGTTTGTGCCTCTCTCTTTCTCCGTGTTGAAGTTGTCAAACTTACTGTTTTCTTGATATAGAACAAAATTCAATCCAATAAACAAAGACCACAAACATATTTGTAAAATGTATTAAATTGAGAGTCAGCAGCAAACCCTACCCTCAGATTGCCCTACAACTCTGTTTTGATGTCTTGAAAACTGGTGCAATTGAGCAGACAGTTTGTCCTTTAACCCCTTTTTCGCTGCAGATTACCAATGCTAAATAACTGTACCTCGCCTATCCCAAATTAATTTCTAACCCCACCCTCGCGCTCATCTACTTGACCTCTGCAGTTAGTATAGAAGTCAACAGATGCACACAAGCCCTGATAAAAAGTCCAAATCCAAAAAATAGACCGAATAAATTACAAAAATTGCTTGGCCTTTGGCTTCACAAACACAGCTTAGTGAAACCTGTTTTTATTTTTTATTTTATTTTTGCCACTGAAAAGAAAATGTCAATAGTCTAATAAATGGAAATGAATCACACAATTTCATTGATAAATTTTGGTGCATCAAAATGAATGCTGGCCGCTTGTTGAAATAAATCTAATACAAAGAAGATATTTGCAGCAGCACGGAACTTATTAAGAACAAGAATTTCAATAATCTTCCAATTGTTAAAGTGGAAGCTGAAGAAAGATTGTGGGCACCAATAGTGTCAATTCCCCCTGACTTCTCATCTCTCACTTTGATGCTTGAAGAGCAGTTGTAATCCATCCACCCAATTTCCTGATTCTCAAGATCATAAATGACTAGCTTATTTGAAAGCACCAAATCTCCCAGAAGGGTCATGGAATCTCCATTTCCGGATTTCATCCCACTGCTCTGCCAACCAGAGCACCAAACATCATCCTTCAACTGGAACAAATAGTCACGAGGATATACCGTCATTGAAGCCGAATTCTTGAAATGGAACTTCACCACTGGAAATCCATCATCGACAGTCTTGGAATACTGGAAACATTTGAACTGCTCATCAACTGTATGTAATTTCAAGTCAGGCTGACTTGCAAAGATCTTGCTCATGACTGGTTGATAAACCTCCTCTGGAAGATAAGCCAAGGTTGTACCACTGTCAATTATTGTCCCTTCCTTGTCTCCAGTGTCAAATATATCTGTGGGAAGTTGTACCACATCGCCACCCACCTCAATTGCCTCCATCGCAACATTGTAATGTGCCTGCTTTGGCACCAATGGAGTTGTATTCTTCACTATTGGCTGCACCACTTCCCCAATGGCAAAAATCCCACCTCCATTTACATTGTCCAGGCAATGTGCAAATTGTTTTCTGACCTTTCCAGATGCAGCCAGCTGTGAAATCACAGATGAATTTGCCTGCCCAAAACCAAGTATCCCATCAAGTGCTTCAGCAGACTTACCTAGCTGCCCAGATTGTTTAGCTCCACAACCAAATACCATACTTCCATTTGTTCTTTCATCAAATTCAATATTGTCCTTCACAAAGTAACCAGCTGTTGCGCTTCCATCTCCATAAGTCACATCATATTCGCAGAGCAAGGTTGGCCTGCAACCAGGGAGCTGACCACTGTATTTGGATGTGCAAAAGTCTTGATCACAAGTAACAGGTTGTGACGTTGAAGAGCTCTTTGGATCATACAATGTGAGCTTCACACCAATATCACTTTTCTTGGGACAGTTTGTGCAGTCAATACAATTGACCCATAAAATGTCACTTCCTGTATCGACCTGGACAAAATAGTCCTTTGAAGGTGAACCAATCCCAAGTTTGGCGAAGTAGAGGCCAGTGTCGGAAGGATGGCCATTGCCGCCTATTTCCAGATCCACAGCAGAAGTAGAGCCTGAGACTGCAGAGGCTAGAATTCTACCATGGCGGCGAGCATCATGGGCTTTCAATGCACTCAAAGACCGCTGGCCCTTGAACTTATGGTGCACAGGGAACACAAAGTCACCTGACGCATCCAGAACCAATGTGAAAAGAACCAGTATACAACCCAATACAGCCCCTCTTGTCGTTTTCCCAAGATCCATTGAAATTGCCCAACAAAGCAGGAGCCTTTAACGCTACTTTTACAAAATTGATTGAGGTTGAAAACAACCCAAAGATTCAATTTTGATAGGCGAGCAAACTGAAGCTACAAGATCTGATTGGACCCAACGGCAAAAGAAGCTGTTTTGGGACAAATCCCAGATTGAAAAAAATTCGTAGCTTGAATTCTGAGGCTTAGAGATGTGGGTTTTGATGAAATTGTTGAAAATTCATTGTCGAGTTGGGTGGAGAAAGAACAAGGAGGTCGGTGAAGGAGGAGGGAAAAGCATGTGTGAAGAGAGAGGAGAGGGAAAGCCAGATAAAAGAGAAGAAAAAAGCGCAAAGTAAGACGGCAAGAGAGAGAGACAGACAGGCGAGAGAAGACTCGGACGAGAGAGTTGCGCGTTTTGAACGTCAAAGATTAACACTAATTGATCCATTAGTTCGTTCATCTCAACTTTAATTGAAAGTACCAGTCAACATGCCAAACCATCAAAATTAAATTAAAAAGAGAGATAATAACAAAGTCAAGAAGATAATAAGCATCTATCCAAAAGACACCACCAAATTACAACAATTTATTTTTCTGTATATTTGGAAACGACGTTCAACAACATTGAAATTGCCAATTGGGTTTTTCGTGGCAATTACGCAGTTGCCACGTTCTCTCTTGCTTTCTTCCTTGGTTTTTTGTTATATTCTTTTTGGCCGGCCGCATTCTTTTCTGGTGAAATAAAGACTTGGTAAAGAGAACCAACTTTCCTCTTCAAAACTGTCTTTTGAGTTCGTGAAATACGAGGACGATGTTTAATGGTAGCTACATGTCCTTTCGTGTTTCGAGAACTTGGCTGACTTGTATAGGTGTAATGAAAGTTCTCTTTGTTTTTAGCTTAGGTTAATACTTATTTCAAATAAAATAAAAAAAATCTCCAAAATCAACGGTGGAGATGAACTCTATCACAATTTTTATGCAAATAACACTAGGGTATTCTATTATCCTTCAACAATATTTTAGAAAATCCAAATAGCTTCTCAAGCCTTCCCAAAGAAAGCAAGTTTAGCTCTTACTTACATAAGTCTAATTCAACAATAACACTAGGCTATTATCTTATTATTCCTACTTTTCCTGCTCATTGGTAACTGATTAACTGATATAATCTGATGATCTGATGGTGAGCATTTCATCCGCCATGATTATCTTTACTTGACATGCTGAGTAAACCAGGCCAACAAATCTTGATGGGCTTCTCCAGCATGCTTGACAGCAGCCTCATCCTCTTCCTTGTACCTGACAGTCCATCCATGTGGAACACCAGGAAATATTTTCACATAGCCATTAACCTGCATAAAAACTACATCAATTAGTTTCTGAAAGTCATGTTGGCATCTGGGAAATTCCTCACTTTGTAATCACGGAATCATCATATGACAATGTATCGTACAAAAACTTCCATTTAGGTTTCTAATGAATTTCACTTTCAAGGAATTGTTTAGTGCGGGGGGATTTGATAACCATTTCAATTTTAGTTTTTAGTTTTAATTTTTTGTTCTAGAGTATAGAACAAAATGAGAGTGGGAATGGGAGTGAGGATGAGATTGGGAGAGAGAATGAGAGGGGAGGAGTAACAAAAGTGAAAACAATTTCAAATAGATTTCAGTTTTTAGTTTTTATTTTCACTTTTGTTAATCCTCCCTCCCATCCTCCCTTTTCATTTTCCCTCTCAATTCCATCTTCACTCTCATTCTCACTTCCATTCTCCCTCATATACTCTAGCACAAAAAATGAAAACTAAAATTGAAATGGTTATCAAACGGGCCCTAACTTTCTGAAACTGGAAGACCATGACAATTTATGATACAAAGACTTCCATTTAGGTGTTTTATAAATGAATTTCACTTCGAATATATTAACTTTCTGAAGTTGGGAGATGCTTACCTCAGGCTTAGTGGATAAAACCTCCTCGTACTTTTTCAGGAGTTCAGGTGGAGAGATCTTGTCAAATTCGGCACCCAATATGGCTATTGGAGCCTTAATCTCTGAAACAAAAGAAGAAGAAAAAAAAACAGTAAAAGGTGTATTAGTAACTTCAAACACCAGAAGAAGCCAACAAGAGTGCAGTGCAGTAGTGCAGCCCAAGACACTAGAAGCAGAGTCTTCCTTTGGCCATATTTATCATATACAGCAGTTTAATTCTGCAGTGAAAATACGTACCTTTAATATCATCAACTGTGACAAGGGAAGGGTGTAGCAACACTGCGGCTTGAATGTAATCAGACTTTGCTAGCTCCACAACCACCTTGGCTGAACAACAACCAAGAGTTATTGGTTAATTTAACAGTAATTGCACAACTAGTGAAACCTAAAAAACAAATTTCTACAGTCATATGATTCTACTCTAAAAGTGTAGTAGGAGTCTTACCACCCCAACAGAATCCTGCTGCTCCTATCTTCGATACCCCTTTGTTCCTTAGAGCAGCAATTATAGGTTTAGCATCTTCAAATCCTTTGCCCTTAAAGAAAGAGGTGGGGGAAGAAAATAGCAAACACTTTTAGTACATGATTAAACTTGAGTCATGATTACACATTCAGCAAGTTTACACTTTAACGATAAGGGAAATAAAAAAGATTCAGAAACAAACTGTTCCATGAGACTGTATCCAAACTGATACAGGCCTCTCAGCATTGTCCGGTACGTAGGGATCTCCATAAAAGAAGTCTGGAACCACAACATGGAATCCAGCAGCACTAGCTATTTTGTCGGCAAGCTTCCTTTACAGAAACAGCAGTGAGTTCAAGAAAAATGAAAACATGTAATGAAAGGATGGGAAATAAATGTCAAAGCAAAGAGTAGTCCAGTTGTTAAAGCAGATTAACTCTTGTTAACAAAGCAACAAATTCACTTATCATGAGGTTTCAGAAATAGCGTAGACAAATATACGTTTCACGGACTGAGTGATAAAGGGCTTGGAAGTGCAGCATCAAATATAAAGTTTTTACACATTTGGCGGAGAATTGTCATTTCATTTGGTGAGAGGGTTTTAACAACTGTAAACCCCCCCGGGTCCATAAAATAAAACTTCTCTTATAAATGGCTGCCCCTAACTAAAACAACCCATTTCAAAAAATTTATTTCTATCTTTATGCAGACGTAGATTATCATGACCAGAGTAGGCAACAAAGAGTATCCATCAGAATTCAGTAGCTACATAAGCTGCAGCTAATATTTTTCGAAAAGGAAGGTGATTGGGAGAAATCATGTTAGGCTTTTCATGTAAGGCGCTAAGATATCCATCATGTACCATTAACAAACGAGGATGCAGAGTTGAGAAAGTAGGCATACCTTAGGTTTGGTGCTTCAAATCCTGCAAAACAAATAAATATACTGTCAAAACTTAAAATTTCAACTCACCAAGCGGAATTGAAAAAGCTCTAAACCTGTACAAAAACTTACTAAAAATAAAGTATTTGGACCAACAGAAAGAAATAACCATGTCACTGATCAACTTAGAAGTTAAGCATCAATATTATTATACATGTACAATAAGAACACAAAGGAAAAAGAATCCATTTTTTAGAACCTAAGCATGGAAACCATAATTTAACTACCACCCAGATCACAAAAGCAGATGAGATGTGAGACAAAAAAAAACCCAAATTGGTATGTGATAAACAATAGCAGCAAAAAAGAAAGAAACTTCATCAAAATTACAAAGAAAGAAAGAAAATTGGTGAAATGGGTAATTACCATATACATCAGAAATGAGAAGAATGGCCTGCTTGGAATCAGAAGGGCCAGTAACGTAGGCTTTTAAGCCTCCAATTTCAGTCACTGAACCAGCTCCGGAGCTTGAGCTAAGGGTTGGTGGGTTTTCACAGCACTGAGGCCCCGACATAGCTTTACTCAGAGAAGCAGAGATTCAGAGCCACACACACAAAATCAATAAGTGAGAGAGCTCCACTGATATATTAGGAAGCTAGCAGTCCTTGCCTTGGAGAACAATTTGCCGACTATCTGAAATGTCACACGTATCGAAACATTATTGAACAAGTTTTCTCCTGACTTGTCAAAGTTACAGACTGTTTTTCTTTTTTCCCTCATGATTGATGAAGACAGATTCAAGAAGAGCCACAGGCACAGTAATTTTCTTTCTTTTGGGTTCACAAAGAGCCCCAGGCCCAATATTTTTCTTTTTTTTTGTGGGTTAATAAAGAACACAGGCCCAGTTTCTTTATTTTCTTTTGGGTTCACAAAGAGCCACGGGCCCAGTATTTTTCTTTTTGGTAATTTCAGTCAATATTTAGCCCAATCCTCTTGTCTTGATTAGCTCACGCACGGGAGGAGTGTGACTTTGCTATTGCATGCTTGCTAATTGCAGAAATTCTCAAATGGGGGATGAATGTTGTGGGATGTGAGTAGTCATTCAACAGTATCTAATTAATTGACGACTCACATCCCGCAACTATCCCGCATTGTATTATAAATCAGTTTACGTAACAAGATAATGCATTCACATAACTAAATCAATAGTTAGCCTAAGTCACAAACTGCTTAGAAAATGGAAATTGATAATTCTTAATTATTTACCATGATTACGTACCAATTTCACGGGACATACGTGTACTTAATAATTAGACCTAACCTACCCAAAAGGAATAGCAAGTTTGGACACATACCAGCAGAATCACATGAAGAGAGAGAGAGTGAAAGCAATGAATCTATGTATAAACTCCTCAACATTACAATTCTGTAAAATATTTGCATCGAAATGTTGTTTCATCCTCACAATATATTAAATTAAAATCATGTCTAAATATGCGATCATGATTCCAATTTAGAAATATAACATATGACAAAGTATCATTATTGTACCGGTACATACACTTTCATCTCCAAAAACAAATTCAGAGTTGAACAGATGCAATTGGTTCTTGAAAACAGAAGAAATAATAACACACGCAAACACCTTACATTACGGTGCAAGCACTAGTGCTAGTGTTATCGTCGCTGAAATAATGGAGCATTGAGTTGCCAACAGGCGGTTCCTTTGTTCGATGATAATAAGGATAGGGATACATTTGCAATGGCGGTGGCGGTCGTGGCAGCGGTGCCATGCTCGAGTGGTGAACATTACCACCATATGCATGTGGCGGCGGTCGTGGCAGCGGTGCCATGCTCGAGTGGTGACCATAACCACCATATGCATGTGGCGGCATTGGTGGCCGTGGCGGCAGTGGAAATGCAGGCGGTGGACCTGGCGGGGGCCTTCCGTACATCCCTCGGGCCCAATTGTTTTGTGGCCCAAGAGGTTTTGGCTTGGGGAAATTGCCCTTGCCATGGGGTGCAACAAATGGACCATTAACATTGGCTGGCTTCTTAATTTTATGTCCACTATGACCATGATGATCTCCATCAATCTGATCATCAGAATCAGAATCAGAATCAGAATTTGAATGATCATGATTATGATCATTGTGATGATCGATGATCTTTTTCGTGTCCTTGGCTTTGGGGTGGTGATGATGATTTTGAGTGTTCTTCAATCGTTGTGCTTGTTTTTTCTTTTGGGCAGCACGCGGGTCCTTCTTGTAGGACACAAGCTCTGTCCTAATCTTAAGCTTTGCAATTGTCACTAAGATTGTGGCTGGATCTGCCTGACCAGAAACTGCTACCATCCCTTTTTCATAATCTATGGTGATGGAATTTACTCCTATGTATACACAAATCGAACGTACCCAAAAATCAATTGAAAATTGAAAAATTAATAATCAAACCAATACCATTTTTTTTTTCTATATATAGTTGGTATATATGTCACAAAAATTGAAACAGAAGAGTTAGTTTTCGTACCGTTAAGTTTCTGCAGTTTCTTCTTTATTTTAGTAGCACATCCCTTGCAACATGTAATTACCTTCTTTTTTTTTATGAACTTGGGGGGCCATAGCTTGGTGAAGTGGGGAGGCCATAGCCGAAAACCCCCCAAACAACATGTACTCACTTTCAAAATGCAAGTCTGCAAGAAAGAAGATATTAATTTTGTTATATTAATCGTAAAATGAAAGAGAAGGTAGCCCTAGCTAGAGAGACATACGGGACCATCAGCAGGGTGGTTCTCCATTGCAAGTGCAGTCTCTTTGATGAGAGCTTGAGATTTTGTACGTCTCCCTCACAAGTCCAAAGCAAAGAACCCTAAAGCTATAAAGACTAGTGCTGATTAGTCGGCAAAAACTGTGGACTTGGATTTGTAAAGAAAATTGATTTGGGAGAAGATAGTGGTGACATTTATAGGTTACTTGATTAGAAGTTAGGTCAAGTATTGATTAGGAGGATCTCCATGAATTGAAAATCTTGTACCATTTTTGGTATTTTTCACTAAAATAAAAATAAATAAATAAAAATTGTTTGCTTTTCGCGGTATTCGTGCGTACTTGTTAGGAGGAATGTGAAAGTAATTTCCTTAAAAACTTAAAATGGGTGTTTGAGAATTAACTAGAAATTAGGAAAATAGAACAATCCAATTGTATATGCCGATCTTCTGATTTCATAATGCGCATGTAAAGAAAGACAACCGAATGTGGAAAAAAGTAACTACTTGATCGAAATCTTTCGAAATCTTTCAAGATATTAACTTACACTTTCCTTTCTTGGTGTGCATGCTTAAGTTAAGAATAGACGGCAACTAATAAGGAAAGTGAAGGGGAATCTCATATGCGAATTTTAGATTTGCTTACCATTAACTAATATTCTTGGTGAAGTGAAGTAATTTGACAGTGGACGCAAAACCAATTTTGTCAGAGTCGAGATTTTAGACGTTTCTAAATATTAAATTATGACCACTTAAGTAAAATTCACTAATTTGTCATCGTTTATTTTAAAATAAATTTAATATGTGAATTAAGTCAGTTAGCTAAACCATTATTCTTCCTTTTGCACTTGAGTTCGATCTCATTCTCATATGCATTAGAGTAGTTTAAAAGATTACCCTTATCAAAAAATTCAATTCAATTCAATTGACGTAGAAATTTGGATAGCATCCACCGACCCTTGGTACTTGTGACACGGGCTGAGACATATGCGACTAAAAGCTAAAGTTGTTTTTCTTCAAAGGTAAAAGACAATTACAATCCATCTTTAAATAACAAAAGTTACTTATATGTACTATAGCTAGTAATAAAAATTAAGGCTACATTACTATATATTATATATATTAAATCCATATATATAAATATATATATAAATTCTCCTATGCAGATGTCCGGACGTAATTATCAAAGAAGTCAAAAGTCGTCGCAAAAAGTTTGGAAAACGGAAACCAGTCGCTGCAAAATCTGTTCAAAACAAAGATAGTTTTCTATATTAGATCAAAGCATGTGGAAACTACTTGCAACACTCTTGTAATTAATTAGTTAAAAACGTATAATGCAAAGTATAATTAATTAAGAGCACCACAGTCTAGTCTTTGTTAATTCTTACCCCAGCTGGTTTCTTCTGGGGACGACGAAAGTCCTCGTAGGCCGAAAGCGTAACTGTTCTCTTGTATTTTGTCAATACTGTGTTCGTGATTGTGAGTGGATCTATATCACCAAAAACTTTTACTTCCCATTCATGAGGTCCATATTTTGAGAAGCTGAAGACGAAATCTACTCCTACAACCCAAAAGATAGAAAATAAACACATAAATATGAGTATTGAATAAAACAATAAGTACTAATTAAGAAGAGTTTTGATGAGTAATATAAACTCGCATGCAACATTTACACAATTAAGAAAGAGTTTCATTTGCAATGCACGAACCTTTTATTTTGTGCAACGTTTCCGTTATTTCGTCAAGACAACCTGGACAATGCACCTTCAAAACACAAGTCTGCAATGCAAGAAAATGTATTACTTAATTATAATATAATTAAATTTAGTGATAAATTGAAGAGGCCGTAGCAAGACATACCACCGGACCATCAAAACGGCGGTTCTTCTTCATCAATGGAAGAGCAACCTGAGTAGTACTGCGGTTCTCCATTGACGCAGGAACAATGGCATCCTTTGAGTTCGATTGAAATTAATCAAATCATTAGTTATACATAATCAGGGAATAATTAAGAATGCATGCATGCTAATTAATATATATATATATATATATTTTGTTGATATACTGAATGAAGAATTATAATGGTGATGCTTAGCCGGAAATTGCAATCTTAATTACCTTGTTATAATTAGGGGATAATTTTGTGTCGTTTTGAATGAAGTGATCATTATTCTTGATCGTTCGACCTTGTGCAAGATTTGAATTCTTCTTGTCGTAGGACACAAGCTCTGTACGACGTGCCTTACAAACCCTTGATATTGTCTCTATGACTGTGGCTGGGTCTACAATATCACCACAAACTGCTATCGTGCGTTTGCATGCATTCATGGTGATGGATTTTATTCCTACAAGAAAAGTAAAAAACTATATTAATATCAAACGGAACCTCCATATATATATTTGCAGCATTATTATTAATTCATAATTATGAAAGAGTTTATTTGTACCATTTATTTCCTGCAACAAATTTTTCTGTATCGCCTCAAAATAATAAGCAATCCAATGACTTGGAACCTTCACAACACAAGTCTGCAGGAAGCATGTATATAGACGCATCAATGCATGGTATGGTTATTATGAAAAATAAAATGAAAATGAGGAGTAATACGATATACTATATATGTATGTAAGCTAGAGTTTTTCTTGGTTGATTTCTTAATTACCTCAAATTGGAAGTTTTTCTTGTTTTTGAATCCTTGTGCTGCTGCAGCAACAGGTTTGTCCTTGGCATTTCTGTGGGGCTTAATCTGTGCATACTTTTCTATTGTCTTTACCAGTGTGGCCGGATCTACATGATCACCAGAAACTGCTATCCTCCAATGATCATGATCTACTGTCACGCAATTTATTCCTATATGTATGCAAACCCAAAACTTGAAAAACTCATATAATCAAACCCGTACGTACCAATATATAGTTGAGAGTTATGTATAGGGGTATAGGGGTGTATATATATATAAAGTTTTTGAATAATTTGTACCGTCAGTTTTGTTCAACTCTCTCTTTATTCTGTTAAGGCGTTCCGAACAACACAGGTTAACGACCTTCACAACATAAGGGATCTGCAACAAGGCAATCAAGATATAACACGGTATATATTAGTGCATGTAGATTTTGAGATGGTTATTTGCTGCTAGGGTCTTAGTTAATTTCTTACCTTAGAATAGAGAATTTTCAAGTCCTCGGCAGGTCTTTCATTCTGAATATGGTTGTTAAAGGCTTCATCACAAGGGTTCTTTTCTATTTTGTAGGACAAAATCTCTGCATCCGTAAGTATTGTCTGAATGATTGTGACTGGATCTACATGATCGCCACAAACTGTTATCTTGGCACCATACCTATTTCCTCCCCTTTCATAAAGCTTCGCTGAGACTGAATGTGCTCCTACACACACACACACACAAACACACATATTCGAATGTTATATATACTTACTCAGTTGTACAAATTACTTGCATAATAAAGAGGTTTATTTATTAATTTTTACCTTCAATTTCCTCCAACTTTCTTTTTATTCTATTACGCACATTAGAGTCAGATTGGTTCACCTTCACGACATGATAAGTAATCTGCAACAACATACATATTAATTCCATACCATTCAGTGCTATAATATGGTACATACAGTCATAATATAATGCAGAATTAATAATTAAGAAGTAGCTTGATACATACAGGGGTGTCGTGATGAAGACGCTGGTTCTCCAATGATGAAATTGTAGAACTCTTCTTTGGGTTAGACATAAGATCGCCGTTATCATCTATAAGGGCAAGAGCAGTGTTGTTGGGACCAAGATCATCGTAGTTTTCCCTCACTGCCACAGACATATACTTTGCGTTTGACATGTCCCACAATCCCTTGCTAGCTAATAGATTAAAGACTGCGGACTAGTCGTAGAAGAAACTTAGGGTTCTTTGAGAAAGTAAATAATGTTGGGAGAAGATTGTGATTTGTGAGATATTTATACATCAGAAAATATATGCCAATATTACTTTTTTCAAAATCTTTTGACCTTTTTTTTTGGGTAAGTTATGAGATTTTCTAAGCCTTGCTTCCCCAGGAAACCCTTATTTCTTAGGAATCTTAAACCCTTCCCTTTCTTGTTGCTTAAGAATAAACGGCAACCGAGGAAAGTGAACCAAAATCCAATTTCATATATGCCAATTTTAGATATTCTTTCCATTAATTATATAAGCTTCTCTTAAAACAATGTTATTTTGATTTGGTGATCAGAAACAGATTTATTTCTAGGAAAGAAAATTCAGCTTAATTATAAATCTTTAATTTGCGATCACATAAGCTTGGCTCTTAGTAAAATTCACTACATCAGTCTCGTTTATCCTAAATCTTGTGAGTTTTGACCGTTGGTATGTTTTTAGAATTTCTAAGGTTTGGTTTGCTTCACACCAGGAAACCGCTACTTCTTAAGAATCTTAAACCCTTTCCCTGCTTGGTGTGCTTAAGTTGAGAATAAGGGAGCTTGAATAGTGAAACCCGAACCCTCTAGAAGATCCCAAAGCTCATTTTAGAAAACAAAACAACACTCAACACACCTATAAATTACAACATTGCCATTAACCGAAGCCCAGCCCAAGTTTCATTAAAAAAACCCAAACTAAATTACAACTTTGCCACCACCTTTTCAAGGCAAAAACCCAAATTGAAGCGTAGCCCAAGTTTCACTCAAAAAACCCCAAAACACTCAAAACAAGCCCATCCCACATTAAAACAAAAACAAAAGAAATTAACAGTCGCTGGGAAAACGTGCGTAGGAACACAAGTCTTGGCCTCATGATTTTCCTCGTACTGTCTTACGTATTTCCAAGTGCTTTCAACTGAATAATTTATTTTTTATATATATAAAAGAAGAAAAAGAGAATTAGAAACGAAAACCACGTGCAATCACCCAAATTATAACATATGTGTGCAATCGTTAATACTAAACTTTCCACTAATACAAAATGATAAGAAATATGACCTGCCTTGCAACTTGAGAAAATTATATATGAGCTAAAACAATGACTGATGTTTGTGATTTGTGGTTTCTAATTCTATACAAAGAATAGTAAATGGCCCTCTCATTCCCCCTCCAATTTTAAGGATGGTAGCAAATTCACCACCTTTTTAGGGAATGCATAGAACGAAGCAGTATCACTATCTGCGTTGTTCCTCAAAGGTGCCCACCAATCTCTTCCACTATCTACTCGCAATGACTGGTCTCCCAGAGTCACGATGTAATCCATGGCGATAGCAGCTGCTGCACCTAGTGCTGAAGATGAGCAAAAGACCTGTATAGTGCAGCTCCACTGCACATGATCAAAATAAGAATAATAATGTAAAATCATGTTATTTTACTTCTCTAATACATGAAAGATAAGTAATACTCACCCATGAGGATCCTACTCCCGAAGGTAGGAGAGACTCATGCCAGTACGATGGCACAGCAATGCCTAAAAATAGTGAAGAGCCTACTATGAAGTGAACTCTAATGCTATTTGGGTTGCAAAATTGGATGAAGCTCATACCACCAGAAACTGCATGCCCAAACAGTTTAGGGTTTAGGGTTAACAAGCTGTTATTATATCAATCATGTAGCAAAACTAGGGCGGTTTTGCTACATAATTAGCATAAAAAATACAAATACAAATAAACTCTAAGATAACAAATAAATCACAAAGAGATAGACACATAAAAAAAAACATACCCACGTAGGAGTATAGCAGACAATACACTGCTCCTACAAGTGGCAATGATAAGGAAGCAAGAAATGCTGCAAATTTTCCTGTGAAGGATGAACTTAATTAGTGACTATCTATAAACATGAAAAGCTCTTGCCTTCAAACATTTAGAATTTAAACTTCATACCTAATATAGAGAATAAAATCATAATGGCAGCTGCAATTTGTACGGCTCGCCTGCTTCCGTACCGAGTCAATCCTAATAGCCCCGCATTTTCACTGAAAAAACAGAATATCAATCACATTGGCAACCATAATTTAAAAAACAAAAACAAAATTAGAGACAAGAACTACACCTAAACAAGATTACCACCAATTAAGCAACAATTGGGCACTAATAAAAAGGATTTGAGATCACAATAAAATATATAAAAACTATCAAAGTTAAATTATTACACTAGTGCTGTAGAGCCAGTCCCTACTCCAAAAACTCCACCCAGTAACGTGCCTATTCCCTGAAAGAATTACAAACTAAGTTAGTATTTTAGAAACTTCTACATGAGGTTTTTGCTTATGATACGTTGAAAATGAAAGGCAGAGTAATGATTACTTGGAAAAAAATCTGAAACTAAAAATTACAGAGGGAGAACAGAGTGTATGTTTTAAAAGTTACAATAAATAGATAGACTATTCTCTACAAATCCATTTAAAAAGCATCTAGATTTTCTCGCATTTTTGAAAATTTTAAAAAGTAAAGCCTCCCAATTGTAATTTTATTTTATTTCTAGACAAGCTTTGTGAGGCTCATCCATTCAAAAATAAAATTGCTATTATATGGAACTCACGTCTATAAAAGGATGCAATCTTATGCTAAGGTGGAAATCGTTAATCCTTATTTTAAACTACTTTTCTATTCTTTAAACTATGATCCCAATAAAATACACGAAACAAGAATAATAACGATGGATGCGTATAAATATTTGATACCTACCTGGCATATAGCTCCTCGTCTAAGAACGAAAGGGGGGGGAGGGGTGGCCAACCCGTACCTCGAGGCCATAAGAAAAGTCCCTGTAGACTGCTCCCCAAAATGACAGGGGGAAATGTATGTCAGTGCAACTGTTATGCAACTGTTACTCTTAAAAAAAGCATGTCAGATTTGGGGTCTTAAATAACATTACTATAAGATTATCTTACCTCAAATGTGGCAACCAAAACAGCCATCATCATTGCAACTGCATCTCCAACATCAAGGGTGGGAGAACCCCATTGAAATGGATTTGGAATCCATAGCCTGTATTTAGTGAAAGACAATTGTTAAAACATACTACTTCGTAATTCCACAACCAACAACAAGAGGTAGAGTGCATAAGCTCAAGCTAGAGTTTACCCATGAGCACCGCTGAAAAGTCCAGACAGATGAACCCGGCAAATGCTATGAGTATGACCATATGCAACAGACAAAACTGCTGCAAATGGCCATGCAAAGGGTACTAAAAACAGCAGTGCATATCGCTGAATTTGATTTGGCTTCAACCTCCAGTATCGAAGAAACCTAAATCTGTTAAACGGTTCCTCTCTAGATATCGAGACAATGTGTGGGAGACACTACAACACAATACAATTACTAAATTAGCAATTCAAGTTCAATGCAAGAAAAGGGTGGTTAACATGCTACCTACCTGTGATATGAAAAACAGCACCAACAATGTTGGCACTCCGACTACAGCACACGTGCCCAGCTGCACCATTAATTAGCAAAAGAAAACGTTATCCGTTAAAAACAAAGGTAAAAAGAAGTTGCAGAAAAAATTGTTAAGAAGAAAAAAAGGGTTCAACTTCATTACCTGAGGGAACCCATAAACAAACATGCCAAGTCCAACTAGGGTCACTAGAGGTATAGTGGTGAGAGGGCTCAGAAGTCTGCATATCAACATTAATATCAAGTTATTTTTTAAAATAAATGAGATCTACTTTGACTAATACACATGTCATGGAAGGTGTGCTCGTATTCGATACGGATATCGATACAATACCACCCGATACGACACAATACCTATATAATATGACAACTGGATTGTATCGTTAACGTTCTTAAGATGCTGACCACACGACGGTGGCTGTAATACAGCTAGGATACGAGATGGGTACGACCAATATTCTATGTTACATAATGTTGTTGGCCTCCATTTAGTGAAAGGTGGACAAATTTTTTTTATACGTGAATATTTAACTAATATAACTAATATGTTGATGTAATAATATTTTTAAAAATTAATGAAATGTTTATTTTAGTTGCTGTATTCTTCTTGTACATGTATCTTAGTTTTTAGAAATTTATCGTATTATTGTATCGTATCGGTGTACCATACAACATAGAATTGCATTTATTGTCACAACATACCTCCCAAATGTCGGCATAAGGAACACTGCAATAAGAATCTGAAAAACAGATGCAACTAGAAGTGCTCCCTGTATAGCTCTCATGCAGTACGTAAACCTCTGAAAAGACAGTCGCACCACACAAAAACAGAGCACACAAAAACAGACGTAACGTAAGAATGGAATTTCATGTAAAAATCAAGTAAAAAAGTTAATAGAATAACATCAGTTCCATGGGTCAACTATTAGCCTACAATAAAATTAATGTTTACATCTCACATAAGAAGAAACAGAAAAGAACAAACAAGATCTCTTTTTTTTTTCCTTTTTTGCTACAGTAGATTTTCTAATGGAACATGACATAAACTACAAGTAAAGAATATGAACTTACCAAATGCGGTTCCTCAGTCCGGAATCTGTGGGAAGCAGATATTGCAGGGGCAAGAAAGGCGTATGAGCCTCCCATGACCACTGGGAGGCGAGTGCCAAACCAGCTCTGCAGTAAGGTGCTAAGACCAGAAACAAAAAGCAGTGTCTGGATCATTCTTGCTTTCTCCTCCTATTCGCATAAAGATAAAGTAAATTATATTAGAATTACTACACACAAATAAGGGAAACTTGATTGACTAGTTTTTGTGCAAATCCTACATGGCCGCCACCCAGTATGGGGACTATGATAGACGGAATAAGGGCAGTTGTTCCCAACATCACCAAAAAATGCTGGAAACCCAAGAGTATGGAATGGCCTGCATTCCATCAAACAGTTTATGTAAATAATACAGTTGATTCCCATATTACGATGGAATTAGCATTCAATTAATTATCATAGAATTAGGTATTACTAAAAAGAATTAAAAAAACAAAAATATTTAATAAGATTAAAATAAGTAAAAGTCCCACACCCCTTTCTCCTCTCTCGGCACCTCCCTATGCCCAACCTCCCACCGCCCCCATCAAACAGGCACATTTTCTCCCTCCCCAAAGGTTTTAGAAGGCCCTATCCAACCACCCCCCCCCCCCCCCCCCCCCCCCCCCCCCCCCCCCCCCCCCAAATCAAAACACATTTCTCCCTCCCCAAAGGTTTTGAAAGGTGAGGTGGCGAGGCATTTTGGTATGGTGAGGCGAGCCTTTTGAACACGTATTATTTTAATTAAAATTATTTTAAAAAGAATAGACAAATAGTTAAATATTAATATTAATTTCCATTTAAAATGTAATAATCAATTCCAGCAAATCAATATTTATCAAGTCATTAAATATTCATTACAAAAACAAACAATTCACTACGTTTTGGGTTTATATGCAGAGAGAGAACATCAACAGAGCTTTTGGCTCAAATGCACGTATTTGGTGGCTGGAAGGAAAACATAAACAAACAAACAAAAATAGTAATAAAGAAAGAGCGCATGCTTTTGGATCAAATGCACATATTTAGTTAGTATTATTTGGAATTTCAAAGAGGAAAAAAACTGAGATTGAAGTTGGGATTTGCTTGAGAAGATGGAAGGTTTCAGGGTGGGTGGGGTTTGGGGGAAGAAGAAAGAGTCGAATCATGAGATCTAAAGGATAAAACGCAAAGACTATTTGTAAATGAAACTATTCGTTTCAATTGAAAACTTAGTATGAAATTAGGTCGGGAAGCACATCGTCTTCTTCGCTGAAGTTGCGCTTCACCCGGCAGGGCCTCAACCTCTCCGCACATTTGGCTAAACAATATGCGATTTACGAACGCCTCGCTTTAAGGCGAGCCTAGGCAACATTTTTAAACCTTGCCCTACCAACACATTGTGTGCTTGTGTGTGTGTGCGTGTGTGTGTGTGTGTGTGTGTGTGAGAGAGAGAGAGAGAGAGAGAGAGAGAGAGAGAAACGTACGCCATTTAGTGTTCTGTTTCACGCTTATGAAGTCGGTTGCCTGAAGGATGAGTCTCGACGGATTCTCTCGCCGTGGAGGAGCCTGGTTCTCCGGCTGTGGAGCCTGGTTCTCTTCGTCGTCCATGGCGGTGATAGCTTTAGCTCGCGGCTTTTCAAATCAGAGCTTTCTATTCTGAATCAACCAAAAGCGACTTGCTGCACACTCTTGCCACAGACTTGTCCCACTGTTGAGCATTAAATAGTATTAAAATTTTAATTACCCTTTTTACCCCTCTAGAACAACCCATGTATTCCGCTTTAAGTTTTACTGTAGCAAGATTTACCCTTTCGTCGTCTCATGAGGGAGGAGAGCTCATTTGCTGGAGGAATTGGTAAAACATGAAAAACAATGAGGGGTAGAAAGGCCACAGAGAAGAGTAAGGTTATTCAGGCTGGCTTTTTAACTTTTGAATCGACAACATTGGGATAGCAAAAGAGACTCTTTGTTTGATATACGGAGGTAAAAGAGAAGCCTGGTTTGCGAATGGACAGGTAAAAAGCCGGCAGCCAATGAGAATATAGATCTTGATTTTACTCCGTTTGCGAGAAGCCTCACGCAACAAGTGCCTGAGTGTCGTGCGTGGGCCCCACCAGTTGTCTTATCCGCTTTATTCTTTTGGTTCCAATCAAACTATGGTCCCAATCCAACAACTATTGTCAAACATGGGATTAGAATATTCAAGGTACCGCCAACCAGAGCAAAATCAGAAGACGAAAAGAAAGAGGGAAAAAGTCAGCTTATCAGTAGACAAACCATAATCTGCCATTAGAAGACCTTAATTTATTGGGTTGCTATTGTAATTAAGCTTCTTAAACACTTTTATTTATTTTTCCTTTCTCAATTTATAGTGCTAAAAGCGTCTTGTTTGGCACATGTCATTTATAAGCAAAAATAAGGGACTATTTGTGGTGGGGGGAATATTTGCATATAAATATAAAATAAGTCTCGTGGATGCCCAAACTAAGAAAAATTTATGGCAATTTATAATCATGAAGCTCCATTTATAATGCCAATCATAAGGTTCTATAGCAATTAACAATAAGGTTGTGAGATTGCCAACGTCACTGAGAAATGACATTGACTTGTAAAGTCGTGGTTTAAATTCAAATCCCCGTGACATTTTTTTCTGTGTGTGAGAATCTCACCCCATATCGCTTGAATGAAAAAAGAAGAAGAAAAAATTGTGACATATAATATCATAGCAAACTTGCTATCATGCAGGGAATGCTAACAGTGCATTGTTGAAGAAATCATATAACATTTTGAAATCAGAAGGTGCAATTATCTATTCTTCAGGCTACTGACGCTATTGTATAATTTGTATTAGTTAGTCCTAGAAATTGGGAGAAGATTGTAATTTGAGATATTTATTTACACATAAGAAATTATATGCCAAGTGTTACTACTTTTCATCAATCTTGTAAGTTGCAACTTGTAACCAAGATCCAATTTCATATGCCAATTTCAGAGGGGTACAAACGACATTATATATTTTGCAATATTCACGAATTTGTCTCAGGATCATTTGTCTTATCCGAAAACTTCTGCCCATTGGTCTGGTCCTTTGCAGTTGAGGACAATAATTGGTTTAATTATCTATTTTTATTTGTTACGCTTTTTACCTAATTTTAGGTTTTTTTTTTTTTTTTTTTTTTTTTGTGGCCTGTTTTTTTAATTCTTCAATCTTCACTTCACCTTAAGTGAAATTTAGTGTCTCTCACTTTTAATTAAATTCAGGATTTTGAGCTTTCTTGCCACTTAAGTATCTCTTGAAACCAAAACAAATCACTCAAAGCCGTTAATTGCGTTTTAGCCAATTAATAATTAGTGCCCATAAATCCTTCACATTCTCTATATATATTTATTACCTATCCAAAACATATTCATCTTGAAAATTCATTTTTAATTTCTACAAAACCCATTAGTCTGATACCTCTTCTTCTATTTCTATTCTACTATACAAAGATCTGAAGCAATTCTGATGGAGCAACATCGTGCACCCATTCCGGTATGTATTTTTCTTTTATTTCTATTGTATTTGGTGCATATGTAAACATATATTACTCTAGCGCTTTCGACTTAAATGATTCTTGAATTTGTTCTCGAGTTGCATTTTGGTTATATCATATTATTCCTGACTATTTCAAATTTATGTTTTCTGCAGATTTGTACTATAAAAATGAATCTCCATTGTTGTGCGAAGTGTCCAATAAAATTGAAGGAAAAGTTGCAGAAACTCAATGGTAAATATATTGTTTTCCGTTCATGATTTCATCATGCATCTGGCTCGTTTATTTAGTTTATAATTTTATTTATTTATTTATTTATTTATTTTAATTTTATAGGAGTGGAGGACATAAACATAGATCCAGAACAAGGATTATTAAAAGTTTCAGGTGACATAGACCCTATGGTTCTCACAAATATAGTCAAAAACATGGACAAAAAGGCAGAACTTTGGTCCTTCCAGAAAGAACCCTACAAAAACAATGTTAATATTGGTGCGTCTACTAAGTACAACATCCAAATTGGCGAAGATTGCTCTTGTGATGGTGATGAGGCTGAAAGCAGTTCGGATGATGAAAACAAACGCAGTATTGCACCCAAGAAGCAACATGGAGTTCTCACTTGGGCCAAAAATGACAAGAAGAAGAATGGGAAGGGATTTTCTGGCATGGGAATGGGCATGGGCATGCCTATGCCTCCTCAGCATCGGCCACCTATGCGGCCATCTATGGGCATTACGGCCCATAGGAGTTTTCATGGGATGCCCGGGCTCGGATACCGGCCACCAAACCCGTATTATCAATCAATGGCATATCATAGACCATCACCGCCACCATATGGTTACTACGGACAAATTCAGCCACCACCTTATTCATATTTTCAGTCAAGATCGCCACCCAAAGTTAACCCTATTGTCCACTACACTAATTATGCGGACAACTATCGGTACCCCATGTAGGCTGGTCATATATTGTTGATTGAACATGCCTAGCCCATATATTTTTAAAATTGTTGCTAGGTTAATTTATATGTACATGGGTTTTGCTTTCATGTTCGGATAAGTTCTTAATTTCCTTGTTTTGGCTCAAACACTAAGGGCCCGTTCGGTAATGTTTTTAGAGCCTGTTTTCTGTTTTTGTTTCCTGTTTTTCACAAAAACACGTTCGGTGCATCGTTTTCGTTTTCCCTCACAAAACGTTTTCTGAAAACAAATCTGACTTTGTGAACAAAAGTTGAAAATGAAAAAAAGTTGTTTTCAGTGATTTCATTTTCAGTGTTTTCCGAAGACACAAGAATGCATCCCATCAACAACTCTAGCTCTCTCTTTTGACAACCGATAAACCCACCAACAGGAACAACACCCATCTTCTCTGACCCAAAATAAACAGATCTGCAAATTAAGAAAAAAAAATACAGAGGAAGAAGAAGAAAAAAAAACAGAGACAAGAAGAAGAACCACCACATACCCAACTCAACCACCATCATCACCCAATCAAACCATCATGTCTCTGTTTTTTTTTCTTCTTCTTCTTGTCTCTGTTTTTTTTTTCTTCTTCTTCCTCTGTATTTTTTTTTCTTAATTTGCAGATCTGTTTATTTTGGGTCAGAGAAGATGGGTGTTGTTCCTGTTGGTGGGTTTATCGGTTGTCAAAAGAGAGAGCTAGAGTTGTTGATGGGATGCATTCTTGTGTCTTCGGAAAACACTGAAAATGAAATCACTGAAAACAACTTTTTTTCATTTTCAACTTTTGTTCACAAAGTCAGATTTGTTTTCAGAAAACGTTTTGTGAGGGAAAACGAAAACGATGCACCGAACGTGTTTTTGTGAAAAACAGGAAACAAAAACAGAAAACAGGCTCTAAAAACATTACCGAACGGGCCCTAACTTTCTGACATTATGTTTTAAACATTTATCGTCTCATAATCATTTAATTATACGTTAAAGACCTGGTGTTTATTCTTTTCTCGTTTGTGTGGCTTCATGCAATTAGTAATTTTATGTTCATCAAATTTGATGATTATTGATAATTTCCTTCTTCAAAATCAAATCGCAGGTAATAGTCGAACCCTAGAGTTGTAGAGCAATAAATTATGGAAATGGTTTGGGATGAAAGAAATTCCAATTAGGTTTTCTCTTAAAAGTGCTACCACATAATTTATGGATATTTATTTTACTTTATTAGTGATTTTGATTCACTATCTATGAAGAGAAATTACTCATAACATAATATTGATAAAAAGATTCGTATATATAAGAGTGATTTCTTGCCAAATATAATCAATTATGATAAGAAAAAAATTACTTTAAGATGAAAATTATCTATTAAAATTAAGGGAGTGCTTGATTTTAGTTTGGGAAAAAATGAGTGCTTGATTTAAGTGTACTTTATATTTATACAGTCGGTATTGAAGGTAAGTGAACTCAAAGACCATCTATGTTCTTGCCCTTTTTCTTTTTACAAATAACATTGGGTGAAAAGTGAAATCAAACAATTCACTCAAATTATAACACGTAATAAACAACACGTAAACATGTAATAAGCGACATGTAAAATATGGCAGCATGTTAATGTGGTGTGACTGTCGCATAGGGAAATTACTGGTACAATTACTTGAAAAACCCTCTCAACAAAAAACTCGAAAAACCCTAATTCTCTGACTCTCTGTGATAGAAGTCAGAAAAAAATATCCCCCATTTGGGCTCACCTCCATTTTGTGCACATTTCTTGTACTGCTGTTTTCCCGCCAATTTTGAAGCCTCGTCGACGGCGTTGTTGAAAGCAGCTCTGGGCTCCATGGACTTCGAACCAGAATTTCCAAAAACCACAAACACAAGGTTCCATCTCTCTCTCTCTCTCTCACGCGCGCGCGCGCACACACACACACACACACACATCTTCTGCAATTTGTGAGGTTTATGGCTTTTATTTCCACATTTCCACAAGGACTTGCATGTTTGCTGAGAAATTGAATATAGATTTTGTTTGGGTGGCTTATTTATGAACTTATCTGATAAGCTAATTGAGGTGCATTGCAAAATTTGACATGGTTTATCACGCATTGTTTGATTCTAGTTTTATCGAAGTGTTTTTTTTATATTTGGAAATAAATTTCCTTTGATTTTGGAAACAAATCTTCCTTGGGGATCAATTCACTTAATTAATCCCAATTGTCCTGCTATAGTAATGTATCTGAACTTGAATATTTAAGAACAATTGCAAAACTAGTTGACAAACTGTGCTATTAGGTATTACACAATGTGATATGTGATTATTTTGCTCTTGAATATTTTGAAAAGATTCTTGACCTGTGGGTTTTGCAGGTACAAATGTGCTGCATGCTACAAGCAGTATAAGAAAAAGGAACATCTTGTCGAGCACATTAATGTCTCGTTCCATTCAGTTCATCAGCCCAGATGTAGAGTGTGTAAAAAGCACTTCAAATCTTTTGAATCAGAGAGGGAGCATGTCACTGGTGAGATGTAATTCCGTGTTGCATTGTAATTGATCAGATCATTGCATAGTCGTTTTGATTCATCTATAAGATTGCTTGTTGTTTGATATCCTTTCCCTGGTTGCTATGATTAAGGACCACTGGCAAAAGAAAATTGCAAGAGGGTTTTCTCTGAACAAGGTTGTGATCTATGTTTGAAGATTTTTGATAGCCCTAATTCTCTGAGCGCGCATAAATATATGTGTCGCCTATCTGCACCCATTCCTCTGGTAAGTTGATTACTTGAACATCAAGCGTCCTGTATGGAATTAGGAAACTTGTCGGCTTCCAGTATTCCGAATATTTTACCCTTTTTACCCATTAAAGATACTCTTAGCTGCAACCGTATATAAGATATGCACATACATTACTTATATTTTCAGTCGAAGTGTTGCAGGTAACAATGATGGAGCGATGTGAAGAATTTAAACATGATATAAACTCCAGCAACGAATATCACGTTGGGGATGGTACAGAAGCAATTGCTCTGGATTGTGAAATGGTTGCTGGTGGAAGTGATGGATCACTGGACCTGTGTGCAAGGGTGTGCCTGATTGATGAAGACGAGACTATCCTCTTCCACACTTATGTGCAGCCCCAATATCCTGTCGTTAATTACAGGTACTAGTGTGTTATGTTTCTCATCTTTGATTTCTTACAAGAATTTTGCGAATTGGCCTCTGATCATTCCCACGTGTTGACAATGTTTCCATTCCAGATATGAAGTTACTGGGTTAACAGAAGAGCATCTCAGAGATGGCATGCCACTCCAAAAAGTGCAAGATAAGGTTTTGCAAATTTTGTATAATGGAAAGACCAAACTTCTTGTGGGGCATGGTTTAGAGAATGATTTGGATTGCTTGAGAATAAACTATCCTGATTACCTGCTGAGGTATAAATAAGAGTTTCTGTTTTCTTCTGTAATCCTCTTCTTGAGATATGTGAATCATGAGCACAGTGTTTATATAGTCATGCTATGCTCTGGTTCTCATATGCACTCCTATTCTTCTTTTCAATCCCTTTTTTATTATATAGGCCATAGTGTTTGGGCTGCTTTGTGCATATGTAAGATAGATGGTGTCACTGTTTCTTGGACAATTGCGTTTGTGGCTGTACTTCTTTTCATTCAGGCCAGTCAAGATTATGGCCTTAGTCATGATGAAATTTTGCATAAAGGACCAGCTTTAATATGGCATCTATTTGACATAGATTGAGCAAAGAAGCCTGTTCTCTGCTGCCTCTCTAGAAGCTTGATGGTTACTTATTTTATATGCAGGGATACTGCAAACTACCATCCTCTGATGAAAACAAATCTGGTTAGCCACCCGCTCAAGTACCTCACCAGAACATATCTAGGGCAAGTTATTCTTCTTCTCAGATTTTTACTTTTTTAGTCTTTATTTGCTTGTAGAAGCAGGCTCTAGTTTTAAGTGCTCCATTGAATATTTAGTGTCATGAGGCTTTGGTTTTACAGGTATGATATCCAGTCAGGTCTTCATGATCCATATGAAGATTGTGTGTCTGCTATGAGACTCTACAAAAGGTTCTGTGCGCTAGATCATCAGAAAGAAGGCAATGTGGCTTCACTTGCTATGCTGTGTGCAAAAGACATCCCTGGGAGTTTTGATTCTTGGAAAACCGACAAACTTGAGAAGATGACGCTCGATGAGCTTTATGAAATGTCGAGACCAAACTACAAATGTTGGTGCCTGGATTCAGTGCAAGCAGCGCAACCTCAGCATTAGATTCTCACTTGAAGTTAAGTTATTGCAATTTTCGTTCACATACCGCAGGATTGACAGAAACATCACATGTAGGAATTACAAGTCTGAAGCTGTTAGAGATTCTGAGCGAGGGTACCATCGCACATATGTAGTAGGAATCTTGTTAGGGGGTCATGCCTTAATGTTATATAAGTTTGTTCATGCCTCCTTTTTCGTCATCGGTCTCGGATGGTGAAATGATGCAAATTCTCTAAAGCCCCGTTTGGTTTGGGAGAGAGGATTTGCATTTGCATTTAGATTTCAAATCTATGGATATAATTTCATGACATGATTTTGCTGCTTGGGTTTTGGGGTAGATTTTATCTGTGTGATTCCCTACAGAATACGGAGCTTCTGCTCTGTGGTGTGGTGCACGTGATGAGATGCTTAAAGGTTAAGAGGGTGAGTTAGTAATTTACAAGGTGGGTATACGTATAAATTTATCTAAAGGTAGAACTACTTTTTGTTTTATACGTATAAACCGATAAAGGAGGGTTGGGCCTCTGTCACTATTTACCGCCCAAATGGCCCATCTTCAGCTGTCGGATTAGCAACCACTTGTGGGCTTGTAGCATCCTAAGGTAATAGTAATACCAAAACAAATGTAAATTCTATTCCGAAAAAAGTTAACCCAAAAAAGAAAAAAATCAGAGGACTACTGTTCAACCAATCATAATGTTTTTTGGGGGCCAATGAATTAAGATTCAATATGCGATGATCTCCATTTTCAATTTTCCCTTGTATGCAAAATCAAATCCAAATTGGGAATTGCTAGATCCATTCCATTTGTATGTTTCCTTTTTTCCTTCATATTTTTCCATGTTGTTGGTGTTCCCGACCTTTCATTTTCGAGATCATTTAACCACAAAAATCACTCAAATCGGAAATTGTTTAACCATTCGGTCAATAGTGTGCTAATTTAGTGTTTAATAAACATTCTATTTATTTAGTTCATTTTGTCAAAAATAATTATTAGATGTTGATCTAAAAGGATAAATAAGACAGCTACGATCATCAAACCACATTGCAGAACGAGAATAAGTGAGAGAAAATAGAAAGGAAACCTACAACAAACGGGTAGTTAGCTAGCATTTCCCATCCAAATTCAACCAAAAAATAGATATATGAGAAACAACATAAACCCTGCCTCTTCACATTTCAGAAAGACACGTATTTGATATCTTTTGCCAGTCAAGTCAACGGTGAACATATACCCGCCTCCTGAACTGACTTTTAAGCTTTTCTCCTCTCAGTTGAGTCTCCAAACACTATTACACAATTCAGAATCCAAGGGAGCAAAGGAGAACAAAAGAAAAAGGCTCAGATTCTCTCCCTGTAATGAACCCTAATTCCTCTCCAGTCGAAATCTAGAAGACGATGATGGCGGTGTCCGTACAGCAACCGCTGAGCCATCTATGGGACACGGTGCTGCAGCTCACCAAGTCCGCTCAGGACAAGAACAGCGACCCGCTCCTCTGGGCGGTTCAGCTCAGCAACAGCCTCAACTCGGCCGGCGTGGCCTTGCCCTCCGTCGAGCTCGCGCACCTCCTCGTCTCCCACATCTGCTGGGCCAATCACGTGCCCATCACGTGGAAGTTCCTCGAGAAGGCCTTGACCGTCAAGATCGTCCCTCCCATGCTTGTTCTTGCTCTGCTATCTACCAAGTACTCACCCCTCACTCCCTAACAAATCGTGCTTTTACTGTCATTTTCTTATTTCTAATCATCATTATTATGTTAAAGTAACTATTTATATTGTTTAGTGATTTTGATAGTGTACTGAAGTTGATTGTTTATGGGGTTCAAAGGTTTTATAGTAGATGAAATATCTGATTAGTTACCGAAATCCTACAGTGTGGTTCTTCTCTTTGAATGGTTCTAATATTTGTCGTACTGTGGTTAGGTACATTACATACATAAATTAGGCAAATTAGTTAATTCAACTTAACTATATGGTAATATTTAAGGATGGCTTCGTGCGAAATGCCTGAGTTACTTGTAATAGTCGGTAATTTCCCATTGAATATGCTTCATTATATCTCGGACGGTGGTTTGAAAAGATATTGTAATTCAAGTATGTGCTATCTAGTGTGATGGATCTTATACTATAGATTGGGTTTCTTTTTTTTTTTTTTTTTTTTTTTTTTTTTTTTTCTTCCTTTTTGATGTTCCATTTTATCAACTATTATTATACAACTATGTTATATATGCTTATTGGTTATTAAATTTGAATTTAATGCTATTGTTGTTTAATACAGGGTTGTTCCAAATCGGCAACTTCACCCTACAGCATATAGACTTTACATGGAACTTCTTAAGAGACATACATTTTTATTTGCTTCACAATTGAATGGACCAAATTGTCAAAAGTAAGGTTCAGTTTTTCTCCTTTTTGTCGTACAATAATGCATATATAGTAATTTATTTCCTCCCTTTTTTTTTTTCTTTTTTTTCTGTCAGTAGATAATTTGCTGTTTTATGCTCACACAATAATTTTTAACTTATGTTTTGATGCAATTACAGGATCATAAAATCCATTGATGATGTTCTGCATCTTTCCCAGCTGTATGGCCTTCAAGTGGGTGAACCTGGAGTTGTTGTTGTTGAGTTCGTCTTTTCGATCATATGGCAGTTACTTGATGCATCATTAGATGATGAAGGTTTGCTGGAACTTACCCCAGATAAGAAGTCTAGATGGTCTACCAGGCCAGAAGATATGGAAATAGATGGTCATGATTGCTTTAATGAGAAGAGAAGTGAGCAAAATGAAGGCTTGCAGAAAGCAAATACTGCAATGGCTATTGAGATAATTGTAGAGTTTCTGCAAAACAAAGTAACTTCAAGGATTTTGTGCCTGACACGCCGAAATTTGTAAGGACCTAATTTTTTTTATATTCATTTACTTTTTTTTTTCTTTGTGTGCATCTTAATGTTAATCATGTCGTGTTTGTGAGGGAGAAGTGGGAAAACAGCAGTTTTAGTAAGCATGGGTGTATTGTAGTTTGACTAGTTTAAAATCTCATGTTAGAGTTTTGAAAAGTATTATTGAATGAAGATGCCAAATATGTCATCCTTCTTCTTTTTAGGCCGTCACATTGGGGAGGTTTCATTCAGAAAATGCAAGTGCTTGCAGCAAACTCATCAGTTTTGAGGACTTTGAAACATATAACTCCAGAGTCCCTTCTGCAGTTGACATCTGATACACGTCGACTTCTGACTCGGGAATGCAAAATCATTTCACGGCAAGATTTTCATGCAGTATTGTCTTCTGGGTCTCTGAGGTCTTCTGCTAGTCAATCTCACGGAGTGAGTTCATCTGCTTTTTGGCTTCCCATTGATCTGTTTCTGGAAGATGCTATGGATGGATCAGAAGTAGCAATAATTAGTGCCGTTGAAACCCTTACCGGTGCGGCCAATTCTTTTACAGTAATCTTTCTGTCTTGCAAGCTGATAAGATTCTAGTTCTTTTAGTCAGAGATGTTGATCTGAGTTAATGTTGCAGGTTTAGTAAAGGCTCTGCAGGCAGTTAATAGCACCACATGGCACAATGCATTTTTAGGTTTATGGATTGCAGCCCTTCGACTTGTTCAGAGAGTAAGAATTGATGCCGACTAGTTTAGAAATATATATCTTTAAAGATCGATTGATGTCTTGTTGTGTGCTGGAAAGGATGATACACAATGCTTTTCAGACTAATTCATGTTTATACCTAAAGCTCGTGCGCGCGCACGCACACACACACACACACACACACACACACACACTTCAGTTTTGCAAATAGAGAGGCATATCTAGAGATATAAGTTTTTACTGGATAAGGTTTTCAAATGCCAATGTTTGCCTGGATCACTCCCTAAACACCCACCACAATATTTATGCATATGTGATATATGTGTGCGAACTGATATGATGCATCAAAAAAGTTTGATTTCAAGTTTTGAGCAGGCTCATCAGTTTACCTCAAGCTGACATCAAACCCTTATTTACGTAAACACGTTAGGGCATCCAAGGGCTTGGCTCATCTGGAGTCTAACCCATGTGGTTTGCAATTCTGTAGCTTGGAATTAAAAAAATGGTAGTTATTTTGGCTCTGCTTTGAGCGATTTAAAAACACTAGATAAGCTCCTTTTGTTTTGTTTTTGGGGGTGGGGATTTGAAAATATTGATCATAATCCAAATCATCTACTTGTTTCATGGAGATACTAGAAATTTGGAATATGAGATGGAGTTGAAGTAGCTGCTATGTGTGATGAATCAGAAGTAAAATGTTGAAACATGAAAGGCTCAATTGATGTATGTTCAGATACGTCCTGTATATAATATATGGGTGTCTCTAAATAACCAGCTTAATTGAATGAAGGAATTGCCTGTGATTAGATCTTAGCAAGCTTTATTCTTAAGCTTTATATGCTCTGTTTCAGTTGTTAACCAGATTGACCTATTATGACCTTTTCCCTTGTTTTATAGGAAAGGGATCCCAGAGAAGGACCTGTCCCTCGTCTTGATACCTGCTTATGCATGTTGTTGTCTATTACGACACTTGCAGTGACTAATATTATTGAAGAAGAGGAAGCTCAGCTGATGGAGGAAATCGAAGGGGATCGTACTAACCAAAGAAAGGAACAAGCTCCAGGAAAGCGTCGCGAGGGTTTAATTATGTGCTTACAGCGGTTGGGTGATTATGAGTCCTTATTGACTCCACCTCAGTCTGTTTGTTCGGTGGTCAATCAAGCTGCAGCCAAGGCTATAATGTACAGATCAGGCCTTACAGTCAGTAACGGATACTATGAATCTGTTAGTGTGAATGACGTGCCAATAAATTGCAGTAAGCAATTAATTTTTCCTTCAGATTTGCAATTTGATTTATGATGGATTTTTAGATTGGGAGGGTATAACATAGCTTCGGATTTGAGTCTTCATGTGTTAAGACCTTTCATTTGTTGATGTTTCTTTAATTCTTTTTTATAGATCAATTGATTTTTC